TTCTTTACACTAATGCCACTTTTTGTTTGCCCGTGCGGGAGGGTAATAACATTAAATAATGAATTTTTTCGCCGTTCGTCAATTGTTTGCTCAACCTTCGATGCTCGCTTGACATTTTATTGACGCATTATTTGTCTGGGGCTTTATGAATTTGCTGTCTTCGGTCCTCGCAAAAAGAATGCAAATTTCCGAGATCGCTGATTATGGACAAATTATGCAGAATAAAAAAAAAATGGCAAAAGGCGTATAACAAATTTCACCTGCTGACAAGCGGCCCAAGGTAATCGACTCCGACTGCCAAATTTGGCCAAAGCCGCCCTAGAAATTGCTTTTAAGATATCCATTTAATATTGGCAAACTCGGCTAATGGTTGGGTAGAAAGTGGCCTGGCCCAAAAAGCAAACTGGGTTAGCTAATCGGGGGGCGGAAGTGCCAGACCATCGGAACCCCTGCACACATATATCTTTCCATATCGGTTCTACGAATTAGCCAAAGCTGTCGGCTCCTCACAAAGTCAAAAGACTAAGTCAATAATTACACAGTACCCGTTGTGTTGGAAGATCCCACCAATGGCACATTAAGCGGTTCGAAGCGTGAAAAACGCTTCCTATTATTAGTTTAATTTGTTTTGGGCGCGCAATTTAATTTATATAACAATAATCGTTTATAAATGATAAATTAATATGGGAAGCAAATGGCATGGGCGGTGTAGAGCTCGAAGCTGGAAGCTCGAAGCTCTCATCTCTCGATCGCCGATGTTGAAGCGCCAAGTGGTCGACAAGTTGCCAAAATTGGCAAGGCTTAAATGGGCATAACAACAGCTTGCCTAGAGATGGCTGTTCGGTTGTAATCAGCATTGTTTTTGTGAGATCTGGTTAGTTATTTCCTATTCGCCTTTGTTGTTCGGTTAGTGTGGGCTGCCTTTTGGATGGGTCAGTAGTCGGTAGTCTCTTGGCTTTCGCATTACGCATACGCCACGCTGGCTTTGATTTCTTATTTGCTGCTTTTGAATGGACAGTCAGGCGAGAACTTCCAAATAGGGAGTGCAACTGGGCACAACGAATTCGGCTTTGTTGCGATTTCTTTTTTTATTCAAATTATTTGGGCTAACAAAGGGCACCAATCTCTATCTAAAGAGTTGAGGCTACCCATCCCATTTAACTCTCAACTTCCTGTATTAAGAATCCTACAAATTATTACTTACAACATCCACACCTTACACTATTCGGGAGGAAACGACTTGCAGTCACTTTAAATGAGCTGATTTATGGCTATTTGATGAGCACATTAACCGGCAGAACATGGTTAATGCTACTGCTCAAAAGTTATTACATATTTAATTTTATTGGGGTTTTTTGTATGCCAGGCACACGAAAAATAAAAGAACCAGCAGCTTCGCTCAAATATTCTTATGGGGCTTTTTCAATATTCAACTCTTTCGCAGTTACCGAGTGTGTACTTTATTATTAATTTTAAACGTGGGCCCGCAACAACACGAAACACCCACAGCATTTGTCAAGTTGCTTGGATTCTTTTCTTCGTCGGTTGTATTCTTTTCTTGTTTTTTGCTTTTTATTCTTGGCTGCTGGCCGCATTTGTTATTACTTTTTGTGGTTTTGGCTGCAGCTTTTTGTATTCTTTTGAGATTAATACTTGCAATTTGAACATTTCAGCACGTCGACGTCGGCGCCTGTTTCTAATTGCAAACGCAAATTACTCATACGCCGCGTTGTGCTCGCATAATTATCGCTTATTGCCACATCAAATCATTGGCTTGCGTGGGCAGTTTTGCAGTCTTGGCTCAAACGCAAACTCAAACTCAAACTGAAAATTATAATGAATATGAATGAAACGCGTTTCAGTTGCCAAGTGACAACTGCTCATCCTCCCGTCAACTGCTGAATAACAATTATTCTGGCATTTCGCAGCCATTTTACTTATTGTTTAGCAAATATCTTGGCTTCGCTCTCCCTGCAATGCGCTCATTTGCATATTAAATAAGCGGCTGCCACTGCATCGGTGTTGGCTGGGCTGCACTCGCTGTTGTTGTTTATATTTTATTCCAATATTTTTATTTAATTTTTTTTGTTTCAGCTCGGCTAGTTTCTAAGCGGCAGCAGCTGCCGTCAATGCAAAGAACCTCGTTGTCGTTGGCTGGAATCGTAGGTTGGCCAGCGAATTACGCGAGGGAGCCGCGATTGTTATTAGTATTCTCCATTTGGCCCGTTGACGCAAAAGAACGAATCGATGTTGCATAAGGTGGAAGTGGCTAAGTGTGCTACATTCCCTTCGCCGAGGAAACCCACGGAATTTTCAAAAATGTGTTGGAGAAATGGGAAAATAAAATAGAATGGGGAAATATATTATTTTTAAGAATTTTTTAGTCTGAACTGCAGTTGATATGAGTTATTAAAGTACTTTTAAATTCAAGGGATAAATCAAAAATTACGTAATATTTTAAACATTTTTGTAATATACTACTATATTTATTATTGTATTATAATACTCGTGCTAATATAATGTTGGTTGATACTAAAACAAAACAACAGTCTGATTAAAAAAAAAATATAAAAAAAATATATATATAAACTATGATTTTGAAAACAACTTCTACAACTAACCCTATAGAGACTTTTATTTTTGTTTTAATTAAAAAATCCATACATATTTGCGGAAGAAAGTTTTGAATAACTAAATATGCGTGACAAAAATTTGTAAGTAAATGGAAGGTGAAAAGAGATAAAAACGTAATCATATTTATCACGATTAGCCACTGCCAATAAAATACTGAATATTTAGGTTATGAATATTTAAAATATGATTTCCCTATCTATATCAAAACGGTAGAAATTTCTATTGATAACTCTTAAGATTAGATATAATTTAAATCGAAATGAGATTATAAATCAGTTAAAAACAAATCAGAAGTGATTTTCCCTGCGCAAATAGATTCTATTGAGATCATTGTAATCGATTTAATCACCGACTAACTGCCTTCAAGCCCATCCCTCACTGCTGATCGAGCTCGATGCAATTAGTCAAGCTCCCCGCCAATTAGTCACAGAGAATTTCCAGCTAAAGACCAGCTGAGGCCAGCTGAGCTCTTTTGTAATCTGTTTTGGGCGGTTCGGCACACTCATCCGCGGATCGGGTTGGATCTGGGATGCCTTTTAGGGCCCAGCAGCTTAGATAACAATTAGAGAATAAATTTATTTGGACGCATGCTAATTTCAATATTTATTGGCCGAGACAAAGGAAAGGCAGCTAGCGAAGCGCCGATGTTGGGTGACTATTTCAGCGGCTTTTGGTGAAACAAGTAGTTGAATTTCCTTTTTCAAAGCTCGGCTATTGACGGGCAGAGAGTTACACTTATCTCCCAGCAAATAAGTGTGTGTGCGAGTGTGACATTAAACCACACACAAACAAGTCCGCCATATTTGGCAATTGACTTTGCAGCCAGCCAATAGTGCTATAAGCGATATATACATACTATACACACTGATCCAAGTGCACAGGAAAATAATAGAACCGCTTTAGACCTGATATTGGTATTTAATTTCCAAATTATTCCAGTTATCAAAATTCTACGTTATTTAAATCTCCTACAAATCAGTGATATTTCTCTCTCTGTACCAATAATATATATGCGTGCTTGGTTTTTTCTTCTTTTAACTGTTTGCGCTGCCCACATGCGATGGCCTGGGCTTGATAAATAATTTTAGTTTTATAAACACAAATTGACACTTCAAATTGTTTGCCAAAAAACCGAAACGCAGGCGGGAGAGAGAACGAATCGAAAAATGAAATCAATTTGAATTAAGCTGCCGCGCTTTGAAGAGTTGGCGGAGATTTCTTTGGCCTCGAGGGGTGGAACCCGCTTCGATTCAGATTCAGATTCAGATTGGGCATATCATGACCAAAAACACTTCTCGGAATCCGAATCCGAAAGGCAGGTAGCCGCCCCACTTGTTCTTGTTCTTTTCGCCGCCCTGGGCACCCATAAAAAATGCGAATCCGATTCGTATCGGCAAAGATCTGAACACGGCTTCTAATTCCCTCGAGCATCGAAATGGTACCCAACCGTCGGCTCATTCGAACCCATTTAAGAGCCAAAGATTTTCAGATTTAAAGAGCAGGGTAATAGGTGTTGCGGGTTGTTCGTTATTGCCGCATTATGCTCGCGTTAATTAATTGTTTATTTGTCTTGCGATTACCAACGATTTTCGTCATACAAGTGGAGTAGTTACAGAGTGGCTTCGCTATAGCGAATAGGAAACTGATATTTATTTTTTATGAGATTAAAATGACTTAAACATTTTTAAAGGCTTCCGATTTCTGTTTAAAAATACAAACAGCTTCGCACATTGGAACATTCCTTAACTCAAATCTTTATATTTTAAGAAGAAAGAAGTTTGAGTGAAAAATAACTCCACTTATTTTTGTAAAAGATAGAAAAAATTATCAACGTTGGATTTTAAAAAAATACAAAAATTACATTGTTAAAAAAAAGTGTTTTTAAAATAAGAGTCAAGCAAATACATTTTATCTTAATGGTTGGAATTCGGAAAAATGAATATACTTTTTGGTGTTACATAAAACAACAATAACTTTTTAGGACTGATACAATGGTATATCACTATTTTTGGTATGGCGTGTTCTTATTGTTAGTTGTCCCATTATTTTGAAATTCGAATATTCATCGATTGATAACAACTTTTGTTTACGCGTAGAAAAACGTGTTAAGGGCTTCAGTGACCAACTGCATTACTAATAAATTTCAGAGGGGGCGCCAGGTCTTATCAGCATTATGGTTCCGCGTAATTGATCTAGTTTCGTGGCGTTCGCCCTACACACCGCATTGGAAATTGAAGGAAGTATTCGAAGCAATTGGTAATAAATATTATCACAGCTGACCGCGACTAATGGGCAAACAAAAGAGCGCTTAATAGGACGCTGGTCAACAATTCGAATGCGATAGCGAAGGCGCGTGGAAAACTCACCATGGGAAATGCGGTGGGGAAAACACCTGCTGTCGATCCAATTCGGTGCGCAGATCGGGTAGATCGGGTTTGGATCGGGAATGGAATGGATTTCGTTTATCGTACTTATCAAATGCACTTTGTTTCGCTTTTTGTCGGGGGTTTGGGTTCTTGTTGCCTGGTATTCGTTGCTCTTTACTTGCTGCTGCCACTTTGCGGTTGCCTTTGCTGCCGATTTAATTAGCAATACAAACACATTAGCTAATGCACACACGAGACACAGTCACACGAATTGGCGCCCACGCAGCGTGCCAAGAGCCAAAAGCAAACGCGTTTATTGAAAATGCAACGCGCACACAGAACTCCCAGTCGCGCAGACTCAAAACCAACTTCAATATCAAAATCAAATTCAAATTCAAATTCAAAATCAAAACCAAAACAAAATAAGAGCCAAGCAAGCTGGCTTTTGGCAGCAAGAATAGCGAATGCGAATGCGAGTACTGACCGCTGCACATGCACTTTGCATTTGCAGTTGCACTCGCCTCTGCCAGCGGAGTTCTCGCCTCAAAACAGCTCAAAACAACTCGAAACAACACAAAACACCGCAGAACACCTCACAACACCTTTGCCTTTTCGCCTGCTGCCGGATAACCGATTCGTTCGAGTGATCGCGAGTGACTGAATCTGAAACAACGGCGAGCTTGCGCGGTTTGAATTTCGACCGATCGCCCGGTTGCGCGCCCTCCTCTACTCTTTTCGAGTGCCAGTGCTGCGCAGACTTCAGAAAATGTACAGATCAGCTTAAAGAAGAACCCAAAAAATAAACAAAATTTAGTACTATGAATAAATAAATTTTTAATATTTATATGTATGTATAAATATTAAAAAGTTTAATACAAATATATTTATTACTTATTTATACGCAAGTAACTTACCGAGATGCTTTCTGTAAACGTTTAAAAATACTTTAATTGTTTTTTTAAAACATGAGTAATATGCGATTTTTTATAGAGTTTAATATTAAGCCGCACTGCATTTGTTTATAATATTCTTTTGAACCAAATGCCAGCACTGGTGAGCGCGGCTAACCGGTTCGTTCGCGAACCAGCTCCGAATAACAGAGTGCTGCTGTCAACGGCTCAATAAATTCAAAGAAAATATATAGCGTTTCTTGGAAAAAATTGGATCGCTAAGAATTTAGTTCTAATTAATATCATCAAATATATTAAAAATAGTTTTGAAAACATTTGGAGTCAAACTAGAATTTTCTTCAACTCGAACCAATTTTTAAAAATATTTTATATGAATATGTCCCCATAAGTTAAACTTACAGATCTCTAAATATGTAAAATCAATGTTTTTGTTTAGCTTAATGGTAAGATATATTCAATTAAAATATGTACTTCTGAGAACCGAAAGATTTCAGAAATTCATACTGCACGTACATACATATAAATATGTAAACATATATACCGTTAACTAGTAAATCAATTTTTTCTTAGTAAATGTTTAGTTGAGTCCGTTACAATAATTTCAAATCGAGCGCCAAATACAATAACGATAATATAAATATCGATATAAAACTAATGACTATTCGCTGTGACTGCCAATGCGGATTGACTGACTATCGATAGGCGTGCAGGTAGCCCTGGTTTATGTTATTGGATGATGGCGCCTATAATTCAAATTCAAAAATTTAAATAAGACTTCGAAATTATATACCAAATATATGGGCGGTGATATTTTAATATCTAAACATTTCTAGCTATGTTGATTAATTGTTCAAGGAACATATTTTAATTCAAAAGTATGTAAAAGTCTTAGATATGTTTAAAAAAATGCTTGCTAGCCAAAAATAATAAAATGAGCAATTGACAGAATAAATTTAAGAATAATTACGAATATAAAAATGTAAAGTGTAAATCTAAACTTGCTCTTTTAAGTATTGAAAGTACCTATTAAAATCGCATAATTAATTCATTGAATTTGGAGAAACTTTGGCGCATCTTCCAATTAGCGAATTTTTCGCAATGCCCCTTCCCAATGCTATGTTTGCCCGAATTAAACAACAGTCTCGACTTGTTTATGGAAATGTTTGTGAACTCAAACGGTGTTTATTTTCAAATGACTTAAGCCTAACTCGAATAACGCTCAACATGTGGTGGTGGTGGCCCCAGGCCCAACTTGATCTAGAATCGTCCCTGACCCTGGCGGGATTCCTGGTGGGGATGGGTGCGGATGTACTCCAGGGACTTCAGGATGGCTGCCGGAATGGGAGGAGGGGTGGGCAGATGGGCGCCGGCGGGGTGGAAACCGTCGGCATCGGCGGTGTAGGTCAGCTGGATCAGCTGGCCATCGGGGGCGTAGTAGGCATTGGAGCCACTGGCGTAGTAGCCCCCTGCGCCCGACTCCTGGCCGGCGATGCCATTGGAGGTCTGGTACTGGTAGGCATAGCTTCCGTCCTCCTTCAGGTCGCTCTTGTACTCCCGGGTCTCGGCTCTCGCATCGAAGGAATCGGCCTGGACGCAGGAAATGGCCAGGGTGGCAACAGCAAGGATGAACTAGGATATAAAGGATGGTTAGATGGGTTTCCCTTTCTCCTTTGCCAACTCCTCAACTCACGAATTTGTTCATTTTGGATGGGATTTGGGTCTGGATTTGGGCTGGGCTGGGCTGACTTGTTGTCACTGTGAACTCGCAACGAGAATGAATGTGACTGAATTGGCCTGGCGGCGCATTTATAGCATTTTGGCACGCCAATCATTTTGGGCCGGGCACTCGCACTCGCAGTCGCAGTCGCCGATGCCGAAAACGCGTATAATTTGCAGCATTGAACATGAACCTGAACTGCCCCTCACAGATACAGATACAGAAACCCACACGCGGGCACTAAAAGACTCCGCTGGAGACTCATCCATCGATACCCATTTTTTTTTCTTGGTGATTGTGTGTGAGATAGTTTTTTGGCCATAAACTTTATGCTCCTTTTTGTTCAACTTGTGGTCAGCCGGTTAAACAATTCGAAGCTCGGTGGAAGGGGTTGATTTTCAATTAGCACCTTCCGAAAATTGCTTAGTTGTTAGCGCAATTCGTAGTTGACCCATCAATGGTTCCACTTTATTTCCTGGATCAAGAAAAAGATATGGGTTCCACGTGTTGGCTAGCTAATTATTTTAAAGTGCCTGGCTTTATGACAGGATCATTTATAAATGTAGCGCCTGGTCCTAGTCCCCTGCCCAATTCATATGCGAAAGTTTATAATAAATGGTTCGTCGAATTGGCGAAATCGATTAAGAACCTCACATGCTAGGTCAACGCATTCATTTATTACAAAATCACCAAGCGCGCCCAAAAATGGGAAAAAGCGAGAGCCAAAAGCCAAGAGCCCGGAGAAGCGGCAACCTCAACTTTGGAGCAGACGAACGACCTTGCCACCAACATTGGCAGACTGTCCGAAAGTACGACAGTTAATCGACAGCGGAGCGGCAAGTTTGTATTAAGTTTTGATAACGAAACTGGCGATGAGCCGGCGATGACGTGACTCACGGGGATCACGAGGCAGCGGGGGGAAATTGGAAATATCCAAGGGGATATTTGGCTTTTTAGAGCCTTTAAGTAAGAATCAAATCACCAAGACAAAAATATTACTTGGTTGGATTGTTCAAAGTGTTAATAGAAATATGGTTTTTTTACCATTCATTTTTAAAATTGTTTATAGAAATTGAAGTATTTTTTATTTAAAATTATTGTTATTTTTAAAATATAGTAAAGTAGAGACCATAATATATCGGTTGGAAAAGTTTTTGTATTTCCTTGGTGTTATATTTCAAACAATAATCATGGATCTATAAAAAAAATGTCGACCTAAAATCACATTTTTTTTTAATTACATAAAATCATGAAATAAAATACAAATTTCTAAAAAAAAAATTAATAGCCTCTTACAACTAACAGTATCCTTTTTAAAAAGTGAATATAACGTTATTATTTTACTCGACATTCGTAAAGTCGTATTTCCTCACATTGTCTATGTACAACAAGTACATATCTATTCTGAGTTACTATATCTACAAAATAAAGCTTCTTACAGGGAAGAAAGTGCCTTTGCACTTAATGTACTTATACTTATTAATTTAATATTCAAGTTCATGTAATTTATTTTTGTCAATAAGTCACAAGAAGAACAATTTATGAATGTATTTTTATGTTGCATAAACTGGATATCCATTTCGTATCCTAAATTAAATATTTCAAATATTTGCATTAACAATCGGTCGCATTTGGTACTCCATTTCATTTAAGCCACATTAAAGGTGTCCGTCTGCCATCACTAAAGTGGCCAACAGGCATCGGCGAGCGGCAACAAAATCGTCGACGGCAACAGGAGGAGCTTGACTCGCAGGGCATGCTGTTTCCCTACAAGTTTTGTGTTGGCCTTTTATAAGTACAACTTGGCTAGGTTGGCAACCAGACTGCGTCTGCGACTTGGCTTCAATCTGGGGGCGTATTCGGACTCGGGCGGGGGGATGGGGTTTTTGGATGGGGTTGGGATTTGGGAGAAAAGTGAATGTGATGGAGGGACGATGTCGCATGGAGGCAGTACCAGAAGCAAAAGCATCAGGAGCAGCATTATCTGCCTTTTGCTGCCCTCTGTTTTGCTGGCCTTTTTGGTGTTACTTTCGGCTTTTATGCCCCAAACCGGCTGTTCGGCAATTTGGCATTTTTTTTTTTTTGCTTTATTTTGTTTTTTTCGGCCAACACAATTGTCCGGTGCCTGCCGCTTGGGCGGCTTTAAATGAAAGCAAAAGTTGTTACGATTCGATGGCGTTTCCTTGCCGGTTGCCTTAAGCCGCTTCCGCTGTACTTAGCCATCCTGCCCCTCGGGGTTCTGGCATTGTTCCTCCAGCTGCTCCCCCTGCTCCTCCAGCTCCTGGTCCCCATCCATCCATTAGGGCATCAATCCATCTTGGTGCGCATTAAGGAGACACAAGAAGAGACAGCGGAAAGTATAAAAAAGGGTACTCCTTGGCCAGTTGCTCACGCTCACCTGCTCCACATTAATTGACCCACATTCGGTGGCGGCAACCCGTCCAGTGCGTCTCAGACTGGTCCCATCCAGTCCCGCCGAAGGTCGCTCGGATGCGGCGTTTTAGCCCTAGTTTGGGCATGGCTTCGGAGGTTTAATTTACGACCATCGCCGCATCTGCACGGAGAGAAAAGTCACACTGTATACTAAGAAACTATTTTGATTAAAATATTTAATTTTTAGAATTTTATAGTATTATGTTTTAAAGTTAGAGGTCTGTAGTTAGTTTAATTTATTATTTGAATAATAATTTAGCATCAATACTAACCTTCATACTAGTGGTTAAAATTCAGCATCACTTATAATAAATAGAATATTAAATTTATCAGTCACCCAACACCAATATCAAATTAAATATATCTTTTGATCGATTAAAGCACCCATATTAAATTGAATGTTGCATTTGGGCAAACCTCTATGTGGGTTACGTTTGATTTGAAAAAGATTAGGTCCTACTTTTGATTTTACATGCGATCCAAAATGTTGCACATATTTTTGGTACACCCAAAATAAAAAAATATGCAAATTATTTATTTAAGAAATATATTAATTTGTCTTGTTAATTTATAAGTTTGAGAAAGTATAACACAATAAAAAATTTTTTTTTTAATTTATAATTTTCTTAAAACTATTAAAAAAGCATTAATTTCAAGAATAAGGAATATGTATAAAATGTACAAAAAATAGAAGAAGTATACAATTATTCGCCCTTTCGCTGAGATTTTTATATTTTTATCCAACATTGTCACTTTTTTCTCTCTGTGTACATGGATAGTCCAGCGATTGGCATTTGAATTTTTATGGCCAATCCGTTGCTCCACATTCACTCATCTGATACTTTTAGCGATGTTAATTAATTAATACACTGTCATCGAAAGCGTCGCGACGCTTGCAGACTGGCTGGCCACTTTAATGGACCGTTTATACGGTTTCATTCACATCTTAGTCACCTGGTTGAGGACCCCCACCGATTCTGCAGTAGATGGAACCCTATATAACACCTGAAATTCGAGCAGAAAGCGTTGGCGTTGGGCGTGGAAGGTCGGCCCTTGGGGGTTTTTATGGATATGGATGGATGGATAGATTGCCGCCAAACAAAGTCAACGACTTTCGAAAATCTTGCCGCAACGACCTTCAATCGCTAGAGACAAAATGGGTCTGCTAATTGTTTGTAGTTGCAACTTTCATTTCGATTCGCTTTGGAAATTGTTTCGTGGCGGGGATTTCGGCAAGTTCGCACTTGTAGCTTCAATTTAAATCAGCACACGGCTTTATTGAATAACCCAATTAATTGGATTTCCATCCATTTGATTTTTTTTTTGGCAACCAGACTGCACGTGTGTGTCTATATGCATTTTTGGTGTGGCCAATGTTTAAGGCTGGCTGATGGATTTTTAATCAAAAACTTGATTCAATTTGCATGTTTCAAGTCCGTTTCCCTTCCCTGCCGCACCAAGTTTGAATGGTTCACATCTCTTGACAATTCATTTGAATGCGTGAATATTCCATAACATCGCACTACTAATTGATTTGACTCGTAGGCCATAAAAGCTCTGATCAAATTAAAGCAGTTTAACAACAGAGCTCTACTTATCTCCTATCTTTGCTTTATTTTGCTTTCATTTTGCCTGGCTTGAATTGAATTATTGCGGGGGCGAAGGCACTCAGAAGAACATTTTATTTATTTAAACCTATCAAAACTGGGAGATTTTTCATGGACATGCGTGTAAATGTCACAGTAAAAATAACGACAAAAATTATATTGGCTTATTTATGAGGTCTGTGCATCAGATGCAAATTAATGCACTTTCACAGCTTTTCTGAGCATGTCGGAAATATGGCCTTTTCAGGCATCATGAAAAGAGAAGCTTAAATTCACATGAAAACACATATGGCAGGGGGAAAATTAGAGTACTTTAAGGATGTGACGTTGAGCAAATCTTTGTGAAAGGAAGCTCTATAAGGCTTAAAAACGAAAACATTGTAGTATCATTAATCAGCAATATTTATAAAAGCTCTTTAATAAAATCTGAAGTATTCCATAATAATAAAAGTTAAGTGCAATGTCAAAAAATCAATTTTGTATAGCTACTATAACGAAATTGTTCTTTACTACACCGATGAAAATAGAGATATCATTACCAGCTTTTATCTTAATATAAATTTAATCTTTAATTAATGTTTTGAACTATGTGCAAAATGCAGTAGCAGCATACGGCAATGTTTTCCATGACCTATTTGTTAAGTAAAATTTATGAGCCGAACCAGTTGCCCGCAGCCTGAAACCAGATGCATAATGTGAGTGAGTTATGGACAGGCAGCTCTCAAATTCTGATCGATTAGCATCTCCTCAAAGGGTAGGGGAAAAATGAGCAATAATTTGCCGGGTGAGGAGATGTACCATTGGCCTTTTTACGACCCACCCAGCACGAGCCATAGGTATATCTTTAAGGGCCACCACTTATCTCATGGCATTGTGCCATGTTTTATAGCTTGATAAATGTTTTAGGAACCAGCGAATCCATTACAGATTTCGTAAAAGTGGTCATCTTACATACGAATGTGCACCGATAAGTGTGCGCAACTTGGTCGTGGATAATTAATGAATTAACACAAACACTTAATTACTTAAGAGCCGGCAGCGAAGAGTTTCTTGACCCGCGGGGCGAGCTGAGTTGAAGAAGGGTCAGGTCGGCCAGGTGTGTGGTCAGCGGTTCGGATTCGTTTTCACTCAAAACTTTTAATGGAAGTTGCTGTGGAAGCCACCTAGAGACGAGATAATTGGCGTTGCAACCGTTGCTGGCTCTCGGCTGTGAAATCCGAAATGAGCAGCCATATGTCGGTGATGTGATGTGATGTGATGTGATGATATGAGTTCCAGTCCCCTACCTCCCAGTACCCCAATTATCATCACCATCAGGTCTAATGGCTGCACGCCGCTTTCCTCACTTTCGTTGGATATCAATTCGGATTTTCTGGGGTATAAAAGCGCCGGGTCGAGGTTACCGAGGCATCAAACAGAGTTCAGCTCTTAGGGTCAAACCAGCAAATAAACCATAAGCCATATCTCAACCTAAGCCAGGCGAAAATGTCGAAGATCGTAAGTCAAAGGTTTTGGGCATCCCATAAGAGGATATAATAACAACCGATGTGATTGCAGAACGTCGTCGTACTTGTGGCCGTGTCCGTTCTGCTGGGAGTCCAGGCTCGTCCCTCCGATACCCCGGATGCCCATGCCGAGATCCGGAGCTTTGTGAACGAGCTGAAGCAGGACGACGGCAGCTACAACTACCAGTTCGAGACGTCCAACGGGATTGCCCAGCAGGAGCAGGGAGTGGGTGGCTACTACGCCAGCGGCTCATCCCAGTACTACACCCCCGAGGGCCAGCTCATCCAGTTGACCTACACAGCCGATGAGAACGGATTCCAGCCGCAGGGCGAGCACCTGCCCACTCCCCACCCCATTCCAGAGGCCATCCTGAAGTCGCTGGAGTACAACCGCCAGCACCCGGAGGAGGAGAACGAGGGCTATGAGGGGCACCATGACCACCATGAGCACCATGAACACCATGACCACCATGGACATGGTCAGGAGCAGGGAGGAAAGCAGTATCTTCAGCCAGCCGGAGCTCTGCTGGCTCCCGCCGCCTCGCCAGTGGTGTCCGTGGGTCAGGTCCTGCTCTACGACAGGAAGGTGTAGAAGGTCTGCAGCATCCAAAGTATCCATAGTATCCATAGCATCCGCATCAGCATCCATCTTGTCCAGCTGACTCATGTTTTTGGGTGCCTGTTTGCATAGTCAAACCATCCAACATCCAGCATCCAGCACACAGGACCCATCAACCAGCAGAAAGAACATCGAAGTGACTACATCTGAAGGCGGTGGCACACCCACTCACACACTGTATATATAGACCCTCATACATTTACATCAACTTGCTCCCGGGCTGCTCGGAGGTACTTCGCCCTCTGAACCGTCTCCTCTGGCCCGTGTCCGTTGTCGGCTCGACTGACGTTGACATTTATTGCCAGAGATAATAATAATGTAATAAAAGAAAAATACAATTTAATATGCTTGTTTATACTATGGATGCCTTTGCCGAGACGAGACGAGAGCATATGGCCATGCCCCGAGATATCGCCATCGCACAGGGAGAAAATGTATATCAGCAATGCGGTGGATAAATCATAGCTTTGGCACACTGAGCCATAAAGACTCAAAGTTAAAGAAAATATTCGTGGCACTTTAAAGGCCGAGGGTTATTCCCCCCATCGCTCGTTAAGAGAAATAGGAAAAAAATAATATACGTTTTCAGGGTATTCCCCTAAGCAAGGCAAAAGTGATTAATTTGCTCACACTTTTGATAGACTAGTTTAACAATTTAATTTTATTTATATATTTTTAACACCTTTTAAGCTTAAACATCATGACATATATTTTTCGCCCCGTGCAGATGCCTTTGCCTCGCCCACACGCATTATCGCAGCCTCTTAACCCTTGAGATTTTCCTTCAAGTGTGCAGATCTGGTTTGCCTATATCTATATCAATTCAAGCTGGTGGAACTTCAATCAGAAATTAATAAATGCACACTGGCATTTGTTTTTGGGCGGATGTATTATGCAAATCGATGTTGGCCCTTCAATTCCAGTTGATTCGCGTTTCGGGCTCGAGAAATGTTGTAACTTCAAATATCATTGTTGAGTTGATTAAATTATCAAGTTGTTGCTGCTGCTGTTGATGGTCTCGATGGCGTTTACTGTTTTCGGTGTTTGCCGAAGAGCAACATTCGAATTTGATTTTGATTTTGATGCATTGAGGTTGTGTCATCAGCTCCACCCAAGTTTAATGGGTATAATAATTTTGACAGTCAATTTAAAAAAAAGGTTTTGAAAAATATCAGACGATAGGTTAATAAGTTAACTTGGGTACACTCTAAAAGCGCCTTAGGCTAAATAGATTTAAAATTAAGAACTATTATATTACAAGTAACTATATACTATTAAGTTAAACTAAATTATTTTATAGATTTTTTAATCATTAATTTCTGAAGAATATCCAGTACACGAAAGGTAAATAAGAATAAAATTAGAAATATAAAGAAGAATAAAATATGTGTGTTCTTTGATGTTAAAACTTGAACTTTACAATTAAATACAAGCTATTTTCAAATTGTTTTTATTTTTCAATGAGTACCCAGTAGCCGTCATTATATCATTATTGGAACTCCATCTCATGCATTAATGACTCAAAACGTGTGGCCAAAAGCAGTTGATTGGGCGAAATATGGGTCGCTCTGCATGCCCGACTTGTTTGCATCTTCGGAGTCTGCATACTGGCTTTGTCTTTGACTATCGGAGCACTATAAATAGTCAATCGGGGGCCCATAGTGACAGCATTAGCCTCTCAGTCAACAAACCAGCAGCAACATGTACAAGCTCGTAAGTGGATAACAGAGTTCGCATCCGTGGTTCGAGTGATTTAATTGACATCCTGGGACAACTCCCAACCCAATCCCAACAGCTCCTTGTCGTCGCCCTCTTCGGATGTGCCCTGGCCGCCCCAACGAACGATGATGTCATCACCAAGTTCCTGACCAACCAGGATACCGACGGAACTTATGCCTACGATATCGAGCAGGCCAGTGGTATCCAGATTAAGGAGGAGGGTCAGTCGGGTCACTATGCCCGCGGATCCTACGCGTACATCTCCCCTGAGGGAGTGCCCGTCCAGGTGGTCTACACTGCCGACGAGTTCGGATTCCACCCACAGTCCGACCTCCTGCCCACTCCCCCACCAATCCCAGAGGCCATCCTGCGCTCCATCCAGTACATCCAGGAGCACCCCACCCCCGAGGAACTGGCCGATCGTGAAGTCCGTGCCCATCAGATCTAAGTGGTCAATGCCAATATTAGTCATAAGTTAGCCAAAGTCGTCATCACATGATGTGTTCATCCAATCCATACGATTAAAGCCATCCAGCTTCGGCTGGTGTTTGTACAACTCATTTGCGGCCTATCTAATTTACCTGGGAACTAACTAATTAGTGAGTCTATGGAGTAGATTTTATTCCAGCTGAAGCGGAGACAATGCCTCGCACTTGATACTGAATATTTAACGCCATTAGCTTGACATCTTCCATTTCGAACAGTGGTTCCAAAGTTGCCCAAACTTATGGTTTTATTTCTTCGACTGCAGCTGGTTTTTGAAAGTTCCTCTTTGTCGTGAACCACAAAACAAAATCGGGCTAGCGAAAGCAACTTTCTGTGATAACCCATGCCAACGAAGGTCAAGGTCAACGTGGGCGAAACGAAAACAAGACCTTCAAGGGAGACATTGTTTCCAATAACATGGAAAGTGTAAAGATATTGGGGTTAAACTTGTTTGTGGCCAAAACAAGTCTGCAGTCGCCTTTTGTTTATCTTGAAACACGTGTTGAAACTAAGAAAATGTTGGCATTTTGCAACAAGCTTTGCATTAATAAAAGGGAAATAAAAGTGGGCAATGCAATGGTTCTCTAAAGCTCTAACATAAACATAGCTTCAGATAAAGTAACCTTAGTAATAATTTGGTTTAATTTTAAACTATAAAAAGATGCTGGTTACCAAACAAAACGTTCATATTAAAGAAATTAACACTAACACTTTTACTTAAAAATCCAAAAAATAAAATATTCATTAGCTTTATAAATCTTAAGCATAATTAGTAGGAATAATTTTTCATATTTTAAAAAGCTTTATTTTAAGGCATATAAAATCTACCAATCTAATAAAACATAATTTTTTAAAGTTAACTATAGTATTTGCTCAGTTTTTTAGGTTGTCAATTTGATACCATAATTTCTTATTTAGACATCCCTTTAATAAAATATTCAAAAACTTTGCCAATCTTTATCATAAAAAAACAGTCAAACAGGGCGTCGAAAACACTGTGCTTTCGCTGCTCATTAACATTTGACATGAGGCAAGTTAATTTCTGCTTTTGGCTGCGATTTTATGGGCGGGAATTTAATGAGTGTCTGCTGGAAATGGAAATTCATTAAGACACTTACAGGCGGCGGAGCAGGAGCAGAAGCAGACTCACACAGACACAAAGAGGAAGTCTTAACTTGGCTAACACGCACATAGCGCCATTGAAGCGTGCTGGTTTTTGGGGGACAATCGGGAAAAGTCGGGGAAAATCGGGGTAACTCGTGGTAACTCGGAGAACGGGTCTCTCATATCAATTAGGCACGCTCAGCGGCGGATATGAGTAGTTAATTAAAAAGATTGGGATGCCCGGGGAGTTAATATGCGATGTGTGAACTGCTATAAAATTCAGCAATCCAAAAGGACGAATCGTAAAGCTTTGTTTCCACCCCAATTTGGGCTTCAATTTCCGGTCTTTAACAACGCTTATGCTAATGTCAACCCATTATATCTGAGGATCTGCGGTCACCACTCGAGGCACAGGTGCTTCACATTTATGCTACTCCTGCCGGGGACAAGAGCACAAAGCTGCTGTGTAATCAAAAACTTTTATTTATCATTTTGCTGAAAATCTAATTATAAATGCGATGTGGAAATGTAGCTCTTTTTTTCCGCTTCACCTCGCTCAGTGGGTCCCCAGAAACTGAATCTGAATCTGAATGGGAATCTGAATTGTTTGTGGCTGTCGCGTATCCTCAGTATCCTGGGCATCCTGCTGTTTATTCCCGGCGATTGTCGTCCATGTGCCAAGTCGTAAATGGCGGTCTCCTCGGTTCTGATGGAAGGGCAATAAATTTTTAAATGAATGCAAGATTTCAGCTGAATCGTAAAATGCCAAACATGCATAAACAGTTTGTTAAGTTTAAATAATTGAAACGTGCCATGGTATTTCCGCGTGTCTTTAAGCATTATAAGGGAAATCTAAATAACTAATTTATTTAGTCGCGAACTTGAGCCCAAAAAGAGTTACGAGGGTGTATTTTAATCAGAAATCAGTTGGATTCGAGCCGCTAAGCCTTTGAATAATGCGGGTGCAGATAAGCCGAGTGCACTTTCCGGAAATTTAGCCCCTATATTAGGGCATTAAACAAATGGGCCAATAACCCTAAGCCCAGTAACCGTGCAATTTGTTTTTATGGTCAGTATAAACTATGCACAAAATTAGCTTCTCTGTACGTCTTTTATTTGGCCATAACTCAACCAACTGTAGAGCATTTGGCCCGATGTCTGGCCCACTTCGGCCCAAAAAACAAGAAGAGGATAGACAAATACAACTACCCTTTTGTGACTGTTTCAATGTAAATACATTTGTGGGGGAATGGGAAAAAGGATACCTTTTCTATTTGTCGGGATTGAGGGGCCACCACCATGTCCATATTTAAGCAGCCCCACAACGGCGGCTGAATAAAAAAATTACTTTGTTTGGAGCCCCGAGGAACATGGTCACGGCATGTGTCACGTAGCTGCCAAAATATGCGAGCGAGTGCTGGAAACTGACACGGACTCCGTTTTTCCCTGAAAAGCATAACCCGTAACGGAATGGGCGAGCATTTCAATTAGCAAAAATACTGTAGCGAGCCCTTTTGTTATAGTCATATTTATAGGGATTCCGATTCTCGGAAAATGAAATTTCCTTAAGCATTCTTTACTCGGCAAAAAAGGGAAGAATATCCAACTTTAATGCCTCACTCTTTACACTTTTCACTTTTCATTTGGTGTGCAATTTTTCTCGCAGCCAAAATGTAAGGAAAAACATTCTCTGGCTGTATTAATAACAATAGTTCCGGCCATTTGGCGATGGAGGGCCAGTTGATGGAGTGGATTGGGGTTTGAAAACCCAGAGACTGGGTAGACAGGGCAAAATGAAAAATAATTTCCAACAATAATTGCCAAAAGAAAAGTTTGGCCCAGTGAAGTGCCGAATTCTCCCATTCTTTGGGACATACCAGTACGAATGACAACGGCCATAGCTAAACAGACAAACGAAACCAATTTATTTCCAAGTAAAAATCAATAGTCAAGTATGGGAGGAGTGGACAATGCGCGGGTTTCAGGGGCCAACTAGCGTGGAAATCGTAAAAAACGTCAAATTCTGGAGAGGCGACAAAATTGTGTGTCCAAGTGTGTGGGGCCCAGTAACGTGTGTACGTGGAGATGCCACCTCGAATCGTGAGTTTGCCGGACACTCTACTGGACAGTCATTGGATGGTCTCCATCCTGATCCTCCTACCCCCACTCTGCACTTTGCCGTACACGGTGCACTTATATCCGTATCGGTCGTCAGGCTTCCGGAATCCGTTTTCGTTAACAACTGCGTCCCAAGTAGCGCACAAGGATACCAGGAACAACTACAGCCACAACTACACTTTCTGCCAGGACGACGAGGACGGCAACGGTGGCGCTTAATAGTAAAATATGCATTTGACATGCGATGAAGTACAATGAATGCACAGAGAAAAGTGCCACGAAAGGTGGTAGTTTTGCATATTAAAGGGGGTTGAATGTCAGCTACGTGTATATTATATTTAGAAAGTATGAAACGCATTTTTAAGATTTTGTGTGGGTACTCAACAACGCATTTTATGCATAGAATGGCTTATTATTAGAAAGGTTATTAAATAGTGATTATAAATGCATGATTTAGTTTTCAAAAAGTAGATTGTATCTTTAATAAAAGACTTTTTACCATATATAAGTATATATTTTACATTTTTTTAACAACTAATAGATAGGTTAAAAAAAAAATAAAAAAATTAGTGTTTTCTTATATATTAATGGATTTATTGGTTATAGTATTGATAAATGATTATGTTTAATATACACTCCTGTTTATATAAATGTTGGAGTCATTGATATTTCTTACTTTCCGTGATACCCTTAAAAAAATCAAAATAATTTTATCAGCCTTACAAATTATTTTCCGCAGTGCCTCGCAGCCAACTGATTGCTTTTTCACGTCCATTTGTTTAAAGATCCAATTAATTGGGCCGCATTTGTTGGAGGCAGTGAAGCGAACTCCCCGATAAGCCAGAAATATACGTTCTTCACTTTAGATGTGACATTTTGATTGCAACCGCATATTTTAATTTTCAACCTCGGCTGAAAAGTATGCCATGGCTTTGACTACAATATAATTACAGACGCATTTATAAGCATGGAAATGTAATAATGCCTTCTCAGCAACACACATATGGACGGGAGCACTAAATTTGATTTCAATAATTCAATATTAGACAGGGCAAAAGTAGACATAAGTTAACAGCAACAGTCCTCTTCAGTTAAGAGCGACTGTTGGCTAACAGGACTCACAGGACTTTTAACTTGGCCAACATCAAACTGGGGTCCTCAGTTGTCTGTTGTTCGTGAGAGGAGCAGGACTTTCCGAGCTCCCCGTACTTTTCCCACCCATCCAAAAATACGACTCGATTTCGTACGTAAATATTTATGTTTGGGAAACTCGCGTTCCGAGCCGAAAGTTCGCGAGTTGGTATAAAAAACTGCGAGTGCGTTAAAAAGTTCACACACAAATTGCATTATTTCCGCGCTGCGATATATTGGCGCGTTTTTCATGCTTTGCATATTTTTTTTTGGTCGTTTTAACTGGAACAAAAGCGTTATGTATATGCGGGGGTAAAAAGTTTGGGGCGATTGTTGTGGATGTGAATTTTGCATAAGGACATGAGGACCAGCACCCAAGAGGAAAAAAAGAAAAGCGGAGGGGGCCGCTTTCATTCCGGACATAAGCACTCGGAAAAATCACAATATTGCAATAATAATGAAGGAATATCTTATTTCTATGTTTTTTTAGTGCATACATTTTATTATTTTTAATTTGTTTATAATATAAATAAATAGTTTGTAGGATCCTAAAGTAAGTACATATTTTTTTCACTGCATATGCTACATTCTGTCATGTGTGGCAGGCAGCTCGTTTATTTTAAAAATTTCCATTTAAACCCATGACTTACTTGCTGCTCCTGTTGTGTGGGGATCAAGTAACTTGTGATTCCTGGGGCCAAGTGGTTTCTCGCCACCTGAAAATTAGTCAAGAGCCCCCTGATTTACAGCGAGTTTAAGTGTATTAAGGCATTAGGCCAGGTCTTTGCCTCGGGCCAGGAACTTCTCCCTTCTCCATGTGGCCAAAATGTAATTTTCTTAGCACTTTTGTTCACGCCCGACGACACATGTTGTGGTTCACACACCAACACACACCGCCTCACCCGCATTTACCGCACCCATACATGCAGACAACGGAAGGGGACACACGCACACTTATACCCAGAGACCGCAGACACCGATACTAATGCCCCCCGGCGGCATTTACATACTCGCCCAAACATAAGCATAAGCGCAACTTAGCTTGCCAAAGTTTTTTGTTCAACTTTCCGCTGCCGAAAGCGAGCTTAGATTGGGAGAGGAGTCCTCCTGACTGATTGATACCCTACCATCTTAACAGCTTGTGGCAGTTAAGGAAAAAGTGCAGGGAAGAGTGCTAAATGACTGCAAAAGAGCTCTCAGGAATATCACTTATACGCAGTGTGGCTTTGACTGATTCACAAGCTCTAATAATAACATTAAGGTTCTTCAATGATTTTATTTAAACAACAAAATCTTACTGTTACCATTTTTATTCAAAAGACTTCTTGACTAGAACAAGAAAGATTTTTGTTACATATTTAAGGGTAATACGGAGGATTACCTATAAAATATAAGTGTCTTTATAGAAGTATTCGTTATTAGAGAAAGTAAGAATTCTTCTTTTTCAAAAATAGTTTCCGCATATACTTTAATATTTTTTAACCATTTAACCTTGCTCTAGTCACTCATCTTCTTCAGAGCATTCATTTTTGTATTTACCTAATATTATACCCTCAAGTTAAACGATATTTTTAAGTGGGTTTCGAACTTCTTCTTTTGTACTTAGCCCATAACATATTATAGCACATTTTTCAAATGGCTTTTGAGTTCCTAAAATCACTTAAAACGGCTTAAAACCCATCGAAGCGTAACCTAAAGTACCCCAAAGTTACCCTTCACCTACTGCAAGGCATATTTAAATGCTCAAAGTCCGGAGTTCGAAAGTAGCTGGCTGAAATAATGCCTATAGTACAATCTGGGTCCCCAAATCGTCTGGCTGACGACACGCTTAGCTTAAAGCCCGTGGGCAATGCCACTTTGGCACTTCGGTACTCTGGGATTGCGGCGGATTTAATCGATAGCCGTGCTAATAGTTTGGCTGTGCGACATGTGTGAATATCGGATGGGGCTGCGTTTCAACTCTCGGCTGCCAATCATTTTACGCTTGATTGCCGTCCAAGGCCGGAGGCACCGGAATCCGGTGGCAATGCCTTCGCCGGGGTGTCATCCAATGTTGTCCGTAGGATTTGGGCTGCCAAGTCAGACATTAAGTCGATGGTCCGGCCGAAAAGCCCCGGCTGAACTGAAGGCAATTCATCTAAATCAGGTTCGGCCGGCCAGTTCTGCGGTTGCGGCTTCAATTAATTAAAACAAATTGTATTTGCCCATGGCTCTGAAACTCGGCCGTCTGCTGATGGCCGGCCATCTCTCCGGTATATATATATATACACACTCAGTCTTTTTTCAATTAATTGTTATTTCATTAGCTTCCATTACTCGCTGAGCCACCCACGCGGGCTATTAATGTAGTGGGCGCCCATTCACCTGGCTAGAAAGCCAGGAGGGGAAGTGGAACAGGGAGTGAGTTGATCCCGGAGAGGTGGGCGTTATAATTTTCACTTTTATTGGCTTTTAATGAATGCGAAATTGCCAGGGATTATGAATACACTTGCCCATTATCTGCTGCAGGGCCATTAATTAGATTACAAAACGTTTTACGGGCTTTGGTTAGGGTCTTATGAGATTCTGCCGCTGACTTTGTTGGGGGAAATTGTGTTTTTCATTTAGCTTTCAAGTGGTTTTCGGCAAAAAATTTTACCTTAATTTAATCTTAATTTTCGTATTGAAAATCTAAAATTAGTTGTTCTTAAATCACTATAAGTTTAAATGTTACTTTGTAGTAGAAAATATTTTTTTATTAATAAACCATGTTAAAAAGGGCAAACATTTTGGCATAAAAATATTTACTTCATTTCTAGTTGAAGTTTTCCTAAGAGCTCGTAAGGAACATTTTAAAAATTTGTTTATTAAATAATAATTTAATTGTCCTGACTTTACTAGTCAGTTACTCAAAACTGAAGTATGTATGATAGTAGTTAGTAGTTGGTATAGTTAGTAATTTAGGTTTGTCTATTTTGGTTTGTTTATTTGTTTTATGTTAATTTGTTAATTTATTAGGATACAAATCCTCCACATTTCGAAGATTTCGCCATTTGCAAGTGGAAACTGAAAGTGAAAACACGTCTGATGGACCCTCAGGTGCATTGAGCAAATGTGATCGGAATGGCATTGTCACCGATTCAGTGGTCGGATGGCGGAAGGTGGATAGCTGGGTGCCTGCTGTATGGTTTTCTGGGGCTCTGCCGCCACTCGACTGGCATTCAGGAGCCGTCTCATTGACTTGTCAAGTGATGCTATCAAGCCGGGCTTGTGGTCGTTACACTGAATTTGCTTGTTTGTTTGTCCGCTCGACTGCTGATTCACTTGTCTGCCGCTCGGCAATTGAATGCCACTCTGTGGCAATGGCAATGCAGTGCCACGCCCACTCCTGTGGCCGCCCGCCTGTCTGACTGCCATTCTGCGTGAGTCCTTTCAACACTTTGCACTTTCCGGCAAACAATCACATTCATTGACTTGCATTACGGTGTTTTGCAATGGTATTTCAGCCACACATCAGGGGAAAAGGTGGTTGGCTGTTCAGGGTTCGGTTTTCGATATTGGGTATTCGGTATTCTCTTTCAACTGGGGCCACCACTCGGCTGATTATTGCTTACTTATTGATAGCGAAACTGATTCGCCACGTATGCGGCAAAAGCAGAGATAAGTTTGTTCCCTGCGGAGCCAGTGAAGCGTGCCACTTGGCATCAGATACTTTCGCACACCCACGTATCTCTCAGATACTTTTCTGACTTTCAGTCGGTGCAGATCCTGCTAAAAGGTATTCGGAGAAGTCTGTAATGAGTGGAAAAAAAGATAGTGAATGTAAATAATTTACCTAAACTGATAAAATAATATGAAATTATTGAGTAAGTTGCTTGGAATATTTTATCAAGTCAATTAAAATATATTCCATAAAATATATTTCAATATTCAATAATATTCAATATGCCATTCATGGATTTAGAACTTCTTTTTTCATGTGTAGGCTTAAAACTGCGATTTAAATGCGTAAAAGTCATTAAGTGCACCATCAAAATAAATATGCATAATATATTTAAATCCTTTACCAAATCGCAAATATTATTAAATTCACATTTGGTTCTTAAATCAAAAGAGCAAATATTGATATTAACTGGTATGCAAAATGTTTGTTATTTTCATTATTGCACATTTATTTTCCTATTTTCATTATTGATTTGTGAGATAGATTGGAAAGCATTTATGTTGGTGTTTATTTATGAACGCCAGATTTATGGGAAACTATTCAAATATTCAGGAAACTAAAAGCGAATAGAAAGTTTTCAAACCAAAATGCAGTCCAACCTCAGGCATTCCGTATTCAGTGAAATATTTTGCAACAAATTATGCTTTAAAGTGAGCACATCATCCTCTCCAGTGGCAGTTAACTTTTAATTTCCTCACCTGAGCCCGGGCTCACCTGCCCCACAGCGGGGGATTCCCCCACGCAGTTGTGAATCCCTGCGAGTCGTGAATCAGCGCCGCAAGCCGCAAAGGACACGCGGCAGACCGCAGTCGACAGGGACAAAAAAAAAACAAGAAACAAAAACAACAGTTGAGCCCACTTTAGAGGTAATGGGGCGGTGGCATTAGCCATTAGCCATTTGCCATTCAGTGCAAAAGCACTGGCTTATTTTCATAATTGCCGCGGCTAAGTCGCGTTCTTGGCGGCAAAAAGCAGCAAGAGCGCTAATCAGGACCTCATCCGCCTCCTTGTGGCCCACTCAATAAGTGACTTGATAAACATGCTGAAATGGTTACAAAGTCAACAGCTTATTTGCCATGCCAGAGACATTTCAAATTCTCAACTCGCCACTCAACTGAATCAAAGTGCGTGGAGTAAGCACGATTTCTTAATTATGTGTACCCACGACTGCACAGGGAGAAATTAAGATTCGGCTTTAATTAAGATCAGATTTAGATAGTACGCAGAGGTGAGAAAGTCTTTCCGACCTTAGGAGATATGAAATCCTTTAATTAAGAAAACTAGCCTCTCGTCATTAATAAATCACATAATTATTAAGATGGTATTTATTTTTAACTCTTATATGTTAAGTTTTTAGAGTTTTATTGATAATGTCAACAAATTATATAAATTATGTTGTTATCTTTTATCATACTCCAAGTTACCATGATAGATCTTCAATATTTTGGTTGTTTCAAATTATTTCTAAAGTCTCGAGTGCTTCGAAATCATTTATCCCAAAATCTGCAATAACATAATACTACTTTTACTAATAAGATACTACTAATACTAGAATTTTGAATGTTACAAAAATACTTTAAATAAGTTGATTTATAGTTCATTACCACTTCATAAAAATCAAACTTGGCAAAGGAAGTTCATCAAATCGATCCTAGAAATATCAAAATTCTTTTATGTGTTCTGGGGTGTTGACATTTAAGTTGGATGAAGAATAAAGTATCCATTGTGGGAGGAGATGAGTTGCACACCCGCTTGTTGCTGGCAAAAACTTTTCATTATATTTATGATACAGCTTGACTTTTGTTTTGTTTGTTTAACTTCTTGTCAACCTACATAATCGGGGACACTCTCTCTCTCTCAGGCCCTGTTATCCATTCTCTGTCACTGTTAGCGAGGGCCCACTGCGCAGGTCGCCGCAGTTGAGTTGGCAATTGAATTTCACAGTAATTTCCTGGCCCCGACTGGCATACGCTTCAGATAATCGCTCGTCGGCCTGCGAGTCGGACGTGTTTTGACCGTAATACGACAGCAACTAACAGTATTTTGAGGGGAATACCCGCATCTGTATCGTACCTCGTTTGTTCATTCATAAAGCCGTGTCCTTTTACGCGAAAGCCGCCACAAACTCGCATCCTGGAGGACAACGACATCTATCGTGTGTGAGTGCTGTTCTGTGTGTCTGTTTTTGTGCCGACAGGAAATACTCGACCAAGGTGATAGAGAAAACACATATAATAATTGCAAAGGACAACCAATTTAGTTGATGTCCATTCAGGTGAGCCAGAATTTGTCGACAGGACATTGTTATCGCGTCGCCATTATACATGGTGTGTGTGATTGTGATTTCTTTTAATGCAATTTGGCCACAATTTCATTCGATTTGCCATGGTTTTATTTGATTTTATTGTTGCTGCTTATTTGATTTGTCGCCGGACACCTGCGGGCAGGGCGTATACTCGATGTCAGGACCAAGAAAAGTGGTCCATAAAAGGCTTTCGGGGAGTTGTTTGGGGTTACGGCCACATTACCCACTCGAAGCGGTCGAAATATTTTACGGTCTGCCACTTAAGTGCATCGGTGGCTTGGCGACCTGGCTTTTGTCTTTGTTTTTATAGTTGGTGCTTGAATTTCAAACGGCTGTCGTTTGTCTCGTGCTCTGCTAAGTGAAGAAGCAGTTACCCGTAAATCTTTTGCTGATTAAGTTGCTCCTGCGGCACGTAAAAATTCAACAAGCTCGGCAGAAAATATTTGTGCGCCAGCCGACGAAAACAGCAGTCTCACATGCTTTGCATATTGCTTATCTAAATTGTTTCGTTCGTGGCCCAGAAAAAGTGCGGAAAAAGGCGGTCGGGCCATTAAACAGAAACGCACACACACTCTAGACTAGGCCAATTTTTCAATGTCATTTAAAGGAAGCAGAGTTTTGACATTGGCCATTAATAAATTAGTGAGCACGCAGCTCAGCAGGATCCTCCGGCCTGCTAATTGAGTGGTAAATGCGAGGATGCTTTGAAGTCGAAGTCCTGGCCAAAATGGTGGGCCTGGTATCGCAGCTCAGGAATCAGCATCACGCAAATCCAAATTAAAAGAAATGCCCAAGATCCAGGAGCCATCAACAGCTGCGCCCACGCTCCTTCCCCCCCCCCCCCCTTTCCGAAAAAAGAAAGTAATTTGAAGCGTTCTGGCCAACCTTTCACCCCCATCCGCCAACCTACATCCCTTTTCACTTCCGTCGCAGACTTTCACAGCCTTTCGCAGCCTTTCACACATCTTTTAGCACTTTGGCCAAACTTTGCAGCCGCTTCGCTTCAGTTCGGTTGGGTTAGAGGTATAGAAATAAATACATAGGTATGTGGATATGTATGGGAACTCTCGATGTGTGCGAGATTGTTTGCCTGTCTTGTATTCCTACAAATCTTTTCAACAATTCAAAAATGTTTACTGGAACGAATTTATGGGATCCCCTTTGGCTGGCCCACATCTGTCCCCGGTTTCTGGGTTCCTTGGACTGAACCCTTCAAGGCCGTGTACTCATTATGTTCTTGTTGATTCTGGATTGAATGGATTTATATTTATACGAAAACATCAGGAAGCGCATATCAAATGCAGAACATGAGAGTTCTGAGAATTATTTTTCAGGCCAAGAAAAATGTTTATTTCTAACTGCGAAAAGGCAAACGTAAAATATGTAGCCATTGAAAAGGACCAAGAGAGAAATTTCTTGGAAATGGAAATACTGTAATTTAAGATACATGAACATGAGCTTTATTCAAGAGTGTAACAAATTGTTGAGCGCTTACACAAAAGCTATAAAAAAACGATGGATATCTTAAGCCAGTTTCAAAGATAAGTAAATAAATCAACCTGTGTCAAAATCCCCAAAATCTACCCATCGAAAATCAAGCCATCTATCATTCGGGAAATCTATTCAAACGTAAAGAACTCCCCTATGGCTGTCATGTGCTGCAGCCGTAATCATTTGATTTGGATACAGAGTGTGTTAAGTCTCAGGGCCTGGGGTATTGTTATGAGGAGAACCTGAAGATACCCATTAAAATGGCAGATGTTTAGACCGGATGTGGCAGTAAAGTGAGTTGTATGCTGCAGCAACAAATGCTTTGCGTGTCAGGTTTCTTTTGTGTTGTTTTTCCTGTTGTAACTCATTTTCTCCGCTCTATATCATTTTGGGGTGTTAATTCACAAGTGCCCGCAAGATGGCGTCGCCAAGTTTCCGGAATTCTGGGTCCCAGAATAAACCACCCGCACCGCCAGTTCCGCCCCGTCCCGTAATAGTGCCACGCCCCAGTATGCTGCAGTATGAGCCCCACGAGAGTCAGAAAATCTCTAGATCCAGATTTATAGTTTTGGTATACCTGCTGGTCGTGGTAGTACTCCTGCTCGCCTTGGTTCAATGGGAACTTGTGTCATTTTAGTAAGTTTTTCATGAGCTATATGTTTACTACAATGTTATATTTCTCTATTCAGTAAACCCTTAACCAATTTATTTTTGGACAAGTACTGGCTGAGTGTGGCCTGCATGCTGATATCAGTTCCCCTTTTAGCGGTTTTTCTGATCGTTCGAAAAGCTCGATATATACCAATCCTTGGATGGGTGCTCCTCTGCGTCATTGTAGGTATATCTTAGCGGTATTTTCTCACCTAGAATTTGAAGCCAATATTTTAGATTGCAGATAGAACTAATGGTTATTGGTATTTGCACTTTGGCTGCCTATTGTAGTGCACTATACTTTTTGCTAAGCTTCACCATAACTGCAATTCTGGTTGTGACCTTTGTGCTCATTGGTTCCTTTATTCCCTGCGATTTGACCGCCAATGTGGCGGTATTATTTATAATCAGCATGCAGCTATTTGGGGTCAGCATTTTTCTACTAATGATGTTCATGATGACCGAATTGGGCGATGGATTTTTCTGCGCCTTTGCCATGATGGTTTTGGGTATTGTTGGTATGGTAAGGAACCCCTTAATATACGGTATTTATTTTAACCATCAGCTACCCAGTTTATCATGTACCATGCCCAACTGATCCGAGGTTGGCGGTATGCGGAACTTTACACCACCGATGGACTCTTTGCAGTGATCATCCTTTTCTGCCACATTTGCATTATACTGATGCTTTTCTGCTTCTGGGATTGGTCAAAAGCAAAAGATGACGATGATTATGACTCTGGTAAGGGTGGAGTGACTAAAGGTATTGAAGATCATGAAGAAATGACCGATAAGCTCGGATTTAGAATGCCCAATTCAAACGATTATGTTGAAGGCGTTATAAACCTTTGATTTTCAATAAATCTTTTCAGTTCTTTGAAATGAAAATGTAATAGTTACTCTACCTGGAATTTCATTACAAAAATACATTTTTGTAAGACAAAGTTTCAATTAAGAAATTTAAATTATCCCCCTGCAGACAGTCAGATATTTATTCGATTTTCCAGTGGCGCTGCTCACTTATTATTGCCAGGATAATCCCCGTCTTGTTTTAATCAAATTGAGTCGGGAATTATCTCTCTTTGGCATCACCCACAAAAGACGGACCAAGCGAGTAGTGGCCATCTGGCATGTGGCTCAAAGGATTCCCCGGCAGGGAATATAAATTATCGCATTATGCTTGCAGCTCAGCTTTTTCGCCCGCCGCGCCATGATACCAATTAGTATAATTACCAAGGGAAGGGAAATAAAAACAGTACTTTTAGTTGGTAAATACTTCATGAAAAGCGCAGTTCTGCTGCTCTTGCTCGTGCTTCTACTCCTGAGCCATTGCTGTGCACTGGGCATTAATTTTTATTAAATTGTTTTAATTTTTAAGCAGCTTACAAGGCTGTGTGGCTAACAACTCGGCTGTCATTCGAAATTTTTTGGGTCAGACCACTCAGGACGACAGGACTACAGGACATCAGGCGCCTGCTAAGCCTACTCGTCGACATTATAATAACATCCATCATTTTGGACCACACAAAAATAACAACAACTGGCGAAAGTTGCACAGAAATAAAAATATAAACAAAACGGCAAAAGCAGAAAAAACAGAAAGCCAAAAACAAGTTTTGCTTGGACTGCTCCACGCTGAGTAAACATGACATATTTTTGTTTACCCGAAACGTTTGCCTCGTTCTTCATGTCAGCACGACGGCTGATGGGCCTTTTAGGCCAGGATATATGAATGAATGAATGGGCCCTTTGACCACCATTTAACCTGCCGTTTGGCGCCTTCAAACACTGGCTTTTATACGAAGAAAGTATATAGAAATGCGTGGGAGTATGAGTGCTTATGCATCCAATAATAAGCCATTTCGTGCACATAATTGGCTTTGGCAGGAGCAAAAGCGGACAAAGTAAATAGCCATAATTAATGTATACAACATAAATGTGACCTGACCGAAATACGAAAAAAGCGGTCGAAGAACACGAAACGACAGAGCCTCGAAAACTTTTTATCTTCAATGGCGCACAGTGGTCAAGAACAAGCTAATCCAGACTATGATTGAGTTGAAGGAAATCTCGGCTAAAATTCAAAATTATAATTAAATAAAGTTAGGAAAATACCTTTGTTAAAACTCTTTAAAATGTAAGGTACTTTGTTTCTTCAATTTTAATCATATAAATTATCATTTACTAATGATCTCAGAGTTCATTCAATCATAGCTTAACACTCAAATAAAAAATAAAAATTTATATTACATATTCCGCACAACAAAAGTCTCCTTTAATTTTTGCCTCTGTAATCCGCTGAACGATATATGCTCTATAATGCGTATACGCCGCGTGGTACACATTGGAAAATGTGCAATAAAGAAGGCTTCTTCATTGATACGCAAAGCAGCGATATGGGCATCTATATTGTATAATGCAAACTGTATGTTTGAGTGTCGAATATTTGAGCCAGCAATCGCTGAAATTGTGGAGGATGAAATGTGGGTGAAATGCCGTCGAAAATCAAGAGAGGAAAAAAGGCATCAGCCGCAAAATTGGCAGAAACAACAGGAAAATGTTTTTCGCCGGCGTCGCGATGCTGTTTCGCTGATGTCTCTCCGGATGATTGCGTTGACGAAATCGCATTGACGGGCTACAACACAGCGAAAAAGTACAAAAAATAAACAATTTTATTAAATAATCCATCAATGACAGATTTTGTTTTCATAAAAAAAAATTAAGTAAAAACTTAAGCCTTTTTTAGGGGAGTATTTGCACTCTGGGGAATACAAAAAACTAAATTTTTTCGGGATGATAAAAAAAGGTTTAGATATATTTTAAGGTTCTGGTGTACAACTAATTTGACTATAGATTTTTTGGACAATATTTCTGCCAGTTTAAAGAACGTTAAACATTATGTGCCAACTTAATATATTTTTTTTCCAATTTTTTTTTTAATTTGAACTTTTTTCCGGTGCTGAATCAGAAGCAACGACACATCCGGCGAATATTCGCCGACCTAGGGTGGAACATTGCAGGAAGTGCTGTTGAGTGTGTGGGTGTTTGTACTTGGACACCCATCAAGGGTCTGGAGCATACTCATCATTATAAAAACGATGAGAGACCGGTGGTGCGGGACGAAATCCAAATTAGATTTGCACGTTGTGTCAATGAAGGTTTATGTTTTCCTACAACGCCGCCCGGGCGTCATTTAATTTTCATTTAATTTGGGAAAACACATTTAGGCGCGCGCGCGGCAAGGCTCTAATCAGGCGCAAAGCCTTTTTATTTTGATAATAGTAAAATTAAATAAATGCAAACTGCTGTGAAAATTTGAATTTGAATTTTTGGGGGCTCGGGCACAGAAGATGTCTGTGAAATTTATGCGCGCCCCGCCGCGATCCTTCGGTACTTCGGTCCTTTGGTCCTCTAAGGGTAAGCCATTGTCATTGTCGAGCGACGGCGTTGACAGCTGCTCCCTGAAAAACCCCTCAGCCGTCATCTAGGCTCCCCAAAAACCAAACCGAAAAACCCCGCGCCCTTTTGATGGCCGCCTTTTGTAGCCTGCATCGCTGTGACATTTTTATTACAAGGGCTCATGAATTTTTTTCGGCTCGCGAGCAACTGCCGCCGATTTTATGGGAATTCCGCCCCGCGGCATCAAATTTTCGGTTCCTGACATCCGCCGGACGTTTGAGCGAAACTATTCGCCCAAGACGATCGAAAAGAAATTGTGTGCACAATGCGCTGCCCGCAAACAACTCTAATTAAAAAAGTTTTACGTTTAACCACTTGAGTTGGCTCAAACACATCCATGTTGGCATGTGTGTGGGTACACTGAGGAAAATAGTTACTTATAATTTAAATATGTATAAATGGTTTATATATGTGCCAGAAATGAATAAACAAGCCTGTTCTATAACAATTTATACTTAATTCAAATATTCGAATACAAGAATTATTATTAGAATTAAATTGTTATTAATTTATACAAAAATTTCATGATACCTTTTTCATGTATATACATAAAAAATTGGAAACTTATAGCTAAAATTGTAGGTAGGTAGGTAAAATCATAGGTAAAATTTTAATACCAAAATTACACATGTCCTATTGTTCATTTAAAATATTTATAAAATGTCATATATTATATATTGAATTTATTTATAAATAAGTATAAAAGTTTCAAGTTGTTTAGGCTTTGTCAAAAACGAAGAAACAAGTTATTTCCTCCGCGAAATTTAAAAATGATATATTGTGTTGACATTTGTTCTCCGTGTGGCATGTTTGTGGCATGTAAGTGTGTGGCCAGACAATCAAAACTTTTGCCACAACCAAGGAAACTTCAAAGCAAAGACAACGGGCGGCCTAGGCGAAAAGGCAGTGGAAAAGCAGTGGAAAAGCGGGAAAAGTGAGGGGGGAACGGGGAAGGCGGCAATAAAATTAATGAAGCGCCTTGGTTTTAGCCGGCAGCCATGAGAGAGACATTAAAGCGGTTTGCCGGAACAGTTGTAGGTCATGTCACTGCCAATGTCTGTTTAAGTATGCGCACAAAGACTGCCGTTTTGCAGGAATTACGAGCAGGAAGATGCGGATGGGGAGTCTCCAGATGGAGATGGAGGCCGGAACAGGAAGAAGGGACAATAAACCTGGACAATTCCCCCGCGGGACAGCGGCCCACTTGTTTTTGTTGATGGCGGTGGCTAATCTCTGATGTATACTTAATTATGTGGCACACTTTTGATTGCCAGGGGGACCTTGAGAGCTGGGTGTCCGGGCGGGAAAATTTCCAACCCTTTCTGGTTGGTCCACCCTTTTTAGCCATGTCATGTAAATTTCATTTGGCAAATGCTGTTAGCTCGGCAGTCGGAAAGTATGCTACACTTTTTGACATTTTCATTCGACTTGGCAATGCAAACAAAATGGGCGGAGAGAGGGGAAAGTGAAAATTCATGAATGATAGAGGTTCACAGAGAGTGGAGGAGGAGGGGCAGGGACCTTTACCTAATCCGGCTGCCAGCTGAACAAGTTTCCAGCAAAGTTTTCAAGTTGGGCGCCAAAAATTCTTATCACAACTTGCACTGCATTCCATCAATTTTGCACCACTTTCGGTCCACCTTTCTCCGCATCCATCCAACCATCGAGCCATCCACTCAACCATCCACCACCTATATCTCCTCGCCGAGCTGCAATAAAGCAATCAATTTTGAGCCGCCCCTCTGGCTTTTCCCACACTTTTCCATCCTGGATGAGCGACACCTTTGACACGGGCCAGTGAAAAAGAAAAATATCGACGCGCAACGAGTTATTCAACCGAATTCGTAATTGTTTTTAAATGAAACTCTTTGTCCTTGGCCATGGAAAGTTGGCAGCAATTCAGCAGTTCGCCCCGGCCCCCAATCAATCAAACAATCAAGCCATGTTTATCTACAGCCCTCGATATCGACAATAAGTAATGAACACGAATCGCGGGACTGAGTCGCTCCCCATCGGATTGTCTATGCCGCATATTGTCTGCTCATTTGGACTATTTCTGTTTGCATTATGCGCTATTTGCACATTTGATTGAATAAAGTTATGTACACTTGTCATGCAATCGAGAGATTAGGACCCAGGCGAGGCAGAAATCGAGGTCCTACTGGGGCATTGATCCCGTTCTAGAGTTGGAAATAAAATAATTAAATGGGCAAATTCAAAAAAATGCAAGCTTAAATTTACATTGCTATAAAGTGAGGATAATTTAGACTTGTGCAAATTAGAATTCAATTCAATAAACAAATAGAATACCATAGGGATTCAGAAAATAAATTAAGCATAGGAAAGGCAAGGTATATTTATAACTTAATACCAAGAAAATCATATAATTATAATAATTAATACAAAATAAACCTTTGTAAAATGGCATCAGATAATAAGGAAACCTGAATTGTTTCATTAAACCTAACAAGGCAGTCAAATCAGAATAAACTATGTACAGTTTCCCAAAATTATCGCAATAAATCCGTTTATCCCCCAATTAAGCCTATGACAACTTTGTTTAGCACTAAGTAAGCCATAGCACAAACTACTCTATTAACGCATTGCGCATACGCACCGTCTGCCAGCTATCAGTCGTGGCAAATTAATGCGACATGGCAGCAATTAGTCCTACGCTCCTAAATGATTTAAAACTTGCGCCAAACTTTGTCGGCCCCCTCTGCTTGTTTGTCCGCAACATTTTGCGCAAACTTTTAATTATTACACACTTGCGACTTGTTGTTCAATTTGTTCGCGATGCTGCCAGATTATAAACTTTTGTCGAGTTCAATTATGTACGCCGAATCGTCGGCATTGTTTGTTCTAATTCGCTTCATAAACTTTTCGCTTCGGACGGCCCATTTTGATGTGCAATTAGTGCCCGGGACGGCGTTAATTTTTCATGAAACTCAGACCGACTGTATCTCAGGACTCCGGGGTTCCAAAATCAAACTATTTATCTGCTGCTGCCATGTTCGAGGCAAATGTTATCGTCTGGCCGTTTTTCAACACCGAATCGGTTGAGGATCGTCGAAAGTATATTATAAAAGTATTCCTGGAGTTTGCTGCATTCGTCCTGATTGGATTTGTGCACTGGATCCTCATGTTGACGTTATTGCAGTGAGTTCTTTGGGAAAATTCTCTGTGATTTGTTTTGTTTTAATATGTTTTTGTTAGGGACTGGTTTTTTGACTTGGTCAAAGACCACACATCCGCCTTGCTTTTGGCTTTTGTCGTGGGAATTTTTCTCCTCCTATTATTTGCCATTAGTAAGCCGCTGCGGAAAATGTCCTGCGTCAACTGGTTGATTACCCTTATAATCGTGAGTTATAAAATGTGTATGTACATCCTCAAATTGTAACTAAGTATTTGATTCAGGTGGAATGTCTTGTGGTTTCTCTCAGTGTGCTGGTAATTTCTTCGGGAATTCTTTATATGCTAGCCGGATTCTTAATCGTGGCCGTGGTAATTGTGTTTTGCTGTTTAATAGCTTAATAGCTTAATGCCGGTCTGTAGAGTTAGAAAATGATAGTAAGACCCTATGAATTCTGAATTCCCCACCACCCACAGTATGATCTCACTGGAACCGGACTCTATCTCTATATGCTGGCCACAGGCGCCTACATGCTGAGCCTTTATTCCCTGGTGATATATGCAGTCCTCGAGGTGACTTGGGGATTCTATCTCTTCGCGACCTTTATCGCTTGCCTCGTGATAGTAGTAAGGAAATTTGCGCTTTTCATATCCCTTAGCTGTCCTCAGCATAACCCCAAATCACTTGCAGTTCCTCATGTATCATGTGCAGTGCATAATGGGCGGACGAAGGGCCTCGTCCAGTTTGTTCGATGACAAGTTTGCTGCTCTGCTGCTGTTCCACGAATTCGTAGGTCTCTTTGTGCTAACCCTCTACTGGCGACCCATAATGCAGCGCCTGCAGTTGAAACAATAAACGAGCAGTCAGTCGGTTCTAAGTAATCCTCATGTATTTCAGACAGTTTACCAAGCGACTCTCAGCCAGGGCCCCCAGAGGCTCCTGCCTCGCACAGCCACCGGGTCCTCGCATGTGGAGCATCACATGATCCCGACACTCGATCCGTCCGTCTCCATTGCAATCGTCGCCATATCGCTGCACATAGCTCTGCACAATGGTCTCGGCACACTGGTCATATACCACGCATCGTTCGTACTCTGTTGGAGATGGAGATGGGGTGGGGAAACGGGTTAGTCGGTGGTCATTACACGCCTGAGGCAGTCTGCCAACGGAGATTACACAGGGAAGAAATTAAAGCCAGTTCGAAAACATCTAAAAACCATAGCCATAGCCTTCTTGATTTTCTATTAAAGCACACACATATTTAAGCCGGAAGTGAAAAGTATACAAAGGGAAAAATTCACGTAATTTAAGAACAATGGACCCTACATGACTTCAAATAATACCTTCCATTAAAATGTAGGACCAATTTAACTTACAAATTTGTAAGTGCTTTTTATGGCCAGCTAAATTGAGGTAAACCACTTTCAAGTCTATTTAATCAACATTTTACATGGGAGTCTTACTTTTAAGGCGAGCTTTCACACATGATTATGAAAAAAATTATGAAACAACTGACTTAAAATGGTCTTACATTCCCAATATAAATGAATATATTTTATAAAGGGTGCCACAGAAATCACTTTAGTGCAAAATTTAAATAGATGCACATAAGAAACTCAATCCCAAGCAGCGGTCTGCGATTTCTATGGCATAACGTGTAGTTAACTAAATGCTTTTAAATATTTTTGTTCATAAACCAATTATTGATTGTTGTTGATAGTAAAATTTAGAAAGGGGTCATGCCATGTCCTTCTTTCAATTCGTAAATAATGCTATAATCGGTAATAGCATCTGTGGCTTTTTAATTTCTAATTCTAATAGTTCATGACTGGCAAGTTAGTGAGACACAAAAGCTACAACAGACTATAATAAAATTCAAAAAACTGTGTACTTCTGATAAAAACACAGTCACATACTAAATTAAATATTTTAAATCTATCAATGTTTTTGGGACTTTGCATTGGCTTTTGATGCTGTAACTCTTTTATATATTTTCAACCATTTTCTAAGTAGTTTCCCTAAGTGTATGCCTTACCCTGTGCGAGTGCGTCGTCCGGGTCAATTATCCCCAGTGTGTCCTGCCAGTAGGAGTGGGAGATGCGGTACTTGCCGCACGGCTCCTTGCCCCGTCCTCGGTTATTGCAGATTGCTGGAATATTATCCGTTGCAGTGGTGGCGATGCAGAGTAGGCACTTGCTGCCCAACTCTGTGGGAGATGGCTGGAATGTTGTTATCGTCTGGGCAGCTGCAAAATGCATTCCAAAGACAGGCCCAATTAGCCCTTTAATCGAAACTATTTACCACACAATATGGCTTAGAGCATAGTTGGCAAAGGGTTCCGTTTCCGTTTCCCTTTCGCTTCCCCTTCCCCAACACTAAATAACTCTTTTAGACCTCACGTTTTAACCACACTCATCTTTAGTTGGAAACTTTTAAGAAAGCACCAACTGCAAACTGGGTATGTTTTATTAGCAGTTTGTGCAAAGCAACTTTAAATTGCAGTTTTAGTAACTTTAAATTGATGTTAAACATAGTTTGGAATACTTTGGGCGCATAAGTGTAAGTATGGATTTATGTGCTCTTCCTCATTCTATCATTTTACATATATAGACATTTTACTACTGCAAACTTAATCAGCACTACAACATGTATGTATATTTTCAATAACACTTTACTATGACATTATGGAATACACTATTTAGATTGAAATAAAAATATTTAAGAGCCCAACCAAAACATTGATTTCTTTTATTTACAATCGCTATTTTTATGGAGCACTGAGATCTGCTGGTTCTTCTAATGGTGTTTCTAATCAGTCGGCTGGGAAAGAGAGATAGAGAGAGAACAGCAACCCAACAATGTAAACCGCTTATAAAATTATCTGATGGGGAAGAGCTTTTAGCGATTGAACAAGGGTCCTTGAGGCACACTTACCCACAGCCGCGACGGTGACCACGGGAAAGTCCTCCTCCAAGACGTCCAGCCTCCCCCGATCCTTGAGATTGATGTGCAGCCGGCCCAGATGATGCTTCTGTCTTAAGTGCATGTAAATGGCGCCGATGACGAGCAGCAGGGCGATGAAAATGGCGCCCCCACTCAGGACCTCTCGAGTGCAGCAGGTCCTTCGATTCCAGCGCCGTTTAGTGCGACTTCGACCGGACATTGACAGGGCTTCGGCGTACTCCTGATGGTCCGCCACCTTGGAGACATCCGTTTCTATATCCTCACTGTTCTTGGCCAGCTCCGCCACACTGCTGCTCTGCTCCATTACGGGGTAGCTTCTCTATAGGCGGTCGCACTTGGACTAACCCGACTTAGCTGGAAGTAGTAGAGCTTCCATAGAACCATGTTACAGGTGCTGCCCGAGAGATAACCTCCCCTCGATTATCATCGCTCAATGTTGTCAGCGTAATTGATGCCCGCTGTTTGCGGTTCCCATTCTCCGAGTTTTTTTGCTCGACCAGCTAATCTGTTCCAGCTTTTGTTCTCCGTTTCTCTGACATTTCGGCGATATTTCTCCCATTCAAGTGGTGCTCACCCCATCAGTTCTTCTCCAGCTCTCAAACATCAGTGTAGTCAGTAGTCGTACACCTGAATAAATCCGAATTCATGTGGTTTTCACTCACAAAAGTTTTACGAACTTAATTTGATGCAGTATTTGCTCTATAAACAATTGTACACAGCAGCGATGGCAACCACACTGTGCTTGATTTGCAAATAATCCGGAAACTACTATTTTTGGCAAAATTATTTTTAGAGAATGCTTTCATTATTTTGTTTCATGAAAATATTAGTAAATACTTTACTCGAATTTCGGTGTCTGCATTTAATTAAAAGTATTGGTTTATTTTTAGAGAATTTTTAAGTGGGAATTCAATTTCAGTTTATGCCTCGCTTGTATATAAACCATTTAAAGCAAATGATTTTGGTACAATATTTTCAGTTATGTGTTAAGAAAAATTGAGTGCTTAATAAGTTTTTACATCACATTTAGTAAACAACAATATAACATACTTCTTTTTTTTATTTTTCTTTAAAATTAAATTTACCTAATTAATTTAAAATATAAAAAATTTTTGTTAAGATAAGTAAGAGTCGTTTTTCTTTTGGATTAAGAAATGATAGTAAAGCTTAGAGATATAATAATTTATGTTGATGGTATGGTTTGCATTAATCTGATATACGATATTCTTGTAAACTATATTTTCTTTCGGTGTATAACTTGGATTGGGTGTCGATTGCACTCCTCTTCCATTTGCGACATGACAACTTATGGCAGGCGACCATTGAAATGGAAGGGCGGTGGGTTTGGGTGCCGATGTTTGCCCATCGGGAGGTGTTGGTTGGGTTGTTCGGCTGACAACCTTGCGCATTTGTATGCGCGAATTGTAAACAAATATGAGAAATTGTTGAGACTCTTGCGGCGAAATTGGAACGAAAGTGTGGGGCAGCAAACAACAGCAGGCGTTTTATGGGTACAGGATCCAATAGTGGGGCATGGGCAGGGGATGGTGGCATTCAAAGGGGTGCGAACAGGACGTGCTCAGACCCGCCTGAAGTGCCACTTGTCATACGCAAACTTACTTCACGACCATCGTAATCTGTCAACAGCAAAGTGTGGGCTCATGCGTGCAATGCATTCAAATGTTCACATGTCTTCGTATATTTCGCATCTATTTATATTGTTTTTAAAATATCATCGATCAAGTCTGTGCAAATTGCTGTGGTGAAAAGATTTTACTGTCTTTTTCGGTTTGCAAAGACGGAAAAGAAAATAAACGATTCAAAAGTTTTGCGATGTGTCGAATTTTATGAAGAGTTATTGACATTTAAGAGTGATTGCAAATTACGCTCAATCACCTTTTTACAAGCTGCCAAAGAAAGTTATCATGCATTGAATATATGATTTTATGTTCAAATAGCCATAAACTATTATTTAGGAAAGCGTATGAAATATATTAGCCTCCTTAGAGACACTTTTGATTTATGGTGCTGATTTGGTTCGTGTTTGGTTTTAATTTTGTAGTGTTTTATACTCAAAACAATTTTCTTAAAAACTATTTTCTCTTAAACATCACACATTTTACCCAAAAGGAATATAAATAGTCTTAAACTTTTCACTATAAATAAAAAACTCCCCCTTTTGGGGCACGCCTCTGGGCGCCTCCTGCACAGGTGCTCGGCAAATAACAGAACTGCTCCGTCACTTAGTTGATTATTCTTTCTGTTTTTGTACAGCAGCCATTTCCATTTCCACATTGCCTCGCAAATGTCGCCATTGTCTCAAGGCGTTTCCGTTGTCATTTCAGTATGTTTTTCCTCTTATGGCCAAGGCAAAAAGTCATTTGTGTGCGAGGGTGCTTTGAGGGTGTCCTGCCCCACCAACACATGGCCAGATGAAAGGACGAGCCGAACCGCAAGCCAAAATCAATTATGGAAAAATTACCAGTAGTTGGGCTAAATGGCCTTTATTCGTTTGGGACTGGGACTGCGAAACTTGGATTCGGTTTGGGGTGTCCCCTTGTATGTGAAATAATAATATGCGGTGAATTCTTTTCTTGCAAATTTTCCACTCGAATTCCTTTTGTGAGCTGGCATTTAAACCATCGTCCCCCTGTTTTTCCATCCTCCCTCTCGTCGTCCAAAAAAAAAGGAGAAAAACTGCACGAAAACGGGGAAAATGAGCTGAAATCTGAACGCGAGTACGGGCACTTGGTGCACTCGATTATGGCGGACGCCGAGCACCCATCGTTTGGCGGTAACGGTAACGGCTCTTTCCGGTCTGATTTTGCCACCCACTTCCTCCGCCCGCTTGCCCAGCTTTCCCGGCTTTTCCACCCCGTGCTGCCGCTGCATGCGATATGCATGAGTTGAGCCAATGTGGCCATTCCGGCTGATGTACACGGAGCACGTAGCATGCTAAAACAAAGTTAATTAGATTTGTGGCAAGATGCCCATTATGGCTTGAATGAGGGGGGTGGTCAGGCAATAGCCCTTTTAATGTGAAGAGTGCAGCTGGTTTTTCAAAATTTCCTTTTCATTGGCTCTGATGAACTAGGGGTTTTTCCAATTAAACGCGGAACTACCGATTGACGAAGAAAATTGGATGCACTGAACTTTTATGTAATACCCAAACTTGGCAGTTTTCCAGAAAATATTTTTTCGTTCCATCTTTCGAGGACTTTGTTAATTGTATTTTCATTTTGTAGTTTTTTTTTAAGTATTACTTAGTAAAAACTTAATTAAATAGTAGATATATGAATTTTAAAATAACAAGAACCCAATGCCTAAAAAAGTTGCAGAACAAATGAATATATAATTTTTTATTGACCCAGGTTTAGTTTGACTGGTTCGATTTGCCCACTTTTAAGCCGATTTCGGATTAAACCAGATAAAATCAAAATCGAAAAGTATCAATTCAACATACCCATACGAAAAAAAATATTTCTGAGTTTACTCTGGTTTTTAATTCCCAAACTGTGGCCCATTTTGGGTTTATTAAAACGGCTCCCGAAGTTCGCATCTACCAAGCTTGAGGTAGTTTTAATCACAAAGTTCACAGCGTTTCAGACAACTTCACTTGAGCATCAAAATGGTAAAAATGTAAAGTAAAGTCGCTAACAATCGGATTATACTTGCATTTAGCCAACAAGAAGACTTTTTCACAACTAGATATAATCTGGCATTTTGGGGTGACGGGTATGTGGCAGTCGAGGATTCGTTTTCCGGTTGCATTTTCCTCTTACTTTCTCGCTGGGTTCTGTGTGGTTTATTCGTCTGGATGGGCTTGGGGCAATTACCGTGCTTAATGGCCTCCGAAATGTTTGCCGCCCGCCTCCAACCTAGACGCCCCCACTTTTTCTTGCTCGCTCCTTTGAGCAGATGGCGTAATGCATGCATACGAGCTGAATGCATTTTTACGTCTTTACATCTCTTTTTGCAGTTTGGCGCGGAGCTGGGCTAATGCATTTGGCCCGGGATAAAGTTTATACCATTACCATTAGGGCGTAAGGTACATATGCAAATGTCGGCTTGTTAACGACAAAGTTGAATGATTGAAAATGCAAATTGCAACCGCAACTTGCCACCGACTTGCTGCTAAGCAAAAACAGCGACGGTGCATCAGGACCACAAATTAACCCACCGGCGACAACCAGTTAAAGTGGCGGAAATGACACAGTCAAAATGTATCGCTGCAAAAATTGGTTTTGTGCGCGCAGCAACAACAACAACTACGTCGATGTGGCACTAAGCGAGGCGCCACCCACCGCCTCCACCACCACCACCCCACATGCAACAAACAGCCGCAACAGCAGCGCCAGCAACAACAACAACGTGAGGAGCAACAGCAGCAAAAGCAATCAGCAGACAAACGCCACCACAGCGGGCGTTCATAGAGGTGGCATAGGCACCACCACCCACTCCCACCCAACCACCGCCCACTGCTCCACCGATGAGCCATCGCCGCCACAGGCCCACGTGGTCACCTTTCTGGACGAGACCACTGCCAGCGGGAGCAACGGAGCCGTGACGAGCAGCCGCCTGGTCACCACCGCCGAACTGCACCAGGCCCACATGCTGGAGCACCACTCGAACCTGGACGCCATCGAGCAGGCGGACGACTTCATCTACGGGCCCGGCGCAGGACTCTCGCTCTGCGACGACAGCCTGCCGTCGGCCAAGAACTGCTATCGACTCGTCATGCTCGGGTACGTACACGATCTATGTATATGCACTGAAAGAAATTTAAATATACGGGAAAACCTTTTTTTGTTTTGATCTTTGATTATGCGATTTTATATAGTTGTTTTCATAAATACTTAACAAGTGTTCTTAAAAAATAAGATGTCTAAAAGTATGCTGTGAACTTCCGTACTCGTAGTAAATGGTTGCATACTTCTAGACACTTTTACAAATAACTAAAGTGAATTCTGTTAAATTTAGTCACTGTACTAAAATCTCTCTAAAAGTTAAGTTTCTATTAACAAAAAACTTACAAGCCGAATAGGTTTTTAAATTTATATTAAAGATTTCTAAAAGTTTGCTGTACGAAATTCTACGTTTACTTAAATTAGGATTTTAGGGCATTTAATATATTATTGCATACTTTCAGACACTTTTATAAGTTATTTAAGAATACTGGTCAAATCGGATAACTTTCTTTATTTAGATAAATTAACAACTCCACTATCTAACTCCACTAAGCGAGCAAATAGTTGAACAAAAGACTCTTTATTTTTTTTATTTAATATGCATTTTTGCACTTGAAAAGATCTTCAATTTTTCCCACTGTAAAAATCATCGAATGGATGACGCCCGTTCGAGTTAATTTTGAGCTTTCATTGGCGTTCCTCTGCATTCACTGAATGGACAGCGGCAATTTGAAATCCAATCTCGATTTGCAATTTTCCTTCTCCATGCAGCTCATCACGCGCCGGCAAGTCGTCGATTGTGGCACGTTTCCTGGGCAATCGGTTCGAAGAGGCCTATACGCCAACCATCGAGGAGTTCCACCGCAAATTGTATCGCATACGAAACGAGGTCTTTCAACTGGATATTTTGGATACTTCTGGCTATCATCCGTTTCCCGCAATGCGTCGTTTATCATTTCTAACTGGTGAGTGTGAAGTCTTGGCCATCAAATAGTTGCATGTATGTGGGGCATTCCAAGGATATGCGGCAATCGACTCGGACGCACGTTCTATCACTTAAGTTGTCGACTGCTTTCATTGGGTGCCATTTAATGTCCTATAAATTATCATAAAAATCAGGCTCAGCTGCTGGTAAACAAAGTAGGGTTCCATACCCTTTCAAGCGATATCATGGCGTGGGGACAGTTTTTGTAACTTTTCTTGGTCATCAAGGGTGCCGTTAATATTAGAACTAGGAGTCATGAACCTGTAATTAGGTCGCAGGACCTTGAAACCATCTTTGCATAAATTACTTGTTGGGTATGCATAATTTATTTTAATATAACTAGATAGAGCATGAAATAGTTATGGTTCAATTATTAAATTTATTATTATAATAATATGATATTAAAACTGTATATTCACCATGTCTGGGCAATATGATTATGTTAATTATTACTAATGACTATTACTTTCCCCCAGTTTAATATAGAAAAACGCCTCGAATTCCCCTGAATTCGTTTTGGTCCCTATAAAAATACTTTATTTATTGTTTAGTCACGCCTCCCAAGAACTATTTTGACTCATATATACAGCATATATAAATATATATATATATGGGAAATAATAAGTAGGGTATTCATGCATCAGTGGAATGCGGCTATTGATTTTCCCATTCCCGATTTTTGGCTACCGAATTACCCTAAACAACCCAGGACCCACACACAATCTCAAACACATTAACATAGCGGAGATGAGCCTCAGATGTCAGAAGCGTTTTATATAGTGTCTGGAAAATTGCGAGTGCGTAGGTCATAGATTCGGGGCCCATAAATAAGCAATAAATTTGCATTTGCTAAATCAAACGACGATTAATGTTCTTCTTTATGGTTTTCGATTGCTATTGCAGGGGATCTCTTTATCCTCGTCTTCAGCATGGATTCCCGTGAGTCCTTCGAGGAGGTCGTACGCCTGCGGGAGAACATCCTGGAGACCAAGTGGGCAGCCCTGAATCCCGGTTCCGGGTTCAAGAAGAAGAGTCTTCCCAAGATACCCATGATATTGGCGGGCAACAAATGTGATCGAGACTTTAAGTAAATACAAAATTAAATAATCTTTCAGGTGTTGCATATTAGAATAACCTTAACACTTCCATATCTTTCAGAACTGTGCAGGTGGACGAGGTAATGGGCTACATCGCTGGTCAGGACAACTGCTGCACCTTTGTAGAGTGTTCGGCTCGTCAGAACTACCGCATCGACGACCTGTTCCACTCCCTGTTCACGGTCTCCAATCTACCGCTGGAGATGACCCCGAACCATCATCGTCGTTTGGTCTCAGTTTTCGGGGCACCTTCGCCACTCCCACCCCACGGATCCGCGGTGGGCGGGACCAAGAAGAACGCACTCTCCATCAAGCGAAGATTTAGCGACGCCTGCGGGGTGGTGACCCCGAATGCCCGGCGACCCAGCATACGCACCGATCTCAACCTGATGAGATCCAAGACTATGGCTCTCAACGAGGGCGAGGGGGTGAGGAATCCCTCGCGATGGAACCGCTGCGCCCTGATGTAGAAGCCGAGGGCAGTGTGATAGTAGTGATGATCCTTGGGATTCTTCGGATCTAGAGATATCAGGGTAATCCCGACGGATAGTGCAGCAACTAATTATAAACGCAGCGTTTGGGTGATTTCGATATTATAGTGTATATACTCGTTTAGTCAGGTCGCGGCAAGTGTGTTGAAAATATTAATTAATTATGCATTTAGCACTTTCTCGCCATCTTTGGACAAAGGCAAAAACCGCGCAAATGTACTTGTTTCGCAATATGCATAATTAAAATCTGAAGCGATACTTGCACCCACTCACCTCTGCCTGCCCAAAGTCCAATCTGAATAATCCAACGCACTTGATGCTCAGTTTTTTCTCTACATTTTTGTATTACATTTTCCATTTTATCTGTTTTGGTAATTCTTATCGTTGTATTTGCACATTTACTTGACGCACACACCAAAAACCAAAACGCAGAGGACAATAAAGTTAAAACGTATTCGGAATTGCGGGATTTGTAATTGTTATTCAAGTTTAATTTGTAGACTTAACCAATTGAATTTACATGAATTTATATTGAGCTAATTTAATGTTATCGTTGATTGTTGAAGATACCAATTTGAATATTTGATCATTAGAAAGAAGTTCTGTTTAAGCAAGCACACTCTTTACACAACTATCAACCCAAAAAACAACTTTCGAAAGATTGCATATCAGCCAAAACTGGAACCGAAACACACCGAATCAAAACTATTGAAGGGAATCTTGACCAACTAACAAACAAACTAACTCTACTGTAACACTTGTACACCGATCTAAGCGAATCTAAGCCCAACTATGGTTAACTATATTGCAAAATGAAAGAACTTATATGATACACACTTCTAGCGTTAAACCGAATTTATCAGATCTGTTCTCGATTCGACTTTGGGTTCCGTAGGGCGGATTTCCAATCGAGAACAGCTCCGTAAGTTTAGCAAATTCGAGTTTCAATCTAACCTAAGCAACAGCAACAATTTTCGCGAGTTTAACATTTATAAAGTATTATCGATAATGGAATTACAGAACATATGCGTTTCATGGCGGCATGAAACCAAGACCAAATGATTATTCTAGCTATACTTACCAGTGGCATGAACGCTAACCCAAATATGTATTAACTTAAAATTTATTGAGATTTCATGCATATTTTAGGCAATTATCGTTAATGTAAAAATAAAAAATAAAAAAAGGTGCATATATTTACAAAATTCGCGTTGGGCCAAAGTGCACAAATATAAATAAAAATTTAAATAAGAATAATACCTGACGTTTGGGTGATTACCCGCAAAAGTTATATTGATTTAAGATTAACCATGAAAGCTAACTTTTTAATGCTTTGGATTTGCATTGTTTATTTACATTATACGTATATTGCAAACGATTGAATTACGATTAAATAAAACTTAAAACACAACTTAAAATAAGGATTTTGTTTTGGAATTTATGGCAAAAGCTTGGACGGCATTGGGAAGAGACGTAAATGTCCTTCGAGCTTTTAAGCTTTTTATTGTAAAAACTTGGGTGAAGCTTGAAATGTTCATAGGAAAAAGTCCCATAGTGATGCGATGTGTAGCTCACACGGAACTAGCCGTTTTCAGAATGGTTCTTTATCTCGTTTTCTTCTTAATAATATATTTATTAGTAGGAAGGACTGAAATACCTGAAGGTTTATGGTTCTTTCTAAAATTGTCATTCTTAATAGATATACTCAAAACATTGTTAAAATATTTTTAATTGCTGTAATAAATTATTGTAAATATTTATTTTTAACAAAATTGATAATGTTTTTTTGGCTAATAGCATAAAGATGAATTTTCTTAAAATTTGTACACATTAATATTAAGCTTTATAAAGAACTGTAGAACTTGTTATGGGTTTGGGAATAATTTGTATTCATCTGGTAGAAAGCGAAAGCTTAAATTGGATGTAGGAGTAGGAAAAGCTTTAATCCTGGTTTAAAACTTGTAGACAATAAGGAAACCTTTAAAGCTTTAACAAGGTTTTGAAAAATGAGATTTCCTTACAGAGCTTTTCATCACAAAAGAAAAACGTTATTAATAAAAAAAAATTTGGTCAAGTAAGTAACTGCAACCAATTTGGATTGTTCATAATCCATAAATGTTGCCTTCAAACCAATGGGTTGTTGCAAAGGCGTCACACCTGGCGTATACTTGACAAGGCAACACATCCTTTCTCATAATCCCAGGTCAACAAATCAAACTCTGCCCTGCCAGATGAAAACAACAATCTGCCACACGTTGGCCCAAATTACAAGACATTCGCGGGGAAGAATTTATGTTTTTCCAACCCGATGGCCTGGTCCTAAATAATTGCCAGTTGCCGGCCTGGAAAAGTAACAGGAGCACGTGCACATGGCGATGACGCCGACACATTTACGCCCAATTGAACAATTTTCCGGGAAAGTGGAGAAGCGGGTGAAAGGACTCTGGAAAAGGACCTCCATGTGGCCAGAGGGCATCCGCTCAAAAGTGCAGTCAATTTTAATTGCTTGTCTGATCGCAGACAGGGGCTATTAATAGGCTTATGGTTTGCATGATATACCGATATCCCGATGCGAAAGCCTCCGTCGTGTGTGGCTTTTTGGGGGGCGTTAGCAGTGGCTCGCTTATGCAAGTGGATTGTTTCAGCCAGATGCAGATGCATCCGCAGCTGCCCCTGCCACCCGATAATCGCTGCGGTTAGTTGGGGCCGCCCCAGAATGGGCCATTTCGAACACGAACCTCCCCTGATACCTAATACAATTTGCATATGAAATTTCCATCTGCCCAATTACAATTCGCCCAAAATAGATTAGTTCCCAAAAAGCCAAATCATAATTTTAATTATGTATTTGGCTGGCGCTCCGCCTCGACTGCTAATTAAAAGTTAAGTATTTTAGCATTTCGATTTGATTGTTTTATTTCGATGATCCTGTGTAGTTTAATTAGTGGAAGATGGGTAAGCGCTGTCATGGCCATTGCACCTGCAGGTGGTAAATGCCGATTGCCGTGGTGGTAAATATTTGCCCTGCCAGCAAAATGGAAAACTTATCGCACGTTTCCCAGCCAGACTTTGCTTAGCGCTGTTTAACTATCAGTCGGCCCGGGGAAAAGAAACGCAGAGCGGAAAAACTTTCTATGTAAACAGGTCTCGTGTTGACGATGCCGACTTTAAGTCAACTAAACCTGTGCACTGATAACAACGAAGGTCACAAAAAAACTATGAAAACTTTTAATGAAGAATATTATTTTTTTTTCAATGAAATATTTGAATGTAGAATATTAGGGAATACCGCCACAAATTCATAGAGGTATCTCACGTCCAAATCGGGGACAAATTTCCCAAGATATGGAATCTAAAAGTGCAGTTTTGGGTTCCCATTCTGAAAACCATTGGAATTACGAAAAAATCGGACATGAAAATGGGACAAAATTGTGACCCTCTTGTAAAATAAATCCTTGAATGTAGAATATTAGGGAATTCCACCAAAAATGCATAGAGGTATCTCGCGTCCAAATCGGGATAAAATTACCGAAGTTACGGAATCTAGAAATGCAGTTTTGGGTACCCATTCTGAAAACCATTGGAATTACGGAAAAATCGGACATGAAAATGGGTCAAAATTGTGACCCTCTTGTAAAAGAAATCCTTGAATGTAGAATATCAGGGAATTCCACCACAAATTCATAGAGGTATCTCGCGTCCAAATCGGGATAAAATTACCGAAGTTATGGAATCTAGAAGTGCAGTTTTGGGTACCCATTCTGAAAACCATTGGAATTACGGAAAAATCGCACATGAAAATGGATCAAAATTGTGACCCTCTTGTAAAATAAATCCTTGAATGTAGAATATTAGGGAATTCCACCAAAAATGCATAGAGGTATCTCGCGTCCAAATCGGGATAAAATTACCGAAGTTACGGAATCTAGAAATGCAGTTTTGGGTACCCATTCTGAAAACCATTGGAATTACGGAAAAATCGGACATGAAAATGGGTCAAAATTGTGACCCTCTTGTAAAAGAAATCCTTGAATGTAGAATATCAGGGAATTCCACCACAAATTCATAGAGGTATCTCGCGTCCAAATCGGGATAAAATTACCGAAGTTACGTAATCTAGAAATGCAGTTTTGGGTACCCATTCTGCAAACCATTGGAATTACGGAAAAATCGGACATGAAAATGGGGCAAAATTGTGACCCTCTTGTAAAAGAAATCCTTGAATGTTGAATATTAGGGAATTCCACCACAAATTCATAGAGGTATCTCGTGTCCAAATCGGGATAAAATTACCGACGTTACGTAATCTAGAAATGCAGTTTTGGGTACCCATTCTGAAAGCCATTGGAATTACGGAAAAATCGGACATGAAAATGGGTCAAAATTGTGACCCTCTTGTAAAAGAAATCCTTGAATGTAGAATATTAGGGAATTCCACCAAAAATTCATAGAGGTATCTCGCGTCCAAATCGGTATAAAATTACCCAAGTTATGGAATCTAGAAGTGCAGTTTTGGGTACCCATTGAAATTACTGAAAAATCGGACATAAAAATGGGTCAAAATGTGACCCTCTTGTAAAAGAAATCCTTGAATGTAGAATATTAGGGAATTCCACCACAAATTTATAGAGGCATCTCGCGTCCAAATCGGGATAAAATTACCGAAGTTATGGAATCTAAAAGTGCAGTTTTGGGTACCCATTCTGAAAACCATTGGAATTACGGAAAAATCGGACATGAAAATGGGTCAAAATTGTGACCCTCTTGTAAAAGAAATCCTTGAATGTAGAATATTAGGGAATTCCACCACAAATTCATAGAGGTATCTCGCCTCTAAATGGGGACTTAATTACTTGTGTTATGGAACCTAGAAGAATAGTTTTCGATTCCCATTCTGAATGAATTGGAATTACTCTAATAATTTCAGAGCAAAATGGTGACTTTGAAAGTTTTTTGGCGCTGTGCACTTCTTGGTGGTGCCGCTATAGCTGGAGTATTTGCTTATTGTGTTTGTAAACATTGCTAACAACTTGAGTAATGCCGGCGACAATGCCAGTATTGCCACTTGCCACTCTGCCACGCCCACACCTACGCCTGCAACTGCTAATAGTGGGTCGAGAGAGGGGGGATTTACCACCGCCGCCTTGCAAGTTGTAAGTGCCCAAGTTTTTCAATTAAAAGTTGCTACCTTTTGTGTGTTACTGCGGCGGCATAACATAAATACGCATGTGTGTACGCATTCGCAGCTAACGTGGGCTTCCATATATATTTCCTGACTTTTCGCCTAATCACGATGCCGCTGATATATCAATAAACCACAGGGCAGAACGGAGGAGGATCGACTGCATTATAAATCAGCAGCAACCAGAAAGTAAACTCCTGGCAAACCAAACCGTACCGAACCCAGCCAAACCAAACAAACAAACAAACGAAACGGCGAACGACAGGTGTTGAAGTCGAGGGCATTATAAATTCATACGAAAAAATACCGAAACGTCAAACAAATTGCAAGTTTTCAGTTGCATTTCCGCAAAACGTAACTGAAATAATACGTTGCCGGCAACGCAGTTGCAAAGTATGCAACAAAAGCTGGTGTTGTGGTTGAGCGTGGGTTTTTGCATAGCCTGCTCGGTTCTGGAGCTCGTCCTACCGCCGTGGTACCACGGAGGTGGTTATCGGATGGCGGGGCACACGGACAAATTGAAGGTAGGCCATGTAGCAGCCCGGGGCAACGTCTTCGACTTTACGGCACGACCCTGCCGCGCCCACCGACACCCCCGACCCCTTCCACGCTTTTACCGCTCGCATGACAAGTTGAAATGTTGACGGCTCACTGACATTGTCTGCCAGTGTATACGTGCCCTGCTGTATGGGTGCACTGGAAAAAATCTAGATTTTAAATTATACTAATGATCAGGATTTATTTTCATTCACATTATATTTTTAGTTATTATCTGAGGCTATAATGACTACAGAAGTCCACAAGTAACTATAACAAAAGATGCGTTTATCACTCGTTTTTTAACCGCGAATTCTTCAGAGATAGAGAAACCAATATGGGCATTTGTTCTTTTTAGCCACGTAAACCAATTCGTATTCCTTAACAACAGGCCGTGAATTCTTCAGTAAGTTTGATTACAAGCCATAAACCAAAATTCTTTTAAAAAATGAAAACGCGAATTCTTTAGATTAACCAATACTAATACTTACCACACTGATTGCGTTAAGAAGAAAAGCTTTTGGTGCTTCAACTACGCCGAGTAGTACTCTTGCAGCTCTTTAAGAAGGACCCTAAAACTCTCTTGAATGATCAGAATAGATCTTCAAAACACGATATTTTTTTGAGTGCCCGGGCCTGTGAACTGCATGCATGTATGAATGATATTGTGGCTCGACATGGCTGCGCTGCAAGAATCTCATACAAAGTTATGCAAATTCCGATTCCGTTGTCGCTGTCGCCGCTATGTTGACGTCGCGAGGGCTCTGGGATGTGGGCTGCGGGCTGTGGGCTGTGGGCGTGGCATCGGTTTCTGCGGTTTGGCATGCATAATTGTTGGTTTTTAGTTACACGAGAGTCGGCCGTGCGGCCATGCCCACCTGCGAACCCTTAAACCGCCCTTCCCCGAGGCATATTTATACATGTTATTTGTTCGCCGTAATTGTCTATCTTGGGTACTGCCAGCATTTGGGCTATTAAAAATTAAAAAAAATTCATTGAAGTATACATTTCTTTTATTATAAGATCCAGCCTTTATATTTGCTAAAAAGTATATGGAATTATTTATAAATAAATGTCTGCCTTGGGTAATGGATTGTGAAGAAGAGGTTAAGAAACATAATCTGCAACTTACCTAAAATGAAAACAGACGATCTGAGCTAATAATATCGTTTATCACGTTTCTATTTTTGTTTTCATATAAAAAGAAGACTCCTCTAGACCATCTGCTATGATTAGAACCCATTCATAACTCTGCGTAATGCGAAATTCCCAATGGCTATGATAGATTGTAAATCACATGCGGCAGAACAATAATCATTTCTCACACATTTGCCATTTTCGTGTTGCTCACCTAAAAAACCCTCTAGAACCCCACATACAAACTATGTGTATCTCCACCAGAAGAACTACAACTGGGGGCTATCATCAAAAAACAATTCTCTGCGTAGCGTCCGCAAAATAATGGACGTTAGGCCGCGCGTCTTGATAAGCTAAATGATAAATTGTTTTCACTCGTGACATATGTACACACGCCCTTGGAAGTGGGTGTGTTTGGCAAACTTGTTACGGATGCTGGCCTCGTATGTGTGGGTGGGAAAGTTGTTTTGTGCTTTCTCTGCTTTCAATAACACAAAAAAAAAGAAGAACTGAAAAGAACAGAACAGGGCCAAAGAAAAAAGCGTAGCTTGGAAAACTTGTAAATGCGCCTGGGCACAAAAGTGGAATCTAATAAGCTCACGGCTAAATGTGTTATGATGAATGACATTGTCAGTCGCACACGGAATTTAAACTTTTTTGCCCTGGGACCTCGAGCAAGGCTTATAATTGAAAACTCTAAATACTTGGGCCTCCTTTCAGGAGTTGGAAGTTTTCCAGGCAGGCTGAGATTTGATTTGGCTGCGTAGCTGCTAATCAACTAATACCACGGATCCGCCTTCATTCATTAAATTAAAATTTCATCCCGCTCATCTGGTTTGATTGCCTTGTGCCTAAGTGGCGGTCGTGGTCCTGGTCCTCCAGAAGTTCCCCCTCCAAATTCCTTATAATATTGCGGCTTTCATCACAATTGGAGCTGGCAGTCCCAATCCCAAACCGAATCGCAACTGTTGGCACTCGACGGCTTCTTGGCCTGTTTGTTTATTTGCCTGACAGCAGGCGTATACTCCTCCTCCCTTAATATTTGAATCCGAATCTGTATCTCTGTAGCTGCCGGAGTATCTGTATCTGGGTAGCCAAGTCCGCATCCGGAAACTATGCTGGCCTGCCATTGAAATTCATAAAGCATCAATGGCCCCGCCGAGCTTCGCAGCATCGAGGCTCTTTTTGTTTGAAATCATTTGCTTTAATTCAAGTGAAAAATTATTTAAATTGGTTATCAAACGTGCGGCTCAGACGAGCATCAATGTGGCTACGGATGCAGATACAGATACAGGTTCGGATACAGATACAAATATAGGTAAGCGTGCTGTAGACATTCGTTAGGGAAAATGGTGAAATGTTCTTTGTTTTCCCCCACATACAAACAACTTTTGTTGCCCGACTCTGGATGGAAATGAAAATTGATTCCAACTTAAATGAAAAATGTTGATCAAAGTAATTTCTTGGCATTTGCCCAGGTAGATGAATTTGTAATATTTTTTATTTAGTGAAAAATGTATGAGCCACATAAAATATTTTCAATGCAGATAGACAGCAATTGCCTCTGGATCCATGGGGGATTTGTCGATACGCCAAGAGTGTTCAGCTCACTCTGAAATTTCGATGCGTGTTTATGGGTATTAATATTTTAAGACCAAAACAAAAACAGTCGATAACCATTTTTCCTGATTGCCTTATGTGCAGAAAATTTAAAAGTGCATCACTCGTACCTCTTTAAAATTCGAAATGAAACCATTTTTGCTGCATTTGATAGTTTACTTTTTATTGTTTCGTATTATGCAATTATATTATGCTATTATGTATCTCTGTTATGCTCTCGTTTTTCTCGCCATATTTTAGACTTAGGACTAGAGGGCTCTGTTCTGCACTTCAGTTTTGATTTCACTAAATATATATTTTACTTTAATCGTACTATATAATGTCACCTTGCGGTTGGCTACCGCGCCAATCGCATTTGTGTTCTGCTTTTGTGGTTTATTGTTTTAAATTAATACCTTAACTGTCATTACAATTACGTTTAATTACATTACAAATGTTGTAGTTGGAAATGCATTGGTTAAATGCAAAAAGAAATTATCATTATATGTAACTAACTATGCTCGGTAATTATAATTAGAATTTAGTTAAGTATTCGTTATCGAATGACAATAAATTACGAATTTACCATCCACGGATGTGCATGTATTTATGTGTGTGTGAGTGGATTACGCTATAGTTTCATTATCGTTACTCATCTGATGCATATAAAAACTGCGATCCGAATAGGGATTTCGATTACGAGTATTGGTGTGGGATTCGCGGGCTAGCTGTAGAAAATCTCTGGCCTACGATAGGAGTAGAAATCGTTCGTAAAACATATATCCTATATAGAAATGTATATAGACCGGGCAGAAAGGGCTGCATGCGATAGTTAAAAACGGTTTCGTATCGTTACCACTCGGGTTTTTTCTTATATTGTACACACACCTAGAAGTCTTTTGACAAAAATACACATTTATACACGCATATACAGGGTCCTGTGAAGAGTTCCTCGCTTCTCGATAATAGATTCTCGGGTGCATTGCCATACGAGCTAAGTAGGATACTAATTTGGCCAGTATTGCGTAGGCGTGGGTGATCCGCTGCTGTTCGTCGGTTCTTTCGGGGTGAGCTTACGTAATTACAAAAATTACATTAGTTCGGCTACGGCTATCGGTAAGTTACAAGTTACAGATTACAAACTACAAATACGTTTTTCCTGCTTGTACAAAAATTGCTGTTTGCTTTTGCCTTGTCCTGAACATAAAGTACAACTCATATATATCCACGATATATCTATAGGTATGCACTATATTATGATATACGTGTAGAAGTATATTAGACATTACCTACGAGTAGTGTGTATGCGCACGGGTAATATAAGTATGTATTTATATGCAACATCCATCTGTCGTCTGAGTATTCTCTTTTTGGTTTTTGTTTGGAATTCGCTGATTATATGCATGGCCATGATTTACGTTTACATTCAATGTACGTGTGTGTTTGTTTGTGTGCTGTGATTTGTTTTGTTTTATGTATGAGAATGGTTTGGTGTGACTGGCTTCTTCTTCCTTCCGGTTCCGCTTACAGCAGTAAATTTTCTAAATGCGCTGCATACTCGTCTTCTGTGTGGAACTCCAGACTTTCGCTCTCGCCGTGACTGTGACTGCGACTATTGTGGTAGCTGTGAATAAACACAGTGAGAAAAATTATAGTTATAGAAAAATTCTATTCTTTTTATGTTCAATTCAAAAGTTTTAATTTTTAAAATTCCGCTTGAATTTAAAAATGTTGATTTCAGGTTATTTGTTTTTAATTTTAGAATAAATGTCGTTCAATTGGTAACTTACTTAACATAAAAAAAATTCCCTTAGAGTAAATCACTTTTTTAATTTATATACAAAATTGCCATTAACTCACAAAGTCGTTTTTAAATTAAATCAAATCGTAGAGTAAAAAAATATTAATAGCTATTTTTGATATTACTCAAATATTGTAAGGAACGTGTTTATGATTTTTGGAATCCTGATATATAATATAATATATATTATATGGACAAAATAAAATATTTTCTCGCAGTGCATAAGTGCTGATGGCCACAGAGGTAATGAGCAAAGTTGGCGAGTAATAAAACCTTAATGCCAAATCAATAGGACACGTGTAATTACCTGCTGTCGTCGAGTTCCCGCTTCTTGCGCTTGCGATCCTGCGAAAGGGCCTCCACGCACAGGATGATCAGCTTGCTGTCGCAGGATTGTCTCTTCTGTTCAAGCAGCTTGTGGCCATCCAGATTGCTGGCATAACCCGACTTCAGATGGTCACTCGAGTGCCAGGCATCGCAGTAAGTGTCCATGGAGCGTTCTCCATTGGGCAGTGAGCCATGCCAGACCATCTTCATGGGCCTACAATGGTAAACAATTTAGATAAAGAATTTAAGGGGAATCAATATCCATCTTACCATGATGGATCCGTCATCACATTCTTGCCGCTGAAGCTGTAGATCCGTGGCGCCTGCGAGAAGAAGCCACCTTGGCCATTGAAGATGCCCTTCCAGGAGTTGAAGAGCACATCGCCACGGGTATTCACCACGGGCAGATCCCGGTCAGCCGTGCGGACAATCGTGTCCAGATTCTGTACCCTATAAACGAAACGAGAGTTAGCATTCCGTTTATGTGGGCACAAGTTATTGCCGGCATACGAGCGGCAATTACACGCGAACAAACAAACTGCCATCAAAAGATGTCTGAAGGGCAGGTGCTCGCTTATTTATTTATGTTTTTTGGCCCTCGAAACCTCCAGGCTCGGAAAACTCCCAACCCCCCTGGTTGCCAGAGCACTGTGTAAATAAATTGCACGAAATTGTTTTCACAAGCTTTTGTTTTCATACTTTTCGAGCGCGCTTTTTTCGCTTTCGCCTCGCTCCAAATATCAAGATTATGCGGCAACTAATGAGTTCCCAAAGTGTCGGCTCAGCCGGAAAACGTGGCGTATGAGCAACGCCGAGCATTGGGGCGGAAAATACTCAGGACTGGACGGGATTTGCGGGAAAAAAACTTAATAACTAAACGGGATACCAGGCCTAATATGCGTGAAAAAATCTTAAGAAAGATAAGACACACTCGCCGGGAAACAAGTACCCAGTACGAAGTACTCACCTGGAGGATAGGAATGCCTTGAAGGTGCCCAGGAGGCCGGCCCGTCGTCCTTGCCGATAGCAGGCAAAGTCCGCCCCACGGATCCCCTGCAAATCGCCAGTGGAGGGCTCGTTCAGCGCCGCCACGCGCAGCTATTCCGGATCCAAGAAAATATGGCATGAAATTAATTCGGAATTTATGTCAAGCATTTTAAGATCTAATTAATACAGAATTTAATAGCCGGGAATTGTTTGTCTAACAAAGGTCGCCGGCAAGTAAACACCGCGGGGTAGACTAAACGGAAAATGATAGGTAGGAGTAATGGATAGTAAAATATTTCAAATAACTGTCGGGACTCTAAGGAAACAATAACTAAAAAATGCAAAAAACCTTGGGGGCTAAAAGAAGAACAGCACTCATAAAATCTAAGAACGTGGGCAGGAGTTCAAAGGTCGGATCTAGCTTAATTGAAGGGCAGGGAGGATGGGAACTCACCATTCGCGGATACCACTGGAAATGCGATTTTAATTTCATATTATTTTCGATTCCATTAATTTTGTTTGAAGACGCAGCCATTGAATGTGGGACAAAAATATTCGTATTTTAATAAATCTAAATGGAAATTCTGGGCATTCTAACACCGACACATAGAAGGGAGTTCTCAACATTCTTGACTTTTGTGTGGGATGCGAATCGTTGAGAACTAAGCTTTATGGATTACCCAAAGCAAAAAGGACAAAATTCAATCAAGAAGCGTCTAGTTAAAAATGCAAATCACACATAAACACACAAAGGAAATGGAATTAAACATATAACTTATTTGTCTAAGCAAAAGAATAGGGTTTCCATCGATCCACTGAGAGTATAAAACCATCGATGGATACACACAAAAGCAGAAAATCAAACTACACCAATTGTTCCGCGGACAACAGAACTTCAAATGCAATTTTCGCTAATTAGAAATATTTTCATTGGCCAGCAAACAAAATCAAATTATTTATTCAACGAGTGTGTGCAAGAATCGTTGGCAATTTAAAATTCTCCCGTTCCTTTTTTTTTATTATTAATTTTTTAGTTGACACTACGAAATGCGATATTATGGATTTAATTACCGTTTCGTATTCGGGCGCGGTTGTAAACTGCATTTAACGACAATTAATTATAGATAAGTTTAGTAGGTTATAACGATAACATTTGCTTCAGTTCGTTTCACTGAGTATTCATGATGGAAATTAGGAACAAGTAGTGTGTATGTTTGTGGTGTAGTTTTGTGGCTTTCTTGCGAGATGGCCAATCATTGATGGTAAAGCTATTATTAAACATCCTTATAGGGCTTACATTTTGGTATAAAATATCAATAATTCGCCAGCTCTGCAGAGTAGTGGTAGTTTTTGTTAGGGACTATCGGCGGGAAATGACGCACAGGCGGGGAAACATCAATGTCAGAGCTTTCCGTTCCATAAATAATTCACTGGGAACTCATCAAAGTCGAGTACAATTAATACACACAAAGGGAATGCCAACTAGGACTCCTGATTTCCATTCGAAGCGCTCTTAATTTTTCCCCGGCATCAATGTCATTATCCCGCCGAGTAGCGATGTGGGGAAACACAAAGTGCAAAAATATAATGACAATTTCGCCATCTCCATCACCATCACGTCACTCACCGTGGGCGTATTGATCAGGGGCGGTGGACTGTTGAGCAGGTTCTTCGACTGCAGGTCGAATCGCATCGATGGGCCCACCGTGGTGGGCGGGGCGGGCGTGGCTATCGGTACCAGGGTTCCCAGCTGCGGGTATACAAAGGGAGAATTAAATGTGGAATCGTAATTAAAAGGCGCCGCGACAACAAATAAGCGTTTGACGAATTCGTAATTAATAAAACAAGAGCTCTGGGCAAATATGCAAAGGAGGACCCTTTCAAGTAGTTAATATTTCAGCGGGAACAGAAGGCAAACAGCCGAGCACTCCAGCTCAACCATTATGCGATGAAATCAGCGTTGTATTGAAACTTTTGCTCAAATATTTGCATTACGTGTAGGAAAATATGTAACTGTCCCAGTCCCAGTCCCAGTTTCAGTCCCAAACTGGAGTTCCATTCTCGCCTAACTCTTCCTCACTGTATTAGGGTCAAATTTTCGACAGCCATAATGCGCGACGTCGTCTGACAAAAGTTTTAATTACTATTTTGAACTTTAAGTAGTCGACTCGTGTACTGAAATCTAATTAGGCTGGAGCCTCGGCTACCATCTCGGCATCTCGGCAGACAGCTGTGTATTTCGCCCAGACGAATGCGAAATGCAAATGGGAATCCGACTACACGGCCAGAAAATGACAACATGTTACATGTTAGTAAACATGTTAAGAATAAAAAAGAATTGGCTGCAAGTCAGTCAAGAGTTTTTAAAACTAAGGACAATTTTCTTCATATAAAAAAAAACCTCTCCTTTTTTAATTTATTTAAGAAAACAGACTAAAATCTGTATAAAATAAATTAAAACAAACATATTTGTAACTTAAGAAACCATATAAAAAACCTCAAAATTTAAAATTATTTCTTTCTAATCCATGGAAAATTTATTTCTGTGTAGCCAACTTCCTGACTCCCCGACTTGCCGAGATTTCGCCAACAAAGGGTCCCTTGCTTTGGCCCGATTTTGCCATATTACTCGGCGCACCCTGACAGTTCATGGTCCTGTGCCGGGTTTTTGTTGTCAAAAGTATTTAAATGCTGCCGTCAAAGGCAAGAGATTTCGTTTTCATTCCGTGTTGCCTTATGCACATGCCAGTTGCCAGTATCCAGGAACTGGGAACTGTGAACTGGGAGTCAGGAGGCTTTCTCCATACCTATCGGGACAGCCCTACTGTGCCGGCTTTTATGCCCTACAACAACGGAAGCGGAAATCGAATCTCGAGCAGCTTTTTGCAGCTCCCCAATTCTGAGAATTTCGTACATTTTGGCACAATCGAGGCACTAGTTTCCCATCGCTTGCCTTACATTTCCAATTTTCTGATGATTTCAATAACGCAACAAGCAGGCGAAATTGTGGCCACTTTGGTGCTTAACAAGCTATTGAAAAATCGCCCATTTCAGTGGGTAATTTTACCAACTTCGGAAGGCTCCGAAAAATGCTGACCCAAGCAAATTGGGTAATAAAAGGCTCCCACAAGGGGAAAGTTCACCTTGAAGGCCGGCTGAGATTAATTGGCATGAGGCACAGGTCGGTATTTCAGTGGATTGTCCAGGGGACGACAATAAAACCTTCGATTTCCGTTTAATATTATTTTTAATCTGCCAAAGGAATTTATGGCTCCAAGGAGGCAAAACTGCCTACTTAACCCAGCAACAAGATCAAGCGATGCATGTTTTATATTCCATCAATAAATGTTTTAGACCCCTGACTGACTGGAGCACATGTCTCTGGATATTCCCTATGTCCTTGTATCCTTTAACCGGGACAAGTGAAAAGCCAAGCGCAAGTCAATATAATTGAATAACGCAGATATACACACAAGTACACACATGTGACGGGTGGCAATCCAAAGGCAATCAGTCTGTACGTCTGCAACATTTAATGTGCAAATAAAAAAGGAGCCGATACAAGGAATCTTACTTTATGGCAGGCAAAGGAAAATAAATAAATAAGGGGAGCAGAAGACAAATACAATCTTCTGGCCAGGCCTGTCTTTTCTATTTTGGCATACATTTGTTTCCCTCCTATTTTTCTACTCTTTTTTTGGAGGAGCTTACAGCCATAATGGAACAACAGACGGCAGAGCGGGATCTATAAAATAATAACCTCCCGCCGGCGAGCTCAGCGCCTGTCATATTTGGCATTTTAAAAGCGCTACCCAAAAGTTCCTCTGTTTGCTTAGGAGCCAGAAATCAAATCCTACCCCCGAAACCAAGCGTAAACCGGGGGATTTCGGGCCCGAACTCACCGCAATATACTGCCAGCCCTTGTTGACGCGAACCAAAAGAGCCTCCTCCTCGGTGATGTAGGCCAACGTGCCCGGCGGATTGAGGGCCGATTTCTGTGGAAAATATATCAAATCGAAAGAGTTTAAAAATACATGGCTATGGCCAAATTTAACCAATCGCCACCCACTTTTGTCATTTCATCAATGTTTTGGAAGGTGACTGCGCCGGGCACAATCTTCATGTTCATGTTCGATGAGGATGCCGAAAAGTAGGGCTCCTCCTCGCCACCATTCAGACCCAAAGTTCCATCATGCTGCTTGTGGGTGTGTCCTGGCTGCCGTGGAGTCTCTGAAAGGATAATTCATGCATTATGGCACATATTTCGGTATCCTACATTCACTTAAGTTTGATTTTTCCAAGTGCTAACTCACAACAGTGTGAGAATATTTATTTATGTGTGCTTTAAGTTGTCTTGTTGATTAAAATAAATTTGTATATATAAAGGCCTACATTTCAATTTTCAAATAACTCAAGCTCAAGCAATTATAAATGTAAATCAATTCTCTACACTTGGTAAGCAAAAAATAATTTTTATGTTTCAATGCCTTTATACTTCACTGATAATAAAAAGTTAGTACTTTCGTGGTCAATTTTAAAATTATGTCTATTTTTTCCAATACTGTTTTTAATAATATTAAACTAGATAATATTGAACATTAAAATTAAAGTTAATTTAGGGATCTTGAGCGATGATTTCTTTTTCCTAATTCATTCATGCAATTTAGTATGTGTCCTATACTTTATTATTATTGTGTATTTTATTTGAATATTAAATTTGAAATCAATTTGCAGATTCTAATTTTACTATTCCCCTTTTGTAACAGTAATCAAATGATTTTTGACCTAATTGCATTTCATACAAGAAATATAACTAAATATGCATTGTGTTTGTAGAAGAAAATAATAATGTAAATTGAATTTTAGTATGAGCAAAAGTGTGCTTTAATATTTCATTTGCACATTCACCTACTCTCTAAACTGACTGAACGAGTCAAAAGTTCGCCAAAGTATGCCAAATACTCGCATTTTAGGTTAATGGTAACTGAAATATGTAATATCTGTGTGCGGGCCATGAGTTGGGGGTTTTTTCTTGTTTTTTTTTGGCCGGGAAAAAGTCATGACGGTGTGAAAATACGCGCATAAAGAAAATGTTTACACGTTGTACTCTATCAACGGCAAATGAGTTAATGATGATGTGCAAATATGTGGAACTCACCGGCCATTAAAGGAGCTATAGCTAGTTCATGAAAGGATGTGTGAGGGAAGGAAAGGTGTGTTGGGAACTGAAGGCAATTAACTGGTTCTACGGAAAGTCATGCAACATTCAAAGGGGCTACTACAACTACGGCTAATATGGTAAATGGAGTTGAGATTGAAGATTGTAGATTTAGTAGTTCGATTACCGGCTGTGCCATCGGGCCGATCCCGAAGATCTTGCAGTTCTCGCAGTGCTTTGAGTTCGTCTAAGGATGAGCGCGCTCCTTGATGACGAGGAGACGATACAAATGACATGGATTGATATCGATTGGATAAGTTAGGCTTGGCTCTTGGATAGGATAATGCTAGGCTATGTACAGATATTGACCACTAACTAAGCTCACAAGTGACATATTTACAAACATTTTGGTATGGTAGTTTTTTATGATTCTCTCACCTGGTCGCCCGTAGTAGGAAGCATCGCCGTAGAAGCTGCTACGCAACTCCATGCCGGGCTCTCCTTTGGGTCCCGAAATCGATAGACCCGGAAGACCTGGTGGTCCCGGAGGTCCTGGAGGTCCTGGCATCGGGATGTACTGCACTCCGCTGCTGTCACCATCACCTCCTCCGGTGGCGGGTATTCCAGGAGGTCCTGGCAAGCCATCTCGACCATCCTGACCTCGGTCGCCCTTGTCACCCTTGATCTAGAAACATATTTCATCCAGTTTCAGTACCTCGAAAGCCCTCGGTGATCCATCAACATTCTGCCGCCAGACGGGGCGTATACTTGACACCGACTTTTGGCATCGACTTACCCCTTCGCGACCACTGGAATCGCCCTTTGGTCCCTTGGGACCCATCTCTCCCTTGGGTCCTGTCATACCAGGGCGGCCCTGCGAATCAATTAAATTAAGGCTCATGAAAATCAGGGAATCAATAAATGTATTTTCATTATGCTGAAAGGATAATGCATCAACCAGAATTTTTTCTCAGTTTAAAATCGCTTCCATTATTAAAATGATGTCCTTTATAGCGCACGTCGCAAAGTTTGCAGATGGCCAGCAGGAATCACATTCACTTGGCCGTAAGTGGGAAAGTTGAGAGCAAATTATAAGATCATTGGCAGCCAAAAGCCAGAAGAAGCCAGCAGCCACATGAATGCCTCGTGAGGAGTGCTTGCATCCAAGTTGGCCAGCGGGGCAACTTGAACTATGGCCAAAAAAAAAAGGGGGGAAACTTTTGCCATTCCGGAGTGCAACAATTCTCCTCCAGTGGCAACGTTTTTGTCTCTCCGCTCGTTCCGGCAATTGAGCCAAAGTTCCGGGTCCCATTCCTTTTGGAGGAGCATCTCATGTAAATACGTTGCTACGATTTTGATTTCGGGCGGTAAACGATGCCAGTTGGCACAGAGTGCCGTGGAAAGGACACCAAAAGGATACGCGCCTGCCTCTCAATTCAGTGACTCTGACTCGGTTGCAAAGGGAAAGTTCTGCTTAGCTGTTGTTATTGCCGAATAATGGCGGAAATTCTGGGTAAACTGCAATTGGAATCGTGCGATGCGATGCTCTGACTGCCGCGTCCTGAATAACCGTGATGAAAATGCACTTAAAATACTTTTCGTTTGAGTTTATTCCGCTGCTCTCGTTCTTTTTTTTTAGGTCCACCCGTCCTGCGTCTCAACCTCTTTCGGTGCCCTGATTGTCTAAATCGCGAATGCGGCCAGAAAATTTCTGTTTGTCTGTGAACTTTCCCAGCAGCAGAAACAATGCAGCCTTTATAAGGGGCGTAGGGAGGGAGATACAGTCCTAACTTTCATTTTCGAACTTTACAACGTTGAGGTTTATGATAGGGTCTCTATATAGACCAGGTTCCGAATATATTGATATATATAATGATTTACTTAAATGTCTTGGAAAAAAAGGGAACTGTTTGGGTTTCTTTTCAAAATGTTGTAAAATTAATTCAAAATGTTAAAATGTTGTGCTTTTATGGAATAAGTTATATTAAACATTTCGTGTCTTAATTTTTGTTTCTTTCCTGATCAACTTAATAAGGTTTGTTGTATAGATTTTTTCAAAATTGTACTTTAAATTTGTACTTTTCAAATATTTTATTATTGGTCAATATAAGAATATGGTTTTAAAATAACATAATGTAACCTGTTATTTATTTTCCGTTACTAAAACAATATTCTCTTCGCTTCAAAACCCCCAGCTTTTTACCCGTGAACTTTTTTTGACTACGCTCCTGGCCAGAATGGGTGAAAGCATGTGAAAGTTGGTCAATCTCATGAATATGCATGGAAAAGTTGGCGAGTGGCCGGGACTCCCTCTGTCTCCCTGCCCCCTCTCACTTACCGAGTGTCCAATATCGCCCATGGCCCCGGGTTTTCCGGGCGGTCCAATTGGTCCAGTGGCTCCCGTTCCGCCGCGCCGACCCCGCATGCCCTTCTCACCCTTCTCGCCCTTGGTCCCGTTGGCGCTGGCGAGGCCCTCGAGTCCGCCGGGCTGTCCGGCCTGTCCAGGCAATCCCGGCAGTCCGGGGGTTCCCGGTTCGCCGGGCTCACCCTTTGAGCCGCTGGGCCCGTGTGCACCTTTGTGACCCTGTTTTTCGGTTGGAAGAAGAGAAAGTGTGTGAAATGATTTACGGTCTTGAATAATACGACTACATGTGCCCAGGGGATAGGGATTTGGTTATAGGGATTGGGGGGGGGCCTACCAGCTCACGCCTAATTTGGCCGTAAAACTCAATTTCAAACGTTTTGTCGACGAGCGAGCAAAAAATTCAATTCAAACTCATTTTGAAATCAAATCAATTCCGAAATGCCGCACACACTCACGAAATTTATGCAATGCCGCCTGGTGACAAGCCCGAAAACACAAAACCATATTCCTTTCGGCTGAGAAGGTCCCTTTGGCTTTGTGGAAATTCGCCTACATCTTCTTTCCCTTTGGGCCCCCGGACTCCTCCATCTCCATCTCAATCCCAATCTCAATTCATCCCCAGCATCGTCGTAGACGTCGTCTTCCACATCATCAGCGCCTTAAATGGTTCGCCATAAATTCGCACGCGCTGGATTTTGGATGTTTTTGGGGAAGCAGAGGCTGATCCGGCTGCTGTTATTCCTTGGGCCTTATAAGAGCCGGCTCCATAGCGTCAACTTAATACCAACTAATGAATAATTAATAAGGCAACTCACACACACACGACTGCTCCGGAGGCTGTCTTTCAAGATCCCCTGTTTGTAGGCTTAATGAAACGTAGCTAATTGTGCGTGTATTCATACGTTTAAAATGCTAATTTCCATATTAGTTTTCCTCGAAAATTGTAATGCAATAGCCGGGGGTGTATATACATATATTCGGTGCTTCGCTGACAAATTGGGCGTGAACTTATCTTAAAAAATACCCATCGATTTTTTCATAATGTGTGTGTGGCAGGGAGCTGTTTGCATAATTTCTTTTTATTTCACGCACGATTAATTCCGGGTGTGGCATCCGTGGGGAGAAACTACTTAAAAGCAACCTTGTTACGCCAGATTCCTCTGCCATAAGCCGCATAAATATTACTTATGTATATCTCAGGTCGTGGGCCCAATTTGGATGTTGTTCGCAGGAGTAATCTGCGACACCGGAAGTCCACGTGAGTGGGAGTCGGGATCATTGGGTTAACCGAAAGCCAAAGCCAGGAAAAAAACCACAAACAAACAGACTAACAGCAAGCACATTACGCCAGTCCTGGTTGGCAGATTTAAGTTTTGAGGTTGCGCATAAAAGAAATACGAGCGGGGGGATGGGGATCCTGGAAAAGAGGGTGTCCGAGGGTGCAAAGCCACCCCAACTAAGCTGCTAAATGGCATGCAGTGTACAGGGTACTGGGTAATGGCTGGGAAGTAAGCGTCGCCTAAGCAGGATGAGCTCCCCGAATGACCAAAACTTATTATGGAAGTAATGCCAAAACGAGAAGTGAAAAGAAACGAAACCAAATAGTTTATGAAGGGGATGTGTTGTGTGTGTTTCGCCCCCGTATCCACTGAAAATCAAATGGGCTATAAATGCACACAAATTGGAGCAGAAATCTGGAGACATCGTCTCTTCGTCTCAAGTGACGCATTTCGGGCCAACTGCTGATAGAAATTTATGCCCCAAATTGTGTATTTCCTGCACAAATGACTGCGATGCCATAAATATGAAATTGTGGGGTGGAACTCAGCTGGAACTGAGCGCCCCCAAAGAATTATTACTATCTATCAAATTGGGTACCATTTAGCTCGAGCTCAGGGAAGTAATTTAGGAATTGTGGCGTATGTCCTTTCACGGGGTTAATCGTTTGGCATTTATTGGCTAGATAATTCCTTTCAGAGAGTAATAAAATTTGAAAATAGATTTTAGTAGCAAACCACTTATGCTTTTAGTATTTATTATCTTAAATAAGGAGCCATGCATTAACTAACTTTTGAACTAAATTCATATTTTGTGTATTTAATATTTATAAAACCATTTTTGTTTAGTGATAGGAATTTCTAAAAAGTTTCTATAAAAAAAGTTAATCTATGGATGTATTATATAATTTCATTAAATATAATATATATATTTATTTAATAATATAAAATTAAATAATATTAATCATTTTAAAATATCCTATAGATTGAGTATTGTAAGATCGAAATAAATATTTTTAAAAATCTAGGGACTTATAGCATAGACTTGGAATATCAAACCATACCAAATATACCAAATATAATAATGACTTTAAAAATCTGTTGCAAAAATATGATTTTGGGTTCTCGATTTGAACTTCAAAAGATGTTCAAAACACATTTTAATCTGATATCATAAATTCAAACCTCTCTAACCCAGTGCTTCAAAACAGCTTGCCAAACATGATTATTGCTATGGCCAATAGCAAATTATCGTCGCTGCCTGTTTGCTCATTTGTGCTCCTTGGCCCTATTGCCCTTTTAAGAAGCCTCAAAATCAATTGAGTAGTCAATAGGGCAGAAATTATTACATGAGTAGGTATATTTGAAACAACAATCGAGTGGGCCCGAGAAACACTTTATAATGCATACACCCACGCCCGCACAACTAGCGACGACTAGGGAATTGGTTGGGTCTAGGGACGAGGTCTGAGGATAACCCGGGCCATTTATTAGACATGCCCCCTGACTTACCGGATCGCCACGTTCTCCTTTCTGGCCGGCATCACCTTTCTCGCCGGGCACACCTTTGGCCCCTGGCTGCGTCGTTCCCCGGAATGTGCCCATCGAGTTGACCATTAGGGATTCCTGTGTGGGTATGTGTATAGGCATAGTAATTTGTTAAATATTTGCTTCTTGTACAATTTATTTTCGATACATGTAGTCGGGACCCCATTTTTCTGATCTCTTTTTTTTGGCCACAGCAGGCGGTCCTTTTTGACGAAGGACAACCCGGATACCAAACACACGGCGGAAATTTGATTAATGATCTTTTTTTTGTCTGGGGGGCGGACCGCCTCTCAGATTTCGGGGCGTGGCTAATGATGCCGAGTGGTTCTAGTCCATTACAGGCTGTGGCCGTCGCTTACCCCGGGCAAACCTTTTTTATTTTTGTCATATTAACGAGTAAGTAGTAGTGGTGGTGGGAACATAAATGAAATTGTTAAAATGTTTATACCTTGAAGGTCCTGGTTGGATTCCAATTTATCTGTTATTTATGTGTTGATGGTTACAAGAATACATAATTTTTGGATTCGATATACGTTTTATAATAATATAGAGCAATGGGCGTGAAATTAAAGCGTATTAGTAGATGATTTCACTGGTAAAAAATCAGAGAACGTTTCAAAGTTGCAACTTTTACGGGGAAACTGTCGTGTATTTAGATACATGGGCATGGGTAATGGGATTTTTGAAGAAAACATTTGACAAAGTGAAAGTCGTGTCAACAATCAAAAGCCGTTCTAATAAACATAAAAGCATTTCTCCCTTAAGGACTCTAAATGGGCCTTTAGAAAGTTTCGTTTGCATTGGGGTTTTAAACAAACTGTATACCCTCTAAAAACTGTGATCCTCAAAATTTAAGATATATGTAAATACTCCTTTGTCTGAAATTCATTCTTTATACTTTTTGCTAACCATTCTTTTTTCCTGACTTATATTTCATTATTGTATATTATATGCTCTAATTCAAACCCATTTGTTCCTAGTCCTGGTTTCCAGGGGATAACACAGAGGGTATGACACCCACGGAAAGCTTTTAAAAGGCTCCGGCTCTGGGACGATGATAATGATGATAAACCCTCCGACATTAAACAATGGGCGGGCCGGCCGGCGAGTGCCTGTCTGATTTTTACTGCCGCCTCGTCGTCCACAAGTAGCTTGACACTTTCATAAACGTAACAGTGCGATAATGATTACGGGACTTTCTCCTCCTTTCTCCGCCCACTTCAACCCACCAGTTAGAGGAAAAAGAAAAGCGGGCTACATACGGCGTTGAAATGCGGTGATAAAGCCGAGCGGCAAAAAGAAAAGTTTCGCTCTTGCATGAAAGGGTTCAAAGTGGCAACGGTGCGGATGGGTGATGTGTTTGCCTTTGTGTGGGCGACTGCCTGTATCTGTGTTTGTGTATCTGTATCAGTGTGCGTGTTACCGCATTTAACCGCGTGAACTGCGCGCCGTGCGCTGATAACGGTAATTGCCACCAGCTGAAACACCGCCATCGACATTGGCATGTGGCATGCGGCATGCGGCACCCTGAATCTAGAGCCTCGAAAACTGAGCCCATTGCCGCCAAAAGTCTAAACTAAGGTGCTCAGCTGCACGGAGAATTATAATAATGTTTTAAAATGTTTTTTAAATATTGGGAAAAGAAAAATCTATAAGAAACGCATTTCCTAGTTTAAACGTACTTCAGGAAGTTTACCAACATAAGACTTTGAAATTTTCTAAGATAAATCTTAAACTGTTTATAATCTCTCATTCGAAAACATATTCATTCTGAATTTAAAAGTATTATCTATTTACCAACTTCTCCTCAAGTTCTAGCGTTCTCATACTTTTTCTATAGTTTCCTGCGGTTGGATTGCTTGGTTCTAAACTGATTTTGTTAAAATAATGTTGGGTTTTAAAATTACTATTGTTAAAATTGCCATTCAATCGCTGTTTACTAATCACTAACACTGTTTCTTAATTTTAACTGAATACATAAAACACTACTTTAAAATGAATAATAATTTTTCACGGTGTTGACTTCACCTGACTTCAACGTCGACACGACGACTCCACTTCAATTTGGGTTAGAACTGGCGGCTCGCGTGCTCAAGACGCTTTGGTTTGGGCCCTTTCGCTTCGTCAGGAGATGTTTTCGCGGAACCTTTGCGGTTTTAAGATTATTAGCTGAGATAGGCCATTTGTGGCATTCGCGACAACGACAATGGTGGCCACTGAACGTGCTCGCTTTTGGCAGGCAGACTCTGGCTCTGGGCAGGAATCTGAAACTGAATCAGAATCTGAATCAGAGTCTGAATCAGAGTCCGAATCAGGAACTGGAGCTGGCGTGACGCCACGAGCCACCAGGGTGGTAATTTTTCACAGTTGCTGCGCGAGCCAGGAAGGAAATTAGTTTAGGCAAATTGTGCGGCTTGTAAAACACGACGGACGTTTACCTTGGCCAGTCGCAATTCATAAAGATGTGCGTGATTGAAAAACAGACGGACAGACGGAGCAGAAGACGGAAGGATACAGACGGCAGGATACGGACTACAGGATACGGGCCCAGACATCGAGCAACTGCATTAGCCATCTCACGCCTCTGTTTGCCCAATGTAAAAGGTGCAATTTTGATCGAAAGTAAAGTTAAAACAAAGTCAGGAAAATTGGAAATAATATTATCTTCGATAGCCGAAGAGTTAATACCCTTTTTCTCTATAAACAGATAAAAAGATATTGCTAAAGAGTTAAATATATATTTTTTAAGTTTTATTTTTAAAGATTAAAACATATATAAAGAAAAAAGGTATTATATGTATTACATTATTAATTACTTGGAGACTTAAAACGTTGGACTAGCCAAAGAAATTCTTAGGGGTTTCAGTAGAACATTATTAAAAAATTGGTAAGTTTGTATATTTTACATACACAAACCTTATAACAAGTGCAAGATTTTACAATTGGTTCTAGCACCAAAATTTTGAAAATTACCATTTTTTATTTAAGTGAAACAAGTCTTGAGTTGTATGAATTTAATCTCAAAGCTAGATCTTTTTTTTTACGAGCAAATGCATTATCGATTTAATTATTTATTTCAAATTCTTAAGAATAAGGTTGAGAAATGGTTTCTATGATATGATAAGAACTGACGGACTTTAAAAAAATGCTTAAAGATTTATCCAAATATTTTAAAATATTAAATTTTTCTTGTTTTCTATTTTAATTGTTCGAGTTAGATAAACCGAAAATAAATTCCATGTGAAACCCCCATTGCGCTTTTAAATTGTGTAATGAGTTCTTCGTATAAGCCCGTTAAGACGTAACTTAGCATATAGACTTGTAAATAAATTCAAATTGTTTTCTGTTTTGTTTCGTTTTGGTATACTTACATCGTAATTCTCGGGCAAACCAGGCGGACCCGGTGGTCCCGGCGGACCCACGACTCCGGGCAGTCCGTCGACGCCTGGCTCGCCCTTCAGCCCCTGGGCACCTTCGGACCCCCGGGCGCCTCTGGCTCCTGGCACTCCGGTGGCTCCCTGGATAAATGTGAATGAAAACGATGAGGAGAACGGGAAGAGAGGAAGAAACGTCGCCGGCAGCGACAGAGAAATAAATCACATTAGTGGGCGTGCATATAACGTGTCCTGCGTTCTTAGAGCTACAAATCTACGTCTACATGGCCAGTTCTACAAGGAGCTGTTTTTGGGTTCGAGCTGGAGCTACAGTTTTTGGTTTTCCTAACTGGCTGCGGTCGATTTACATAATCGTTGCGTTTTAGACCGAGCTCATTAATCTACGTGGCATGTGGTTCGGTTTTTGGGGGGGCCGTAGGGATTGGGATTCGGACTAGGGGTCTCGACATTCCAATAGGCGACATGGATGGGTACACAAAAAATGTGTCTCCCGATGTTCTTAATCTTATGCAAAATGGTCACGCTGTGAGCCATTTGCGTGCCATTGCCATGTTCCTGTTGTTGTTAGGCTGTGTAGCTGTTGCTTATCGTCGTCTTTTAAATTAATTGCTATTAGTTAAGGGATTAGCAGTGGGGCAACAAAGTTGTCGCTGGAATTTCCGGTATGCGCGCCAGCTTGCCATATTTCACCGAGCCTGGAAAAGCCTTTTTGGTGGAGGGGTTAAGGGTGGGGATTTAAGGGCGCGGGTCAGTGGGAGCCAGTTTTTTGGGTCGACGGAACGGGAGGTGGGTGGTGATAAAGGGGGCCTTAAGCTGGCATATTTCCCTAGCTGTTAGCTGCTGGCAATGGACCACAGAATGCCCGGCATACCGCTTTCCTTTTGATGTATTGCATCGCATTGAAGAGGCTGCGTTCCACAGGTTGCTGGAGTGGCCCAGAAAATACGAGTTTGAATGGATAGACGGGGGCTTTAGAAGTGAATGTCTTTGGCCTGCTTTCGCTTTCGCTTTACGTTTTGAATAATTCCCTGGGTAATGGACATGCATTCAGCGTTTCTATATTTTCGGTTAGCTGCTCAAAGTTTTTGGCCCTGTTGCGTGATAAGCACTTAAGTGAGTCGAGTGGCCGAAGGAGTGGAAAGACTGTAACATTGTCGACTTTGCCTTTGACCCGCACTTATACACATACACTGCGAGTAGTAAATGGCAAGTACATAGTCAAGTGTAGTTCAAGACATACACAGACAGACAGACATGGAGACATCCTTTGTGTATCCAGAGTGAACTCTTATGGTTGCCAAAGACGTTCCCAGTTGATGAGATAATATAACGAGTAGCACCCGTAGAGTGGATAAGTGTTTAAGCGTGAGCTGGCGCATAAAGAAGATTTTCGTTACGATTCGGTCCCATTTTCTCCTCTTCTCCATCTTCAGCGCAACTGCGTAAGTGTGTGTGTACGTTAACGTTTTTTCCATTTCCAGTTACACGCGCACACACGCACGCACACACACTGCACTGTGCAAATTATGATGTTTGACATGGGAAAACATGCAGAGACCCTTCTGAAATCGCCCCCCCTCTTTGCCAATTCCCCAGTCCACCAGCAACCATCTACCGTCCTCCTTCAAGCCACTCTCTCTTGGAGATTAGACGATGTGTGTAATGAAATTGAAAATGTGTTAGATTCATGTCAAATATTGCCTTTTTGCCAACCCGTTGTAACTCGAAATTGCCGTACACACAGATAAGCCCAGGGAACGGAAAAAAAACATGGAAGATAGTTTAGCTCCAGCTACCGATGAAGAAATACCTTTCCGATCGATTGTATAGTTTGTTTAAGTACAACCATAAACCAGGCTTAAGACCTTGAGTTCCGGCAGTATTTATAAAATGAAACTCGTAACTCTAGTTTTGCATTTTTAAACGAATTTAAACTCTTTTTAAATTGGTTATTCAGATAGCTACCCAATTCCTTAAATATTTTCCTATGTATTTGGAGGTATGACTTGGATACTGAATAAGTAAAACTTTATACCTAATCCCACTTTAACTTTCTGTAGTCAATGAACCCCCTACTAGAGTATGAAAATAGATAGAGAAATTCCCTGGAAATAAGTTGGATCGGTACTTACGGTGTGACCAGGGGTACCTGGCTTTCCATCCTTGCCCGCCGCTCCGGGCGCTCCTCGCAACGTCTCCCGCAACGACTCATTGTCCTTGATGGCCTCTAGGATATCAGACGCGTTGCATGTACACTCGCCAGTGTATTTCTGCGGAGGGATGAAAAACAAACTTAGCACCTGGCTTTCGAGCGGATCGCATTACCACGGCACATCGTTGGGGCACGCAGGCAATTTCGCGTTGCCCATCGCGATGGCACAGAGAAAAATATTAACGGTTTTTGGAGTCTAAAAATCATGAATTTTATAATTTATTGTATTTAAAGCCAACAAAGGAATTGGGATTAATTTTATGAAAGATTTAAGCTTTAACTTTAAAAGTGTCCAAAAGTATGTTGTACAAAAAAAAATGTTTGCCATATATTAAACGGCTGCCATACACTCTGTTCTTTAAACAAAATCGTAGTCTACTTTTTGGCTTCTAACATTTAAACATTTGTAAAGTCTGGATTTATAGGAAGTCAAGACTTTTTTTTTGATATTTTGGTCTCTGAAAGTATGCTCTGAAATATATATAGAAACAAACAACAAACTAACAAACTTCATGGTTTTTAGAAATCGAAGTCTACTTTCATTCACCTTTAAAAGTGATTCGGAAGCTCTGAGGAGTTATTGGCATTTTCTGTACTTTTAGATGTAAGATTTTAATTAACCTTTCAATTCGTTAAAACCTCATCATTATATTTTTCCTCTGTGCAGATTCTCGTGGCAAATAAGTCTCAATTTTCAATACTCACAGCCCCCGCACTCGTAGTCTCCACAAAGGGCGGATAGGCGGCTGTTTCACCCTTGGGCCCCGGAGGACCCGGAGGTCCTGGCGGACCGCGAATGCTGTCGCCTTTGGGGCCGCGCTCTCCCTTCTCGCCCTTGATGCCGCGGTACGCTGCAAGGACGGATGTAAAAAAGAGGGGAAATTAAAAAAGTGGCATTGCATTAGCATAACCAGGACCACATTAGCCTGAGTGGAATGGATTCCGCAGGGGGCTGCACTTACGTCTCTCGTGCGTGTACTGCGTCTGTCCCGGGGGCTGCATTCCACTGGCGTCGAAGATGTCCGTCGCCTGCGGAGAGGGAAATCGAAAATTCATTAAGAAGCGAGTGCAAACTGTTGTCGGACCCATCGATTTTCACTTCGACAGCCCCACTTTATAAGTTATAACTAAATATAAATATTTAATTATGCAAAGTGCGGCCACACTGCTGACCAGTGCCAACCAATATCCCCTTTTTATGGCTTTTCAAGAGCACTGTCAATAGCAATAGCCAAACAATGCCAACGCAAACTCAGTTGCACTTGCTAAATGCACTGAGAATTACTTTAGTTAATTGTATTCCGTTTAATCGGTCTGCGGACTAACCTCATCACCCCAAATATCCGTTTCCGTTGAGTCTTCGATGGGATAACTCTTGGGGCCAAAAATATGGAAAGTAGGAAAGGGAAACAAATAAATGATAGGGGAAACAAGGTTAAAACAAATTAAAATTTAGAAATCAACATACCGTTCCAGATCCTTCAAAAAGAAAAGAATCCTCATCCTTTAAAACATAAATAAAAGTATAAATAAATATCCGAAACGTAAGGAAGGTTAAAATTAATTGATTTAATAAATAAGGTTACAAATAAAATTTAAATTAATGTAGATAGTATTTTTCCTAACCATTCAGTTTGTAAATGTTGTTAGTTAATTAGACTGTGTAATGGGATTTGCAAATATCACAGGGGACTCGCTTAGAAATTTCTAGTGCAAAATTGATATTGCAATTGCAGCCCTAAACCAACAAGCTTATCCTCGATAAGCTGTTTAATTCACAAATATAACTTTACTGCGCACGGATTAAAAATACATCATCACATAAGTAGATCCTGATTACATGCTATTTGCAGCATTAGTAGTCTCAATAAATAAACGCAAATCCCATGCAAATATTCTCTCACTTATGCGGACATAATGCAATTTTAATGTAATTTATCAGTAAGATGATTTGCCCGGCTACTCATTAATTAATTTAAATGCAAACCGATGCATTCTGTTGGTTTGATGGGGCTGATGATGACTTACCGCCGTGGTGGGAGCGACCGTTGCCTTTGGGGGCGGCATGCATGTGACATTTATGGCATCGGGATTACCATAGACATTGATTTTTTCTAAATAACCCTGTGTTAAATATTAACATTAGCAATATACGCATAATATAGACTGCGAGTGGAATAATTTTCGAAACGCTTTTCATCGAGGCAGCCGCACAATGGGATGCCCACAGCCCTATACATAATAAATCAATCAATTTTCACATATGTATATATACCTAACCCGTACATCTATAAAGCACAAACTATGTCCAGTCGTAATTGCCGCAAATCGAAATTTATTATTGATGTTAATTTGCAACAGTGACTGCCGCCCGGACAACTAATGTGCCGTGGTTTTGGATTTAGAATTACAATTAAGCATGCATATTTCACATTAGCCCAGAAGGGGCCTGGATAAATAACCACTTGCAAGCAGGCAGTCGAACTGCTAACCGCAGATACTAACTACGGAACACGGAACACGGCATACGGAATACGGAATGGTCCTATGAAGACAATGAACCACAAACAATGCTGCTGTGTCCGGAGTCCTTAGTCCTTAGTCCTGTTTCTGTTCCTGGCTGCAGACACACAGACTCACTTCCCCAGATAGAGGCACACAAATGCTCAATGCACATTTGCCCATAAACCCAGAGCCAGCAATTAAAAATGGCAGCAAACACTCAGACCCAGGACTCCGGTTTCAGGACGCAAAACGCAGGACTCAGGATCCCAGGACTAAGCCACCGTAATAGCAGCCGGTTATTGTAGTTGTTGCTACTGCTCCCTGTGAATGATAGTAATGGCCAAGGAGCTTTTATGCCCCCGCTCAGTTAAAAAAGTTTTGTCTGAGACGCTAACTCGTTGAATTTCGGGTTAAAAGCGTCCTGGCAAGGCTCACAATGGCTTAATATGCGCCAAGTCTGTGGAGGACTTGCTATCTGGCCTGTTGGACCCCGAGTTTATGGGGAAAGAAAAGTAGAAAGTCGACATCGCGATAGCAAAACTGCACAGGTATATCCCCAATGAAAACGTTATTTTTTATGAAAATAATGTCAAACTTTGAGCTTGGTCTTAAAAATAAATAATATTTAGAAACATTGTAAATAGCACATCATCCTTTCATGTGAAATTTTATGTAATGATTTTGTTTATTTTATTTCCTTAAAATAAAAATATGAAACCATATTGATACAATTTTTTAAAAACTTGTATTTTGTTTCTTAGAGGCCAAAAATAATAGTTCTGTATATCTCGAAAATTAATAGTAATTAAAAACGTATATTTTATAAGTCAGAAAAAGCTTTTATTTTCCTTATATTATAATTCACCGATAAGTTTTTTCTGATACATTTTCACCAGTAATGATATCACGCTGATGCATACAACATTTTCTTATAAAATACAATGGTATCTGATTTTAAAATTCCCCTGGCGGAATACCACCAAATCCCGCGCATAAACGCCCCAAAACTTTGGTCGATGACAATGGGAGGGGTTCAGAGAGGATATACAATACAAGGATAAGAGGATCCCCTCGGATAGTGGGCTTTGGGCTGTAACACACACGTGGCCCATCAATAGACATTGAAGTGCGCATTGTTCGCCATGTAGCTTGTTGCTGTTGTGCCATTGAGTGCGGATATTAAAGTTTTCGCTTTGTTTCGGGCATTGCTTTGTTTTGGTTCAAGAAAACTATGCGCTAAACAAATGGCAAGCCGGCGAAAATCACTGGTTGGAGAGGCGAAGCATGAAAGCAATGTCCGTGTTTGTGTCCGGGTCTCTGTCCGTATATCCGTGTCCGTATCTCTGCCCGTAGAGCCATTCTGTCCGTGGTCGTGTCCGTGTGGCCCAGTTTCCCTTGAAGCACGTGCTCTGCGGTTGTATGTGTGTGCAACAAAATTAGCAGCAAGGAAATTCACTTGAAACGGAAATTAAGCCGCAGGAAGTGGCATTTTTGGGCGTGAGTCCACGTCGCCATTTTAGATGTTTTTGCTGCTGCTGGCTTGCTTCTCATTATTACCTGCATTTTGGACTAAGTAAATTGACAGCAGTAAGCACATTGTGCACTTTCCTCTCCTTTGTGTAAACGCATTTCAGGAAAACCGCGACTCCTTTTTTATAAAGAATAATAATTACCGCGACCGTTCTATTACGTGGACATTTGCTTAGCCAAGTATAAGCTTTGACATTCCGAGTTAACCCTTATTTCAATGTAGATCTGCCAAGAAAAAACTATCTGGGCAAAAAGGGCTTAACCTCGACGGCACCAAGAACCCTTTTCGACCGCTCCTTGAGTACGACAGAAATTCAGGGCGATGAACTGATAAGAGGACATCAAAGCCGGTTTCCTCCACAATATTGTGCACGACATCGAGCAGCTGCAAAGGCAACTGTCCAACGAAAAAGAGCAAGTAAACAAGTGAACGGAGAAAAAATATTAAAGTATAACTATTCCCACTTTTAAAATATCATTTAAAGTCTTGCCAAAAAATCAAATTGATAACTTTAGATAACCAAATGAACTAAAGCCTCTTGGGTGTGTTTCCAATTACTTAAAAAAGTGGGGATTTATAAAACCAAAACAAGTTTGAAACAAAAATACAGTACTCGGATAGATATTTCTGCCATTTTAAAAATCTTTTATCCTTTAAATTGGTTTCTCAATAGATCGTTAACTTTTGTCATTAAGGTAAATTGCTGTCTTGGAAAAAGTTTTTTAAAAAATTTGCAGTTAAATTTGTCTGTTGACGTAATAAAACTTAATGTTATCTTTCTCTGGCAGATAACAAACTAGAACCTTGACATGACGTTAGGAAACCTCTTATTAAACCAATAGTTAAATTACTTTTTTTACAAATCCCTTTAGACACTAGTTGGATTTTTAAGTGCTAAGTTCTTTGCGCTGAATGACTAACAAAGGATTTATAGAAATTGAGTTGCCAATAAAATAAGGTAAGTTTTTTTTCCCAGTGCAGTCTAGGATTGTGGGTGCGAACGACAACAGCCGTTGTGACATAGGGTCAAGCGCAGACAAAGGCCGATTTAAATAACGAAAAGCTGGCCGCAGGCAAAAGAAACAATTTCGGTGCCCGGGATCCAGGTGGAATGTGATTTTAAGGTGAGCATTTAGTTTAAATAGTGTCAGGCCATGAGCAGTGGGTTGGGAATCAGTGGGCTGGAAGGCAGGATGGTAGGTGGACGTCTCAGGTCGGTCAAGTGGCGCAGAGAGCGAGCTCCGAGTGCCATGAGCAATTAACTGGGCTGAAAGTGCATGTGCACATGGGCTGCATGTGTGCTTTCGCATTTGTTGTTTGTTCAGTGCCGCACATAATTAAGGCCAGAAACGAACTGAAATGCGAAGGAAGCGGAGCAAGGACACCACATGCAAGGAGCAAGGAGCAGGACGGGGGGATACCAGAAGGTGCGGTGATATTTGCGCAACAGCAAGGCATTCATTGCCTAGCAATGAGTCCTTTTTTTTGCTACTGACGAGGGTTCCATTCTGCGTATTGAAAATAAAGCAAATAATACGCAAATCGTTGACCCTTTTCCATTTGCCATTCGCCAATCGCCATCCGCCGGCTAAACCAGAAAGGTAGACCGGCCTTTGTCCGTGCTACTCAAAAATGCGAGACACGTTTCACTGGCGAGTTGCAGGACAAGAAAAAGGACTCCCAACTTCTGGCCACAGACGTCACCCACTCCCCTCTGCGGCTATCTGGCAATTTGTCAAAAATGTGTCAATAATGGAGATCGATTGGGGGCTCTTAAGAATTAACCGAAAATGGATTCCGATTCCGATTCGGTTCGAATTCGAATGTATTGCCAAGCAATAACTCTCCAATTGTCTCAATCAGAAACTTGTGAAAGGAACTTGTTCAATCGATGTTTATAGAAACTATAAAATGGTATTTGTGTTTATTTACTAAACAAGATTTATTTATTTTGGTCGTGGGCAGGACACATTGCCTGACAAATGTTGGCACTTGTGCATTTTTTTACGATACTATTTAAGGCCATTTTATTTATATTGAACTTTGGTATTCAACTGACTAATACACAGAAACAAAAACGATTTTTTGGCTGGTAAATCCTCTTTTCCCAAATGATATACATTTAAATTCATTTAATAGTTTCCTCCAACTTTAAGAGTGCATGTCAAACTTTTAACGGAGGTCATAACTCAAGGTAGCTTTATGTTGAGCACACCTTACCTGGCCTGAATTATACATAATAAAACTTAAAGCCTAGTTTGAACTGCAAGCGAAAGTCTGGTCCTGACGCCACTTACCTACCAACATTCCTCTTGTTGTAAGAGTTAAATTCTTAATTAAGCACAAATATTTAATAAGTGAAATTTACGGCATGCAGCGGCATCAAAACAAAGGAAAGCTTTAGGCATTAAGATTACCATAAACTTGTTTCCGCTGACGCTGCTCGTGTACGCTATATATTTATGGAACTTATTAAGGGTATAGGGGTATATGGACTGTAAAGAAATTCATTTTTAAAAATAATTCAAAATGTTTTTTTATAATACTAACTAACAGTTTAAGGTTTACATTTCGGTATAGGACCTAAGGAATTCAGGACGAGTTTTTATAAAACTTTACATGATATGAATTCCATAATAAAAATTTCCTATAGCGCTTTACAATTTGTCTTGAAAGTCTTAAGTTTTTATTATTTATAGAATTCAATAGTATTTCCTATTAACAATTGACTGATGTGCAAAGTTAGAATGTTGAGAAATAAAATCATCTTCAAGAGTATTTATACTTTTACTTGGTTGCTGGAAGCATTTTAATTTTTCTCATTTCGCTTTGCCTCTTACATAATGACAATGGCAGCCACCGCCAGAACAACAGCGGAAACGGATGTATATATAATATTTTACGTTGGTGGCTTCTAATTCGCTCGCGTGTGCTGTGTATTTGTGTTCTGAGAACCGCGTCCTGAGAATCCTGCACTCGCACCACCCAAAAAAAGTTATGCTCAAGTTAATAGATAATTAACCATGCAAATTGCCGCGCAACAGTTTACAGATACGGGTATCATCCTCGTCATCATCTCCGTTCCCATCACCATCACCATCCTCATTTTCATTATCATCCTCATCAGATTCAGTGTTATTCGCTGTGTCACCGGCTACATGCGTAAGCACTTCAACTGCGACCCACTACAGAGAACCGAGTTCCGACTACCTACCGACTACCTGGGCCACCTGCCAGGTGTCTCTGCGCGCTCAAGTACAAAAGAATTAACTCTAATTACTTTGTAATGTCGATTAAGCCTGTTAGAGCGCATTAAATATGTAAGCGACGTTTTGACATTTTCAGCATATTTGCCAGCGGCTTTCAAGGGGCAAAAACTATATGAGTTATGCGCATATTTCTGCCACTTGACACCCCCGGCTAACATAATTTCGTCTGGAATTTTTGGCTTCAATTAGCTAACCGCAGAAATGTGCAAACAATTGGATTTCAATTCGTTTCAAGGTATGTATTTTCAATGGCCACACGAAATGGAAATAAGAATACCGAATATGCTGAATTTAAATTCAGCTTTTATGGCCGCCAACGACAGGCGGCCGACAGTCGACAACAAACAAATGCCAATCCAACTCGGAACTCGGAAAAGTCGGAGAACTCGGCTCTCGACCTGGCCAAGTGGCCCGGGTCATAGCATAGTTTCTAAATCACTTTCTGACAGCCGTTTCGGTGCTCAGTAAAAAATAAAAAAATAAAAAATAAAACCCAAAAAGGAAAACACCGGAGCAACGAGGATAACAATCGCAACGTCAAAAAGTTGCGCACTTTTTGTAATTTTATTTTATTTCCGTTTAAATGCGTGCTCCGCCCCTTCGTTGCCACTTTTCACTTTTCGGATGAGCTGGGCTGGGGCTTGGTGCGATTTTAAAGCTAAATTATAGCAACATAAATTTTTACGACCCTTTTTGAAGAGTCGGGCTTCTTGGCAAACACAAATAAGGCAGTGCCCAGGTGCAGGACTTAATTTTCTTCATTCTACACTTGACTCCAGAGCTCCTTTTTTTGACACTCGGCGGCCGTTTCAAATTTTATTTGATGCCCATTTTAAAATTTTGTTTGGGCTCTTCTTGTTTTGCATATAATCAGAATAAATTACTTTGCACATTTTGCGGCACATAAATTATTTAAGCAACAGTCGCATCAAAGCGCAGAGAGCATATAATAAAGGACTTCTATATGGATTCTCAGCTACATACGTATGTTCAGCTGAGTTTAAAAAAAAACCTTACAAATACCATTTATTAAATAGGGAAAATCATATAACACAAAAAATGATTAAGCTTTTATATTTGTATTTAAGTGAACCCAAAATATATTTCTTAGAAGAATTACCCAGAAGTTCCCTTACTAAAGCCTGATTTTAATCTAGAACTTCAATAATTCCTTATTTTGCAAAACGGAACTGATTCTATCTATTATAGTGACCTGCTTATGCATTTTTTCAAGAACACTTGGGTTTTTTTTAAATATTTCTTATATAACATTATTTTGAATGTGCATATCTTCCAGTGTCCGTGTGCAGCAAGCAGAAGTGACTATCTAAATAGTGGCAGAGAAACAGAAATGGAAACACAAACTGAATCTAAAGAGGAGAAGGGGAAGGAAATGGGAAGGGAATGGGAAGGGGAAGTGGAAGTGGAAATGGAACTGGAAAAGCTGGGTAGCAAGGGGATCTGGGACCCAGTCGGGGGACCGAAAAACAATGAGACGGCAAATGCCAACCGCATAGTGACAGATTTTTTTTAATTTTGCTAAAAACCTACGACTAATTCTCAAACGAGCTGACACAAATCTCGAAAAGTTTTTGCGCCAACGTTTTTAGCAGAAGCGTCTGTCTGCCGGTCCTTCAGTCACTTTGTCCTTCTGGCTCCCCGACTGTCACAGTGCCTATCTCACTGCCTGTTTATCCTGGGGAGTATGAGATACATCTACAAATATACACAAGTAGATACATACACACATGTGCCAAGTGCAGCAGAAAAACATAGCCGAGAAGCTTTTGGGCTTTCAGTATATGCAAAATGAATTTTATACTAAATTGCTTCAGTTAAAAAAAGAATCTATTTTGTCATCAACAAATTAGTACACCTAATCTTGTGAAACCCCAATGTACATAGGTATTTTTTTACAAGATTATATCATTTTTTCTTACACAGATATTATCACATAAAGTTTTTACGAGTACAACCATACAAAAAAAGATTTTACGGTATTTTTCCTAATAAATTTATGAGAATATTTTTCGTTTTTGTTTATTTAGATTTATGTGTCACTTTTCTGCCCAATGAATTTATTACGATATTTGCACCTCAATATTTGTGTTTTTCTGGCTCCAAGGTAGAATACAAAAGGGTAAAGGTCACAGTTGCATTTTATTGTTGGTCAAAAGTGCCTGCTACAATTAGTTTGAAACAAGAAAAGGCTCACAGAACCACAACAAAAAATGTACCATGTGTATATTTAAGATTTGTCAGTGGCTATGTGCCTAGTATGTGTTTTTGTTTGTTGATTTAGACAGTTTTATAAACCCAAAGCAAACGGACTGTCACAACGTTGCGTATACGCAGCTTAAACCGTTCTCTTGAAGCAGCTGCAGCTACAGCAAAATATTTCTAAGCGGATGTGCAAAACAAAAGTTTCGAATGAAGGAAGGATGGGAAAATTCTGGGTCACAGGTTTTCCGAAAAGTACTTCAAGTCCAAGCTTCGAACATACGTATTTGTATGTTCAGCTCGCTAAACACAATTTTCAGTTTACTTAATTTCGATATGCAGTCCCCTAAAGTCCTAAATAAACTACTTAAGGAAGCTCCCAAAAATACAAAAGGCAGCAAAGAAATCGCGGAGTTACGAGAACTAATCATCGAGCTGATGAAGCCAAGACTTGGAAAATTACGCCAGATCCTAAAGATTCGCATGGTGCCTGCAACCCGAGATGAGTTTCAGGATGAATCCGAGGACTGGTGGCCAGACTATGAGCTATGCTCGGACTGGCATGCCATTACTGATATAAACGTAAGTTGTGAAAGTAAAATTTGTATCAAATATAATATTATAAAATTTATAAAGGGTCTTCTAGTCTGCACCCAGGATGCCCTTAAAGGAATGCCTGATGATCTAAAATTCATTGGTGAAAAGTTCGACTTTGCCTATTCGGTTGCAAAGCCCGAAACTATTCAAAACAAGACGAAAAACTACATTTTAGTGGACGAACTTATAGAGGACATGGAGGACTTTGTAACCAACTTCAGTCGCCTTTGCACCAAGAATCTCGACGAGCGAAGGAACCTCTACGATCTGGCTTCGTTTACAATGGACACTGCTGACAGGATCAAGGTGAAGATTTTTGACGAGCGCATTTTTGTGCAACTGCAGTCACGAATTGCTAATCTAAGGAACTATATTCGAGATTTCTGTACCCTTTTCGACGCCCAAGTGGAGTCGAAGGAGGAGGCTGAATCGGTTCCCACCGATAAGTTGGAAAAACCCCAGGGAACGCTTGCAACGGAAGACGTTGATAAGGCCCGGACCTAAGCCAGATCGATCAGGAAGTCATTTTTTCCCTTATTCCCAAGGCATGGCTTCCAACGTTTCCATTGTACCAATGGCCACACTAGCAGATACAGATACATGACTCCTCCATGGGCGGTAATAAAGAGTTCGCCTCTAGTGTATTGGAGTATCTGGGAAAGCTTTTTATGCTTCAAAGTCAATATAGTAGTGTGCCATGTACAGAGCGCACAGTTTTAAAACGGTAAGTATGCCTTTCAGTTCCGTGGTCGTGTGTGGTGACACACTTGCCCCTTCCCCCAGCCCCCAGCCACCACCCACAATCCACCTAACCGCCCTGCAACCCTGCAACCCTCTAGCCACCCACCAACGGCCCCTTGTCAATGGGCTGTTAGTTGCTCCGAGCACAGACGCCATTCAAGCGGAAATGCAGAACCGAAAGCCGGCTACGAGCTACACGGAGAAAAATACTAGCTTAAGTTATGACTTATATATCAGACTGCTTATTTATGTTCAGCAGTGGGACTATATTAAGGACTACAAGGCTGTATAATATTTTAATTACCCTGTTCATATATAAATCGAACTTAATTTCATTAGCTTAGTATTAATAATTTTGTCATATGATATGATATGATAAATGTTGATTATAAATAATTATATGGTGTGACACAGAAATTGCTAAATGGGGGTCAGGTTCTTATGTGCACCAATTTAAGTGAAATTATTTCTATGGAACCCCTGATATTAAATTCAGAACTATGATAGATGTCTGTGCACTTATCCAGTTGTAATTTATTAAAATTATTATGCAATACGTACTATTTGCTGTTTAGATATCAGAGTTATCGAATAGAGACTTGCTTAGAATCGTTGAGCCTAAGCTATTATTCAGTTTTAAGAGAATTGCTTCTACACTTTTTTACATTATTTTTCAAGGATTGGCTTAATATACGGCCTTCTTTCAAAGACTTGTTTTGTTAACTTTTAGCTTTCTGAAAAGTTTTTACCAAAATCTAAAGATGTGTTTCTTCGTTTTTTTCTGTGGGCTCTGTGAACGGGCACACGGCAACGAAAAAGAGCCAGAACCAGAGAGCCAGAGGCAGAAACCTCCATGTGAAGTGTGTCATCAGTTTAAGGTTTTTGTGGGCAGCACTCACACACCGACGGCAATCCACTCACACAAGCACACCCACACAGTCTCCGATACTGAATACGGATAGGGAGCTCCACTCACGAGACCGAGCAGCCCGTATTTTCATAATAAACAAATGGGTTGTACGGTTGGTTGGCTTAACTTTCGGGCTGCCAGCAAGTCGCAGATAGCAGATGGCAGATAGCGACGGCCACCGCTCCTTATTTGTTAGCGCAAATCAGTGCTATTTATATTGCGGCGGTGGAAAGGTATATCCTGGCATATCTGCCGCCCTATCCGAACCCCGATCCTGATCTCCCAGGGGCATCGCAGTGCGTGGCGCTTGTCAACACGCTTACCAACTGCAGTTTTTGTTGCGAGAGCGAGGGCTGCATCCAATTTACTGAGCAGCGGGAAAAGTGCCGCACACTCAAATGCAGATGCAACTGCACTCAGAGAAAAAAACAACCTGTAAGCTAACTATTTGCATTACTTATTTTAAGGGTAGCATTGGTCCTATGTTCAAAGAGTGTCCTTTCTCTGGAGCTGTATTTCCAAATACTGTACTATACTATAAACATTTGGTGAACTACCAATTAAACTAAAAAATAACATGGAACTGTTATAATAGAAACTATAAATTAGAAATAACAAAAAATTGTTTAAAATACAACTTGGTATTAATTCAGTTGGAAAACTTGTATGAATTTTAAATAAATATAAAGAAAAAATTATAAAAACCAAAAACATGAAACACATTTTTAATAATCTTCTAAAAAAGAAAGTTTCATTCAAGTATTCCCACTTTTAAAGACAATTTGAATAGTGTCATATTCTTAGTTTTTGTTGGATAGCTTTATAAATATAGAAAAAAACACTTTTGTTAAGAAAATGTCGATAGACATTTTTCAAGAACTTATGCAATTCGATCGATATTTGCCTTTAAAGCAAGATAATTTAACATTTTTAAAATGAAAGGCAATTATTTTAGAAATTTAAAACTTATCAGTATCTGCGAGATGGAATCTAAAGGGAGCAACTTCAGCTGCAGGTTGTCAATGCAACAAGTTCAAGAAGGCCAAACTTGGATGTGCCTATCGCAGCGTCAAAACCGCAAGAGTCGGGCAAAAGTTGCGCTATCTATGCCATCAAAATTGAACTACCACCGTGCTCGAACTTCTGGCGCAGCACAATAATAAATTTATTACGGACGGTTGGCGGGGCGTGTCGACGTCATTATCGAGTTGCAAGTTTTCCGAGCTTCAAGTTCCAGGTCTTCTACGACTCCTTGGGTGCGTGCAACTCCCATCCATTCGCCGGCTAACCCGTAGTTATAGTGGCATGCTGCGCTTTAATAAAATATTATCATAAACGTAACGGAAGCTAGTTTTTCATATGCTTATTCCCAGCCCGTGGATGGAGCTTTCACAAATATCCGTTTTTTTACTCCGGCAGTGTTTCTCCTTTTGCAGGATAGCAAGGGGAGTAATATGTTTTCATAAATCAAATGTACAGAGCGTTGCTCAATATTTAATGTTTTGCCTTTCGGAATTTATACACATCAGAGGAATGTGGGGATTAGATTTGAAAATTCCTGAAGTAAAGTAAAGTCACAGCACGACACTCATGAATACTAAAAAAACTGTTTCTCAAGGAAATGCTAAGAGCTCGAGACTTTACTTCGTTAGAAACAATTTTGTATGAACTGGTATTTAGTTTTTCATGAATCAGAGAAAGGAATTTAATTTAAAAATAAATATAAGGAGTATAGTTTTATCTGATAGTAAACACGGCTTCGTTTCCTGAAATTCTTCATTTTGTTTCTGTGTTAGCCGGAAACTTTCCTTCTGCTTCTGAGGCACTCGGATATTTTCATTATTTATTGCCAGCCACGAATGCACATTCACGTGTGTGTTTGTCTAGGTAAATCTAGGGGAATGCTTTTCCGGTAGTTTTTTATGGCTCAATCGAGACGGGGTCAGTGGGTGTGGGTTAATGGTTGGCTACTTTGTTTCCATTCCGCAGAAATGTCGATAGTTATGGGTTTCTTTCATTCCAAATTAGAGTGAATACGGGTGTGAATGCCCTTTTTTATGCCCTTAAGGTATACCACATAATATACATGCGTTATTAATTGGAATTGCGTAGTAAAAAAAATCGAAAAGGCAAAAAATGTAACACAATGCCTGACAGCCCATAAATGTCCAACGACTTTCGACGAGGAGTCGAATCGCTAAATGCATTAACTATAATTGGCTTTCGCCTAATTTCGCTTTTGGGTAATTAGGCACTAATGAAACCTAATAGACCCTGCCTCGAAAGCCACATATCTAAGCCCTAGGAGTTCCTGGAATCAGTCAATAAGCCAACTGCCGCTGGCGGTGGATAACCACCTCGTGTTAGGCAAGGACAAATTGCCTGTCAATCTACGTGTAATTTTTATAAATTTCCAATTGTGCGGCAGCCTTTTTTTGTTCCTTTCCTTTAGTTCCTTACCAATTTTCCCCGCTTTTTCCTTATTTTCATTGAAGGTCGTAATTAACAGCGCCAAGAAAACTAGGAAAATAGCGACAACAGCCACGGCGAGCTTGTGTAATGTAAGCCACTGCTAATGAACCCATCGCCTGTTGGTAGTTGATGGGGGGGGGGGTTATTTTGTGGGAGGTAGTGGGTGGTGGGAGGTAGGAGGTGGTGGGAGGTGCCAGGTGAGACAGCCGATGCAGAAATGGCTTTATTAACAGCCTGACTTCACCTCACCGCTCACGCTCCCATTTTTAGATTTTTATTGCCAAACTTTGTTTCTTTGGTTGTTGAGCATGTTTTTCTTTTCGCGTTCATTCATTATTTGGTAATGCACTGAGAAAAATTGTCAAAGATAAGTCATATCATGTTCTAGTGGTATAATAATATAAGAAATAACTATGCTTTACTAACAACAAATTTTTATTGTGTTTGACATTAAAAAACAACAAAATAAATCTAAAAATCTCACAATGACGTAAAAATTAAAAATAGATTTTTGTTGTTAAAAAAACCAAGTGTTTTTTGACTTTTATAAAAAAGTAAAAACCGACCTATAATTTCTATTCATCAAAGTATAACTTTCATTTTCGTATCGAAAAAAAATCTTAAATAACGATTCAAAAGTTATAAGTTTTTTGGGATCCGTAATCAATATTTTTTCGAATCTTTGCAATAAAGCTTTTTTGCTAAAAATGTTTTGAAAGATACCAAAACGAAATCGATATGTATTTTCCCCCTATCATTTCAAACCACCTTTTTTTGTGTAGGTAGCTAGAAATAAATGGAAAAATAGAGCCAGTAACTATGTTTTTGTATCGAAGGCAACCCGTTAACGCTTGTCGACATTCACTTCGCCCATTCTCATGCGACACTTTGAATGTTTTAAATGGTTTTTTATTGCCTCGCCCCTCGCCATTTCCTCGCTTTCCGCGAATTCTACTCCTGTAACCTTGTTTTCGCCCTCGTCCTGCTTCGCTCCTGCATAAAATTAGTTTAATCACTGTTTTCAGAGTCGAAAAGGGGGTTTTCCGGGGACAAAAAAGGCAGGTGAGTGCGAGCCAAACCCATAAGTAAGCGTAAATAATGTCAAAGCAGTGCAACTATGGGGAAGGACATGGCCCAGCCCCGCCCACCCATCACCGCCCCCTGCCCCCAGTGACTCGCCATCTAGCGGGTGTCAATAGAAACATTAACTGGGCGTGCTGACGAAATTAGCACAACAATTATGCAGGTATTAGTCGAAGTTTGGTCGTATTGTGGGTCTGTATTGGTTGCTCCTTTGGGAAGGACCTTTCGAGGGGGAAACAATGGTGGAGAACCTTTGACAGGAAAGAAGTGGCTCTACCAACAAGGGAACATGCCTCCTTTCCCCTTTCTGGTTGCCTTTTAAAAGGTACATTATTTGTTTCAATTATGAATAAACTGGTACAACACTGTTGGGAAATAAGCAGTTAAATCTATATTAATGTTTTGTTCATTTATAAAAGTTACGCACACATATATTAGGCTCAAATATCACTTTATTTTCTGTATATCATTATCAAATTTCTATGCTTATTTTTTATTTTAGACAGAATTTAATCAACCAAGCAACCAATAGCCTGCCTACTTTGCAATTCCAAGAAATTGCTAAATACATCAAACAGAGTAAACTTAATTAAATTTAAGTGTGTTTTCGCATACTCTAATAATTGCAAATGCAATGCTATTTTCTAAACACTAACAAATTATTTTCTCTTTGGTTGTCACTGGTTTATTATATTGTGTGAAACTATTTTGTGGTAAACCAGTTAGGCCAGTTTCATCAATTTAATTTTATGAAATACCAAGAATAACACACTTTACCGGCCACAGAGGTTAAATGATGGAATGTGAAATACACTTGCAATTCTTATAGGAATAACATTTTAAGAAAACAAACAAAGCCCATTAAGGGACAATGTAAAAAACACTTTGATGGACTATCATTTAGCATTTTAAACCGCAACCAAGCCATTCACGAAATGGATTCCGCACACCAGTTGCAAAAAATAAACCCCCATTGCGTATACGCCATGCGGACAATAACAAAACTCGGTAACTTAAATCCCAACGCAGCTCGTTATTCAGGACACAAGAAGTACTGGACAGGTGAGCGGACCCGTGTCAGGTTTATCAATTTATCTTGTGACCGAGCGTCGGCAACAAAATGCTTATAATGTGCTCTAATAATTGCAATGGCTTTTTATTTGTACGCCCCGTAACAACAATAGTGTGTAGTCTTTCACCTGGGGGAGAAAGTGGTTACGGGAGGCAGGTGTGTGCCCGGCCAGAGCAAAATGTGCTCTTGTCATGAAACATTTGTCACAATAAACTTTATTTGTTTTCGTGTACTGCATGTGTACGTGCACAGAAAACAATGGCAGGGTAGTAATTAAAAGTTTTCGTTTTTCAACTCGAATTCAGTTCTTGTGAAATAACTTCACTTAAATTGTATCATATTTTTGCATTTGTTTAAATTAATAATTGAAAGCTTTTTATATGGAAACAATTAAAATAATTTCAAAATAAAAGTTCTTTCATTTAAACCTTTTTTAGTCCTTGTTGATTTAATTTTTGTTGGTACTCATCATTATAAACCAGATAATTCTTATAGTTGGTTACATTTAAGTTGCCTACTTATTTTAAAGGCCTTATGACACTTGCTTGATATTAAAGGAACTAACGGAATTTCTTTTAAAAAGTTATGGCAACCAAAACTTGATTTGATATATAACGTCATGTAGACCGCTTTTTCTTAGGTTTCCATGACATACTAAAATAAATTCAGTAAGTAGGTGTCATAAGGCCTTAAGATGCAACAAATATTGTTTTCAGCTCTTGCACTCTATGTATTTCATAGGTAAAAAACCAATAGGATCTTTTTATTTCCTTTAAAATATAATATCATCCTTTACTTCCCGTGTATATCCTCGCATGCTTTATTTGCTCTCAGCTCGCTGTGACTGCGACGATGTTTGCCAGTGTGTGTTTAAAAGTTTCCTAACTTGTTGTGGGTGCTGGCTGTTAGTTCTCGGTATGTTTGCTGTGTGCGTGTTGGAAGCGTATAACCCGCGCTATATAGCCAAAACCCACTCCCCCAAACCCATTTCCCCCTTCTCGGAACCCACGACAGACCCTCCTCCTGGTCAGTACTGGAGAAATCCCAGTCCAGGAGCTCACAGCGGTAACATTTGTTTGCATTTAAAGGGGCAGGATGTCAAGCATTTACCATTTACCATTTAGCATTATACATTACACAATTCGTAATGTTTACATAGATGCTTGGCGAGCCTCGTTAAGTGGTCGCAAAACAAAACAAAAAAAGGCAAACTGTGCGCCAGACACGTGTTGATTATGAGTATAATTAATTGGCTAGTTCTTTTTAATTAGACTGAAATGCCATTGGGTTTGAACGCAACCCGAAAACTTGTTGCGGTGAAGGGTTATGGTTATACGGGTTTTGGTTAGTTAGTTACCTGAATCCTAGCTGCCACCCGTTCGCCGTTGTAGCGGTTGGGATTGAACCATCCCTTTGTGGAGCCCGTCACGAGGACGATGCCGAGCAGGAAGAAAAGAATCAGCGCGGTAATCACGAGCTTGGCACGCGTCGATATAACCATTGCCATTTTGTTCGATATTTACACGTCCCGATGCGACACCGATTCGATATACAACACTTAAAGCACTACCACGAAATCAACAATGCAAACGAATCGAACAACGGAACAACCGGCGACGAATAGAATTGCCTGAAAGAAAATGCATAAATTGGAATATTAATTAGCTGGGGGTGGGTATATTGCTTTGGCACCGCCACACACACAAATGGTTTGGTTTCCGCCACTGGTTCGATTTTGGTTCAATTTCGTTGTTCGAGGACAGTGATGGGGAGCTTGGAGTGGTAATATTACTTTTTTTGAAACCAACTTTTTGTACTATCTTCTAACATTTTTTCCCTTCTCTATATGCCTCTATAAACTATTCCCGAATTTCGGTTTTTGATTTTACATTTTTAAATCAAACCGTTTTTGCTGTGGACCTGACCCCCCAAAAAAATGTGCGCTTTATTTTATATTTTTTTTAATAAAATTGAGCTTAGAAAAAATCACCGAATGCAAGTACCCTTGTTATATAAAACTAGCTATTTGCCATCTCTGGTTATTGAGATGTTGGCCAGTGTATTTGACCCGCTTGGACTTTGGCTTAGGGATATTGCTGGCTCTGATGCTGCTGCCTAATGGCTTTTGTGGCCAAGTCTTAACCTTGAGAACTCCCCCCAAACATCCGAGATGTTTTCTTTGGTTCGTGGGAGGCAAGAAGGTGCTTTCCCAGCCACAAAGCGTTTTTGTACACATGCCACAAGCACTGGCACATGTATTGCAGGAAACTCACAGCCAAACGCCCCTTAACAGGCACTCCACCAAGGACCTCCGACTGCCGACCCCCGACCCTCACGCTCACTTCCTGTAAACGCTACAAATGTAATACGTTTTATTTAATTCTGCTTCCCGTATTTTTTTTCCTCCCACCCGTCGCCTGTCAGCATTTTCTCACTGATTTGCGGCGCCAAGGGTGGCGGCTGAAAAATATTTCTGAAGGCGAGGAAAGGCCATGGTGACACCCTCTAAAAAATAATATTTGTGGGAGTTTCCACAGTAAATGTAAACAAGAAAATAGTAATCAAAATACATGAAATAAGGCCACTTTGATTTTTGGTAGAAAATAATAATGTATTGTTTGTCAACAGGCTTGATTTGTGTTATTTGTTTTCGGCACACCCAATTTATCCTCAGATTGTAAACCCTAAAGCCCGAAAAGTCATAGGTAGCACTTGAAGTAAACTTTGCGAAAAGTTAAGCTGCCAACAAGTTTATTTGAAAAAATATTGAATTATAGCACCGTCAAAGGCAAGGAATGAAGGCAGCTTTGAAAATTGGTCACATGTTGGCAAGATGTCTGGCTAAGAGTTTTCCTCTTTATTCGGTTTTTTGGCAACCGCATAAGGGCATAAGCCGAATTTTTTGCAGCGGGTTATGAGGGCGTCCTTGAGCCAGTGCACCCCCGAAAAACTGAAAGTAAAATGAAAATAAAATAAAAAGCGAGCAGTAACTTTGCCAACCTACATAATTGCGGCAAAAGTTGGGCCAACACACACACACATACACAGAGAAGATACACAGATACACCCACACAACAGCAACTTAATACGGGGCTAAGAGTTGGCTCACAAAAGTATGCTACAGCCAGCGCATAATTACGATAATCGTGTCAGTCTAGAGCCACCAGCAGCGTCCATGGGCTCACCTTAAGTCTTTAACACTCGGCCACGCCCCCTCCTCCAGCCCACGTCTGACACGCCCAGCTGCCGCCCATTTTATCGCCCCCTTTTTTTCGGGGGTAAAGCCAACCAGTTATTGAGTCAACGAGTCGGCGTTACACAAAACTTTTGTGCTCGCCCAAAAAGTGGAAGCCCAAAAGGAAACTTTTTTATGCCAAGTCAAGCGACTGGCCCACACCTCTGGTTATATGAAGGATAGGAACGGATCCACCTCGTCCCCCTTTTGAACCTGGTATTCTTCACGCAGCATTAAAATTCTACGACTGCAGGCCCATGAGCCGAGTTTAAGCTTAAAGTTTCACGCGGTTCAAGTTTTCTAATGAAATTACCTTATCCTTGGTTCTTCAACTTACTTTTGAAAAAAAAAGGGGCAAGCTGGCGCTTCTGTCTCACAAAAAACACAGGGGCGATAAGGAGGAAATTGCATATCTCTTACCAAATTAAGTACACGCAAAAATGAGTAACGACTTTTGAAGTTGTCATGGTAGCCAAAACCACCAGAAAGTTAAGTTCAGCAAAGGGGATAAAAAAAAGAAAGTTGCAAAGGCCAATAGTTGGGCGAAACCTTTTTCGGACATTAGCGCCTAATGAAGATAATGGGCGACATATTTAAAAAGGGTTCTTCCTCTCCAAGGCCAAAATCTGAAAGCCTTTGTGCACAGTCATCTCATAGAGGTTTTTTGGGTTTCCTTTGACATGTAATTTTTAATAAGCACCGTTTTCCGCACAAATTTCCCTTTTTTAGTTTGAGGCCTGTCTTTGTCTGCAGTTTATCTGTGACAAGGTCGGGAATGTAAAGAAAAGAAAGTAATGGAGTGGGGCATGTGTCACACATGTATCCTTAATACGAGGGCGGAACAAAACAAACCGTCAGTGCAAGAAATGTCTAATGTCTAACCTCAGGCTTCTGTGACTTTTGTGAGCGTTTGATCGATAAGCAGAACCGGCCTGACAGCTCCTCCTGCCAGCCCTATAAAACCCAAGATATCCCCATCATATATGGGTTCCCCAGTTGGGAACCGAAACGCGTGCCCCCAATGATTAAAACGCGCTCATGAAGACTATGTCTTTGCTTCTGTTTAATTAATAACAACCCAAATAATCGAGCAGGAACATGGGGCGGTTCTAGCAGCTCGTATAATTAAAGTCAAAAATTTGCATAATTTATGTTTATTGGTGACGCCCCATTGGTTGGGCCGAAAATCCATTGCCCTTCACCCCGGGGTAGCTATAAACTTACAAAATAATCATAGTTTCTCAGTACCCCTGTGTCATCGAAAACATTTCCATTCGGTTTGCATCTTTGTAAGGGTTTTATGGGGTAACCAGAAATCAACAGTCCCACCAGATTCATAAAATGGGCACCGAATATGTATGACTTTAACGACCTGCAGCTATAGACGTAATAAAAAACCCATTTATGGGTAAAAGCACAAAAGGTATGGACATGTGCTCGTGCCTTGGGGTAAAAATACTCATGGCCGTTCGTCAAGCTCAAATAAATTCGGTAAATGAGTATTGAAAAGCAGATCCGTCGGTAGATAATGGCCGAGGAATCAAAGCAACTGCCCTTGCCATCAAATATTTATTACACATTTCCAAGTGAAATATGTCACTTTGTCAAAGTAAGGAAAATCAAAGTTATTATTAGAAAAATAAGTCATACTTTAGAGCTCCGAGATGAGGAAATTTAACAATTGGGACAAACAATCAATGCTTTTAAAAAGTTAATACTCCTTCAAAAAATATAATTTCTTACATTTTATAAATCATATTCAATAATATAAATTAAAAATCTTCCATCTTTTAGTTTAGTCAGCTGAATTTTTAAAAATTCAACATCTTAAATGGCACTTCATCAAGCAAGAAAATAAACAAACATATTCCCAGAGAAAAACAAACAACGAATAATTTTTTAAGCCAAAGTGCATTGTCTGTTTTTCGACGTTTAGCATATTGGCCAACTAACAAAACAATATTCGATTTCATATGAGTGCAGAATGGCCAGGACCCGAGTGTTTGGTGGAAAACTAATTTTCAGAACAATTGAGTGGCAGTGGGAGAGTGTGATATGACCACATATGTGAATAAACATTTCAAATTGAATTTTGAAATTGTGTCGGCATAATGGGTTCTAATATTGCATTATGCTGATAAATTGTTAAATTTACAAATCAAAATTACATATTACTGAAAGTGAGTGGCTGAGTGATGATGCATCAAGTCAACATGGCACAACAACTGTGATATTTAAATGCATATTACCAGCAAAAACATACAGACAGCCAGGGTACATGAATATTTATGATCACTTAGGCCTTAGGAACTGGCGAACAAAGTTTGTTTTGTAATTGAAATTGTGCCTGGGCCTCTTGTGTAATTAAATGCAGGCGAAATGGCCAAGGACTTTAAAGTTTGAGCCACAGAGATACTCTTCAGTTGGTCCATTTTGGTCTAGTGCATTCTTTTGTGCAGGGTTAACTTTCGCTCTCTTTATGCGAAAAAACCTTTTGTTTGATCCACCCGATGCCCATTAAAATCCTGGGCCTCGACTGCCTGCGTTTTTATTTAATAAATAAAACGTATTTTCCTTTGCCTTTCGGCCATATGCGAAGAAATGGTGGAAAACTCACAGGGCAAAGACAAAAGACGGGCGGGCAGCCCACAATATTATAAATGTATACATGTACATATTACGCATACGCCCAGTGCTGCTTTAATATGCATATGCAGGAGGGGGAGGTGGGTGGAAAAAGCCGGAAAAGTGGGAGAGCTGGAAAAACTGGGAAACAGGGAAATAGGAGTTGGGATGCATAGGCAGTTGGTTAGTGACGCGTTGGGGCAAAAACTGTTTTCGCTGGCGCTTTAATGAGTTTGCCATTGATTTAGGCTTGCCAACGCAAAGGCAGACAGCCAATCCATTTCCCGATATCCTGGCAGGACTATGGGTTTTTTGGAACCCACAGCCTAGCTCGTCATAATTTATGCGCGAACCATGTTCAATTTGATGGGCGACATTCCAAACCATTTGTGTGTGAGCCCTTATTTCTGGCCATCTGGCCATATTTACCTTTAGGCCCAACGCACTGTGACCAACTATTCACTATTCACTTTAAATTATTGGATACGTTTAACAAGGGGATTTTGGTTTAACCACGGCAGCGTGCAAAATATTTAATATGTTGACAAAAATCACAGATAATTTAATTGCAAATGCTTTGCTTTATTTATAGGTATGAGTTTTGCTTTAAAATTTATTGTGATTGTGAATTATGTATGTTACTTTTTCAGGCCCATTTGTAATTACAAATGACAGCCGTGTTATGGGTGTGTTTATTTATTGCAATTAATTTTTATTTTTTGAATTGTTAAATTGCTGTTCGCAATGTTTCTTGGCTTTGAAGTCGTGCTGTGCAATTAATTCACTTTTTCACACCACATGCACTCTGCCAATTGTGCAATTGATTGATTTCCATTCGAACAAGCTCGTCGAGTGGAGTTGGGTTTTTTTTCTTTGGTGGGGGTTTTGGACAGTGTTTTAGTTTCGCTTTTCCGCTTTTCCACGCTTTTTCTCGCTTTTCTTGAACTTTTACAACCGGCGACGACGACGACGATGACGACAACGACGAGAACGATATAACAATTGCAACAAAGATAACAAGGGTAAAAGTAATTGCAGTTTTGATATCCTGGCAGTCGATAAGTCCGGCACAGGGATTTCCGTTTCTGTTTCTACACGATATGTTGCGCTTCACTCTTGTGATATGATCGATTGCTAAGGGATTATGCTGGGGGAACACACTTTTATGGCAGTTTAAACTTCCGTTTCAGTCAGGAGTTGTTCAGCGGTCGAATTTTCAAACGCTTGCGCGGCCTCTCCTTCATCTTTGGTCGCATAATTGAATTTTAATTGACTCGATTCCGGGCTGGTCGGTTCACTTATTCGAGCATATTTCATTTGGCCAAATAAATCACTTTCTACTTTTTGCGGCTAAGCCAGCCCAGTTGTTTTCGGGGCTATGATAGCCACACCAGGAGCAGCAGTAGTAGTAGTAGTAGTAATACCAGCTGCCACCGCACCACACACGAGGTCCGAAAGGCAGGACGAAGATGCAGACACAGACGAAGACGAGGATGACGAGGACGTGGACGTGGACGAGGACGAGGACGAGTACCGAGTACCGCACGGCTGTAATGAGTAGCTCATCTTAGACCCGGCCGCGTGGCCATCTGAACTGCTGGGAAACGCGAACGCAACTGAAAAGGTAAACGCACTCGCAGCCCAAGGAGGCCCATCAAATCACAGCAATCTGTTCGGGCCACAGACAACACAGTGGCCTCGTGCCATCCGCTCGTTAGCTGAATCCCCACGAGCGCTGAATTGCATTTGCGAAGAGAGAACCGAGTGGTTTTGCCGGCCCACGGGGGGTATACGCAATGTGGCGAATGAGTGCGACTCAAGCCCACATGGCGTATGCTCGATGGAGAAGTGCTCTGAAGTTAAGAACTCAACTCTTGAGTGGATTTTACTGAGTTAGAACTACCGGGGGTTGTTTTGAGTGCCCTGAGTGGCTGCCAACTTCTTCCGCCAGATGGCCAAGTGGCGCCACTCAAGGGTGGCTCAAGAGTTAGGTGGTGAAAAGCTTTCAGCGCTTGCTGAATCAAATTACACAGCAAGAAAAAGTTATCTATATATATTTTAGAGATTTTACTCAACAGATACGTTCTATTGGCATTTATTTAGAACTTCAAATCTCCAAACCTGTATCTTTTTCGTGACAGATGTTGGTTTGACTTAGGAAATTCGATTGTATAATTCTTAAAAATTAAACTCCAACGACCTTAATTGATAATAGTAGTTATGTTAAAGTCTCTGAGATTTTAATTAATCATGAGTTTCAATAAACCACTTACTTAATTTAATTTCTTTACGTTTTTTTAAGCAATATAATGTTTAAAGATATTAACTAGAATTAAAAATGATGTAAACCACAGTGATATTATCGATTTATGACACCTAAATAGACAACAGCAAATGGAAAATTTAATTTAATCCAGAATGCCATTACAGACTTAAGACACCTTAATTAACAACAGCAAACGGAAAAATATAGCAATACCGACAATTAGGTCATGTTGCGTTACACAAAACATGAATTTTCCATAAAAAATCAGTACAATTCGGACCGCAATTAAAAACCACTTAAGTAAGATTTTAAAGCATTACCCCTTTGGTAATAAAATGCCACTTCAATTGAATATTGGGCAAGCGCTTGCGTTTCGAAAATTATTCCCCTGCAATGGATACTAGATCAAAGGTAATCAAACTGGGCGCCGCCAGAACTTACCTCGAACTTGCCGCCAATAATAGAGCCCGCCTGTCCGATATACAGGGTGGAGGCGGAGTCGAAGACCAACTCGAGGGGCTCCCTGGTGACCAGGCTGGTGTTGCGCAGCTCGCAGTCGTAGTAGAAGGACACCCGGTCGGTGAGCACCTGGAGGGCAATCGAGTTCCACTTGTCCGGCACATGAGCCACGCCGAAGCTGGCCAACTTGCGGCCGATGCTCTGGTCCGCCTGCGTGTAGACCAGCGACACATTGTAGCTGTTCTTCACGACGGGCGACAGATGGACGCCCAGCTGAACGACCGTGTCCAGGGGATTCACCACGCTGAACAGGTAGCCGCCCTTCAGCGAGCTCTGCCGGAAAGTGATGAGGATGGCGAACTCGTAGAGTTTCTCGGGCAGGAGCATGCGGTACGGCGACTTCACGTCCGCCGTCTGCAGGAACCGGAAGGCGGGGAAGCCGTCCTCCGCCTCCCCGAACTCGATGCCCGCAAATTGGTTGTTGTTCATGATGTCCGTCAGCGTGTACTCGGCCAGGGCATCTGAAAAGGGTCCAAATGGGTACTTCAGTCTCACTAATTGCAGCGCGGAAGGTAATCAGTCTATATTGCAGTTTGAGAGGCATTGGGATTCAATAGGGGTTCCCCAAAAGTATGCAGCACTTTTGATAGACACTAAGAGATTTTTCGGCCCGTAAGTATGCAATAAGTTATAGGGTCTATGGAAAATCAATAATTCTATTAAATTATTATCTTGTTTTTAGAACTAATTGTTTCCTGAGTCATTTTGCAGTTTTAATGTTTAAAAATATTATAATTATATAATTTGCTTAAGAAAAGTTTTTTATGTATGCATATTCTTATGTGTATCCATTGAAACATAATTAAATTATACATAGAAAAAAAGGGTCAGGATCAACTTGATACATTCTTAGGTACAATTTTTAGCATTAAAAAATGTAAATTAAATATTAAAAAATTTAATTTTCTTTTTTTTACTCGGCTTTACAAAGTTATACGAAATTTCATAAAAATATGAATTATTTCTTATCAATTCCTTATCAGTTGTAGGTTCTTCCTCTTGTTCAATTTAAATAAAGCATATTATTTTTTTTCAGAAGTACGAATATTTCAGAATTTCTTTTACTATTTAAATTTGAAACGTTTATCTTCTAGTTTTTAGTCATTTTATCGCAGTAAAATGTTGATTATATTTTGAGCCAAAATTAATAGAAAAATCTTACCTTTGATGGACTGTCCTGTCAGTTCAAAAGAGCCAAGGACTGGAACCAGAAGCGTAAAAATCAGGCTCGATATCAACAGTAGCACAAACATCTTGAACAGAGCAGGAATGCTGCAAAAAAAATAAAATATGAATAAGCCATCATCCTTTTTGAATCAGTAAAATTATGAGATTAAAGAGGGACTTCCGTTTCAATCGCCAATCCATACGCAAATGTGGCCAACCCGAATTGCCTCCACAAACAATTCCCCTCCAACGGACACTTGTGCGTGGAAATAAACCAACCGCAGACACTTTATCCGCCGCCCGCAATTATGGGCATGAGTATTGGCAACACGAGCCGCACACTTGGCTCAATACCCAAATTATATGCACACGGGCATCCCTCGGTTTTGGCCCACTTGGCTGGCAATATTTTGTAATTACCTCCCTGCAAACCGCAAAGCCCTTGTCCCCTTCACATTCCCATTCTCAATCCCTTTCCGATTTCCATAGCACCGCACACACCCAAAAGATAGTTCATCTGGAAGCCTCACAACTTTGCGGTCGGTCTTCATTCATTGGCCAACGAAAATCGCAGATTTCAACGGAAAAAACTATGATTCATTCATCGGGATCGAAGCAGGCAGATCGCGAGGCAAGACTACAAAATCTAATGGTAATTAGGAAGGGCAGATCGGTACACAAAAAATAAATATTGTTGGCTGAACTTTTCATATCTTTGGGATGTCTTTGTTTAAAAAAAATGTTATTTTCAGAGGTCATATGTCAGGCAAAAATTTAAATGCCACGAAAAAATATATTATGATAAAATAGTCATTTATAAAGAGATAACACAAAGATAATTGGTTTTAAAAATCTATTAGAATTAAATTATAAATGTTAATCTATTTTTACCATTAGCTTCAAATTCAAATTAATTTATATTATGTTAGGAATAAAGTATATATTTTAAAACGAATAGTTATTTAGAAATATTTTTCTGTGTATCTGTTCGCTTACAAAGTTGGGGACACACCTAGAACTCAAAAGAGCCGAAGATTAAAATTACTTTGTTTATGGGGGGCACTGTGTCAGTTGGTAGGGCAGAGATCAATGTGAATCATTATCCCATAAATACAAATTTTGTCAAGTCTTAATCGCACGGCCCATAAATCATTTTCTGATCCCAGCTTCCAAATGTTGTGTAATTGTCCGTGGCCAAGGGCAGATGATAAACCCATTCTATACGAAGTTCCCAAGAAACTTTTGGACCCTTCAGTTATGCAGCATGTGTGCATAATCCTACACAATAATATAACACAATTAATGGGCGCCAGTTACTCAGCAAATGCAGATCCAATGTACAGATACAATTTACATTCGGAAACTATGTCGCTGACCCCGAACTGTCTCTGGGCAATTAATATTTATCAAACGCAACTTGGCAGCTTAGCAATAAGAATCGGAACCAGAAAAAACATTTGGAGTCAACACTTTCACGCCGCTTGGCTTCGTTGGAAATGCAAATTACTTTCAATTGTGAGCATTAAGTAAAAGTGTATTCATGTCTCAATTAGTCGGATGACAACTCACTCAAAATATTTCGGCAATCGATTGGTTTCAAAATCGCTTTCCACCGAATTCAGATACTTATATTTCCACAAAACGCTGATCAATATCTTAATTTGAGTGTAAATTAAATTCTTATTTGCTTATACATTTTTGCTAATTTATAGTTTATTACATTTAATGACTTTTCCTAATAACCAACTCTCAAAATGAGGATGTAGTATATTAACCAATTCTCAAAAGTATACATCCTTATTTTGAGAATTGGTTAATAGGAAAAGTCATAAAATGTAATGAACTATAAATTAGCAAGAAAGTATAGCAAATATTTGGTTCATTAAAATGGATGGTTATTGCATAAAAATTAAGTGTGCTAAATAAGTTAGTATAAAATAAAAACACTTAAAAACACCATGTGGAAAAATCATTTAAAGAAAATATCATGTCTATCAATTTCTTAATAGTGGGTATGCAAAACAATATCGCTTTGTTTTCCCTGGCAATTTCTTTAAAAATAGAACCACATACATCCGACACGTGCAAAAAAGTGTCCGATTGCATCACGTATAAAAAAAGAATTACTCCAGCTTTCGATACGAACGCAGCCAGAATAAGATTTTAGTAATCCCAGGCATTTGACTGTCTCTTTTTCAACCAGCAAAAGGAAAACATCAAGTGCTGACTACATATGAGCACTTACATCATATTTGCCTGACAGTCTTCGTACTCCAAACAGCTTGTATAGCAATCTGCTCCAGCCACTTAATGACATCATTAGGCGCCAAAAACAAACAGCCGTACAAATTGAACAATCCCCCAAGAGGAATTTGATTTTCAAGCATTATCATATGAATTCCTGGCGATTCTGGTTGCGTGTCTTTCCTGTTTCTTCTTGGTATTTTCACAACTGGCTCCCTGACATAATGAGGCAACGTTTATGCAGTTCACAGATGAAAGCCGCCAGCACGTGCAACTTGGACCGTGTGGCCAATGTCAGAGGCGACCCCTTCTGGCCTGATTCCACCTCCCAATACAGATTCCCACTCACCATGGAGATCCCCCCGGCATACATGCACAACTCGGGTTGCATTTATAGATCACGGTGTTTATTTAAAACAACAAAATC